GCATATGTGGATATTAGCCAATATCCCCTGTGGGAGCGGGGCAGGGTTAGGGTTATAGTCAGTCAGCGGCTGATTGCGAGCCAGTCAGGGTTCTGATACCACTCGATATCGTGGCCACCGCCCGAGGTGTAGATGGAGTAGATCGTTCCTTCGGCGGCGTCGTCTGTTGAAAGACCGCGGTAGTCAAGCTTGGCCAGGAAATGATCGCCGTCGTTGTCGTAGTCAGTTCGGATCAGGACAACAAACGTCTTACCGGTGCCCTCGATCTCGTAGTAAGCCTCGCCCTTGTCGTCAACTGCATATGACGTTGCCCTGTATTCGAACATGTTTTGCCTCGACTCCCCTTGAGAAAGAGAGATGTCGTTAGAAGCGAGGACTAATGAACCATATTACGGACTGGAGGGAGCTCACCGGCCGGAATGTCATGCCACTCAAATCCCGTCATTTGATTTGTGTGGGTGCTGGTAAGCTTGAAATTATATGGTGATCCGTTCACAATGCTGAGGTAATTTTTGTTCGGCAGTGCTGGCGGATTAGTCCCCACGGGCAAAGCAGGAGGGTAGCTGCCATCTGTCTGCTGCGGGTCGTCACCGTTAGGCTCCGTCAGTCGGCCTTCGCAGGCATCCGGCTCGTTCTGGATCGGATCGAAGACAGAGATCTGGCTCCAATAAGGATGAAAGTCGACAGCAAGGTTATCTGCCGATTTGATCTTGTAGCCGTCCGACTCAATCATGTTTACCGCCCCGACAGTGATGAGGTTGTGGATCCGGACATGTTCAAAGTTGTCCTCGACGAGGATCAAGCTCTGCTGGCAGTTCATTTTATCGACTAATTATGGGTCGACGGAGGATGTTGTTAGAGAGAGGCTGTCCCCGTCATAACCTGAATCTAGAAAGGGAGCAACGTACCACAGTCCTGGGTGTATGTCGTGAACCAAGAATAGAGGCCCGCGCCGGCGATGAAAATGTCCGTGGAGTTTCGGACGAGAAGAGCCCATGAGGCATCACATCCAGAAGCGTCACTGTTCTGGCAGTCATACTCCCAGTCACCGGCAAACTTACCGACCGAGCCAGCAAACGGTGCCGGTGGCTTGGGGGTGGGCTGGTAGTAGGGCGACTCCGACTGGATCATACCGGCAAACACATTCCGAGCCTTCCAGAAGTTGTATTGGTACATGACAGCGTGTTCGGAAGACGTTCCATAGAGCCATGTTGCATCGGTGCTCTCCACAAGCAGGCCGCGAGACACGTAGACAGACATTTGTACCTGCGTAGAAACAGAGTAATCAGCCTCCACTCCTTTTTTTCTCTCTCTTTTTCTGGTTTCTTTTTGTGTTGTCGCGTTCTGCATATCACGAGGGACTTTACTTACCATGTTGCTGGTGCCATCCTCCCAGCCCGGGCCGCCGATACCACGGTCCGCCAACCATAGCCAGACGTTATCCAGCAGGGCAGATGAGCCCGGGGTGATATGCATCATCAGACTTCCCACGCTACAACCGCTGTTGGTCCCGGAGGTGGAAGGAGGGCATTGCTTTGAAGTGAGTTCGGTGCCCTCAGCACCACCGAGACGAACGTGACTATCTGTCCCGGGTGTCAGCAAATCCCCACGGCCGTCGAGGAATCCAAATAATTTCTAGAGTAATTACCCCACATGCCGGCAGCTCCAGGTGAGCTGGCCTTGATATTCCATTCTACCAACACGGTGCCGGGGGTTGGTCCCTTGGAAGTGAATAGGAGATCCTGTATCTCTACACTCCCCACGTCGCCACGTTTTCCTACTCGAAGAAGAGGGCGCGGATTCCTGCCGTAAGGGTGATTAACAGCCACATTAGCACAGGCTAGGGATAAGAGATGGGGATACAAGGGACAGTCTACGTACGAAGCATCACCAAAGTTGTCTCCCAAGGCCACGAGTTGAGACCAGGCCTCGCCCACAATTCTCGCGCCCGCTGGGACCGTGATTGTATCGGTGAGGATGTAGGAGCCCGCATCCACAAAGATGATCTTGGAACCGGCGTTGTCGTTGAGCGCCTTTTGGAAAGCCTCCGTGTCATCAGTAGATCCGTCACCTAGGGTTGTGTCAGTTCCCAGGTGGAAAGGAAAAGAAAAGCCACACCGTTAGGGAAATAAGAATGGAGAAAACTGTAGGGTGGTCAACAGCCCGGTGCAAGCATACCTTTGGCGTAGTCTTTCATGTGAACAAAGGAAGCGGCTCCCTCGTTTTCATATTGAGGTCTTGCCCTCTCAAAGAAGGGCAATTTTGGGAGACCCGAGCGCGAAGAGCCAAGAAGGGACTTCTCGCGGTCGGTAGTGAAGGTCATAGAAAGGGAGTCGCCCCTGACTCGACTGTCCGAATAGATAGGCCCGAGAACCCATGTGTCGACGCTGCCCACGCTGGCCGGGAGGTACACCTTGCCCTCAGTGTCCACGACTGGACTCTGGACATTGTCGAAAGCAACATTGTCCAACGTAATACCAGTAGTTCCCTTAGCCAGCTCCTTGGTGGCCGAAAACGTCAAGATCGCAGTCCCCGTGTTGGTGAATGTTGAATCCAACAGCAGAATGGACCCCGTGTGATGGGTGCCGTCCTCCGAGACGAGCTTGAATCCGGTCGTACAACCGGAGATGTCGATGCTCTTCCAGGTCTAGTTCAATAAAGGAGTAAGTTAGCGTCCTAAAAACCCTAGTCCACGGCGAATGGTCACTCACCCAGCCCCAGTCCCAAATGAGCTGCACGGCGGTTGCGCAGTTTCTGAACTTCAGCCGCTGGGCCGTAAATTGCTGGCTGCCGCCATCTGTAATTAAACGCTGGTTAGTACCTCACCTTCACACTGAAGCGAGACCACGTTCGGGCAGCCTCGGCTGGAAAAGGGGGTAAGCGTACAGATGCCAAAGTTACCACCGTTGAACGTCAAGTCACTCATTACGCCGCCACTCCCATTTTCGGCAACTGAAAAGAGGCTTGTTAGTAGCTTATTCACTGGGCCCATTTATCAGGTTCTAATTAACTGGGAAGACACAAGACTCACAAATGGCCTGCTGAGTGGTCGGGGGAGCGCCGACGTTGAACTCGACGTTGGACAAGCTTGTAGCCTGGGCTACTTGGTAATGAATCGCACAGATGTAGGCACCTGGGTCAGTCTGAGTGATGTCGAACTTGAAGTTTCGGATCTGCCGATAAAAGTTGGCATAGGCGTGTCGTATCAAGATCCCCCCGGTTAGCATTCCTCTCGATGTGGTGCCATGACAGGTAATTACCCAAGTAATAATTAATGAACAGCAGAACGTACCGTGTTGATGTACCATTCGTTGGCGTTCCCGTCAGGCCCTGTCCCGCCGTTGGGAACGTATTCGTCGGTCGAGAACACACCGAGTCCGACAAAGGAGGGTGCACCTAGTATGACAGGGGGATCATTCGGCTGTGTCATGGATCGATGGGTAAGCTTGCAAGTCATGCCGGAGATTTGATTGATCGGAGGTTGCTCGCTCGTACATTTCCAATCATTTGTGTCCCAAAAATAGCGTATATTGTGCTGGAAACGAGGTATGTGCCTTTTCAAAAGAATGTTCGGTTACTACCTATCAATGCGGGAACCCTTTCATCACTCAACTGACGTACCTGAGGGGAAATAAACAACAGTGTTGTGCAGAGTTGAGCCATTGCAGCCTTCTGCGCATCTACGGCTGCGAGTAGAGTTGATGGCGCTTCGGATGGCTGCCGTATCCTCCTGTCAACCCCAGAGAAGTTAGCATATTGCCTCAACTGATTACCTGCCAGATACATTGGGTGTCTGTAGGTACATGTACCTAAGCTACTTAAACCTGGGAGATGTCCCATCATCACACAAGTTACACGATGGCGACAGCGCACTGGAAAGGGGCTGAACCTACTGTCACGCCGTCCCCAACAGCACCAAAGTCCTTGACATTCCGGAGGACCTTGGATTATTCCTTCATCAGCACGGCGCTTAAGTTGTCAATGATCCCAACAGCAGATGTGTGGGCGTGGGATAGTGAGCAAGGTGGTAGGTAGTCAATCAACACACCCGGTAGCTATCATCCTTCTTGAAGGGCCAACTCCCCTTGCGACTGATGTCTTCCATCCAATACCCAGCCCGCTTGCGGACCGTGGGCGTCGGAGCCGAGCGGTTCACGCTAGCATCCGCGTCAGCTTCAGCCAGCAGGGCAGCAGCATCGGCGATTTCTGGGGTAATCTCGAGTAGAGGCGGGGGCTCTTCTGATGCAGTCTCGTTGGATGAGGACGTGAAGCGCGTAGCTGGAAATGCTCCACCGAGCTGGGTGCCGGGTCTGAGGGTGTATCTGTTCCGCGAGGGATGATCAAGACGGGCCTTGTTGCGTACGGCAGCCTCACTCAAGGCACCCTTGACAACGGCACGGGCGGTCTCAAGGTCGGCGGCTGTGGCATTCCGCAGACGAGGAGGCGCATGCGGTGATCTGGTGGTGTTGACAGGAACATCTCGTAGGGCAAGGAGGCTGGAGGCGGACCTGGGTTCTGCGTGCAAAGACAAGTGCAGAGATAAGCCACAAGGGAAGAAGAGGGTCAACGACGTGAGGACGAGAAGCCATCTCAAGAGGCCGATGCCGACTTTGGAAGTCATCATGTTCACTTTGAGCCGCTACCTTACCCCTGAGGCAAAGGAACTAGGTTCTGAGCCGTGGTCTAGAGCACAAGAGAGCCATGATGATTGGGGCATGTCCCGGGCTCTTTATACTCGAGGAAGGCAGCTCCCGTCAGGAGACGATACTTTGATGATGGTAACCCAGAGCCGTCCCAGCATGTGCCCCTCGCTTCTGCAGCTATTTTCAATTTTGTTGGCTCGGTCAATGTAATGTCACTGACTCCCCCCCCACCCCTTCCCCTCCAAGGAACGAAGTTCCAGACCACCAGAGGAGACACAAGATCCATCATCCTCCCGCCAGCGTTGATAGGCATAGGCATGGGACATGTGCACTGCAGGCCGGCGTCTTTTTTTCGGGACACTCATTTCCGACATTGACAGGACGTGAATTCGGCATCGCGACCGAGCTGGCTGCTGGATGAGGCCCAATCTGTAGTCCGCACCCAACCAACAGCCAAGGCTCGTCCTCGGCTATCAGGCACACGGCCCGAGTTTTGCGACCTCCCATCAAGATTCAAAAGTTTGCACTCGCAGTCGCACCGTCGGAATCCTCCTTCATCACCGCCGTCCGAGGGCATCGTCCCCCAGAGTTCAGAAATCCGATCCCTACGCCGGTTTCTTCCACGCGTCGCGACTGGCGGCCGAACTTTACCTCACTTACACTGTTACACACCATGCCCGGCACGCCGCGCAGGCGGCTAACCAATCGGTCCAATCCGGCAACCAGGGTTCACCTGTTTTGTCGGGCGCTGGCATTTCTCTTTGAGCTTGCTGTCTTGATCTTCCTCATTTATATCAGCAAGACGCAGGGCTACTCCAATGGAATCCGATACGCCGGTGTAAGCCCCCCCCCCGCACACTGTTTCACGGTTCGCCCAGACTCACATAATCACTTCTCAACGTGTAGGTTGTCTGCGCAATCCTGCTCAATGCCAGTCAAGTAGTGGCCCTCGCTGATCATCACCATCGACTGCGCCATGTCCCCCATCCGTGTGTCATCATCTTTGATATTGTCATCCTAGTGCTCCTAGGCGCGAGCATTGGGTACGATTTTGTTGAGGCATTGTCTCACCTGGATAGGCGCGCTGGTTCCGTCTCCCGTGCGGCTTTTGACAACCAATATTACATGGTGTATACGATGCTGTAAGCTCTCTCTGTTCTATTTTACTACTTCTAAATTCGTTACCAAGCCACTGATATCCGTGCTTGTCTCCTAGTGTGGTGCATGGAATCCTAATCGGTGTCTCCCTATGGGACTTTTGCCTACAGTCCCGGCGTAATGATCGGCTGCCGTCTGCTGGTAGCTCTGTCAATGCCACGGCAATAGGCGATGATCCACGCGAGGAACGGGAGAGGCGAAGGGATGTGGAAGGAGTTGAATTGAGGATGAGGTAGCGAGCTTGCTTTTAGATGGAGCCCCCTGTGTTCTTATTAATAACGCTTCACAAACCGGATTTATCACATCGGCTTCATCCCTTTTGCTGGAACCTCGTGGGAAGTACATCGCGTGAAGTATATCGCTTCCCCTTGATTACCCCCGTGGTCATCTGTCAGACGTTGTCACAGTCGTGTATCTAAGACGAAAAAGTAATTACAACAGGCCAGTGCTGCGCGGCCACCGAAACCTCACCCTGGGGTTGAGAGCAGGGACCGTGATTACGAAAATCGGCCATTCCAGGAATCTAAATAGTGCTTTGGCGAAGACCCTGGGTCTCCCTGTTTTGTTTTGGTGGGCTGCGATTCATACTTGCCCAGAGAAATCCAATTGCGTCACCAAAGGGCGCTCCGTGGTTTATTCAGACCGCGATTATGATTACGTTCATTATTTTGACATTCTTTTGATGAAGTTCTCACCCTTGAAAAAGCCCACCGTTACAAAAGATACCGCGGCCGCCTCCTGGCCTCGGGCAGACGCACATACGCCAGCTCCCGTTCCGAGTACTTGAGCTGCCGGAGACGTAGAACGTGATAGCATTGCGCCAATGCGGATGCCCTGTTCCAAGTTCACCAAGTTAGCCACGACGCCCTTCAAGTAGATGCTATATGAAAAAAAAGAAAGAGAGAGAAAGAAAGAGAAAACGAGAAAAGAGAAGAAAAAACTTACACCCCCAAACCCCCAAAAACAAAAACCACCACCGTAAGATTATACAGCATCCCCTCCACCGTAAACGGATAACACTTCTTCCGCCTGCTCTTTCCACACGACACCATCTTCTGGTTCGTATCTCGATCATTATAAAACGGGTGTGTCAACACAAGGATGGCAAGACCCCAGGCGAACACCCCCAACCAGAGCAAGGTTGAAGCCAAAAGAAAAACGCGATACGGTCGGGTGGGTTGCAGGCCTTGGAGGACTCGGTCGTTGGGGAGGCGGGTGATGTGTTCGGGCCGCGAGTGAGGTTGGTTTTGGGAAGAGGAGGAGGGTCCGGTGAGGGCTGTGGTGTCGGAGTCGGCGTCGGGGTTGGTGTCGTCTCCTCCTCTTCCTCTCGCTGATGCTGCTTGGTTGGGCTCTTCGGGGGTGATGCAGTACCAGAATATGCATGGGAGGTGGATGAGGGCCTTTTTTATTGGGTTGGGTTAATTAGTTGAGCTTTTTGGGGTCTCTTTTCTTTTGTTCATGTCAGGGACTGCTTGGATAATTACTTACCACCCCGAGACAAAAAAGAGAATACGGAAACACCATCCACGCCGTCTGGTGACCCGTCCCTCGCGACGCGATGTAGATGGTCAACCCGGTAAGAACTATGCTATCGAGCCAGCGTATTGTGGTGTAGAAATCGGCGCTCTTGATGCGCCTCTCGAGTGGACACAGCGCCGGTTTACCGGCATCTTTTTCGTTCGGGCACGATGGGTTGTTGCCGTCATTGTTGTTGTTATAGCCCGGATAGTCGGGTGGGGGTGGAAATATCTCTGAGGTGTCGGGTCGTCTTGATGTTGTTGGCTCCTCGTCCCTGGGCTCGTTGTGCCCGGTTGAGAGCATGTGCTTTTCTTCGTCTGATTCCTTGGTCATGGTGCTGCAGGCGTTCTTCTTCCGTCGCGTATGTGTGATGGGTTGAAATGAAGGAAGAAGATACCCGTCAGGCCTGGGAGGGAATTGCGTGGTTGTTTTCAATGAGACGCTCAAATGGGTTCCCTCCCTGAGTTGACAGCATGCGGCCCAATGCCGAGAAATCTAAGAGGCTGATCTCCCTGAACGTGGACTGAAAATGCAGATCAAAGTCTTGGTAACAGCGCCAGCAAGTGCTTGGCGAATTTTAGCTCCGGGTCATTCATCGATCCGAGATTCAGCTTTTCCGAGACTTTTTGACGACAACTATGACAAGTCAACGAAATTATTTGTACTGACGTCCCACACTACACCACGTAGCAAGACGACAGGGGCTATTTGATAGTACGTAGTCCCCAGGTAGAATGTCCCATTTCTCAATGGAGGGTTATAGGACGACCCTGACCGTGCTGGATTGTCGCAACTGATGACAGTAATTAAATGACCTATGCACCAAACTTACCGTACCTTCCCTCCATCCCCAGGATATAAGTCCCCTTCCCATTGCTTCAGTCACCATCTCCTCCCAAGTGAAATCCAAACACCGGTTTGGCTCAGCGGTACTGGGAGGAGCGCTGGTCCCGCCAATTCTCGTCGTAAATCGAAGTGGCCCCGGGTTCGATTCCCGGGGCCAGCGAAGTAAAATCTTTCAATAAAAAATTTTCGTAACTGCCAACGTCTATCCCTCCGGATGGGGATAGGGCTTGGTTGTGAGCTTTTTGCTTTTCAAACCAACAACCCCGTCAAACAAGTGTATTGTACATAACACATTTTCGCAACATGTTGGCTACTCTCATCCATTTTGACTGATCTCGCATATCCTATATACACAAGTGGTCCCTGATTACGCATCACCAAGGACCTTGTTCCCTTTCTTTTCCCACTTTAAATGTACATCTTCTCAAACCCAACGACGTCCCACTTGCCCGTCTCGGTGTCGAGGGTGACGTTGGTGCCGGTGGTCTTGCCACCGCGCACAAAACCAGCCTCGACATTGCCGCCAGCAACGGGGCGGTTCAGGTGGTTCTTGCCTGCAGCGACGGTGAAGTTGGCCAGCGGAAGATCCCACGCGTTCTGGGTGGCGACGCTGGGCGAGCCTAGTGAAATCAAACACGGTTAGTCATCTTTTCGAGGTTGATTTTCATTTGTTTTGAGTGCAAAACGGGGGCTGGGAAGTGAGTGTTGGCTTACCAAAGTACTGGGCAGTCAGGCCGTCGGGTTTGACGTCCAGGATGTAGTAACCGCGGTAGTAGCCCTCCTGCCACTGCAGCTCCTCGTTGGCCTCGACTAGCTTCTGGGCGGCCGCGCGGGCGGAGAGAATGGGGCCCTTTTGGCCGCTCGACGTGACAGCAGTGCCGGCAAACTCAACACCAACAGAGCCCTCGCCGGTCTCGGAGTTGTAGTCAGCCTGACCGAGCCAGGTGACATCAGCAACCCAGTTCTGGTGGCTGTCGCCAGCGAGGAAGACGTTGTTGCCGATGCTGTTGTCGTACAGGTGCTTGAGAGTGCGGTTGCGGTTGGCGAGGTAGCCCTGCCAGTTGTCGCCACTGTTGCCGACCTGCGAGAAGACGATCTGGCTACCGATGACACGCCACTTGGCGCCACGGTCCGAGGAGCGCGACAGCTCGTTGTAGAACCAGTGCTCCTGGCGGGAGCCCATGAGCGAGCGGGAGGCCTCGTCGCGGATCAGGTCGATGTAGTGGTCGTTCCAGCCCAGGCTGGTGATGCTGCGGTCGTAGTTACGGGTGTCGAGGATGATCAAGTCGAGCAAGTTGCCGAGCTTGAACGAACGCCAGATACGGAGGTTGTCATCGAGATCGACTTGGCTGGAGAGTGTGTGAGTGGAAGAACGGGCTGAACAGGAAGGTGTGGACAAAAACATACCGAATAGGCATCCACTCAAAGTAGGCGCGCACAGCGTTCATCTTGCGCTGGTCGACGCTGATGAGGTGGCCATTCGTGCGGAAAGACTCCTCAGTGTTGTTAAGGCCACTGAAGCCGTCCCTGTAACCGTTGTTGGCAAGCTCTGCGAACGTAGTTAGAAAGGAGGAATCCCAAAAAAGTCAATCATAATCAACACATGGAGGCTGCTTACCGTGGTCATCCCAAGTCGGGATCCACGCAAAGTCTTGGGCCAACAGCTGCAGGTTGGGGTCGGTGCGGTACTGCTTTGGAGTTAGCATGCTCTTCTTGGTCTGAAAATTGGGGAAAATGCGTTGAAGCTCACCTGGCCGTGACGGGTCCGGTAGTCCAGCAGGGTGAAGATGATGTGGGACGGGTCGTGGGCACGCTCGCCCTTGGTAGCACTCTCGTAGATGTAGTCACCAAGGTGGACGACAAAGTCGTGCTGGTCCTTGCGCGCGGCATTGCCGTAAGCGTTGAAGTAGCCGCTGGCTGTGAAAGTCTCGCGTTAGTAACGGTGGGTGATTTTCAAAGAGGAGGAAACCATACGGTAGTTGCTGCAAGAGAAGACAGCCAGCTTGAGCTGCTCGACCTCATCCTTCTCGGCGGGCGCGGTCTTCGTCCTCCCCACAGGGCTAGCCTTCTCAGAGCCGCAGATGGTGAACTGGTAGTTGTACACGGTGAATGGCTTCAGACCGGTAGCCTCAACCTGTCACATGGTTAACCCCGAACCCGCAGTTTGATACAGCTGGTATTGATTATGTGAACAAACCTTGACCGTGTAGTCAATGTCGCTCGTCGTGTAAGCCTTGCCGGACGAGACAACCGCTTGTGCCTGGCTCTTCCCCTTGCCTTTACCCTTGCCCTTGGCCGTTGGCTCCCAGACCGCCCAGTCAACACAGATCGGGTTGGGGTCAGCCTTGATGTACTTCTCAGTCTCGTGGTTGTAAAGGTCAACAGTGCCCTCGACGGTCACGTTACTGCCGTCAGACTTCAGGGACGGCGCCACACGGGTCCAGAGAATGATGCTATCCGCATAGGGATCACCGGAAGCGATGCCGTGGGTAAAGTTCAACTCCTCAGCCTTGTAAGGGACCGAACCGCGCTTCATGGTCCGGCGGGTGACCAGGGGCACGTCAATGCCCATGTTCTCATGGCGGCGAGACGGGCTGTCGTAGTTGAGGTTGCCCTCAAACGCGGCAGACACGAGCGGCGCCGCCAGGGCCGTGAGGCCCAAGGTCGAGAGGATTTGCATCGTATAGAGGAGCGGCGTGGCGGTTGGTCTCGAAAAGAACGGTCAGGTACCCTTCCAGCTACTGAGCGCACGTTCTCCCGGGGCGACTCTCGGGCCCCGTCCAAGCTGTTTTATACCATCTCTGTTGACTTGCGGTTTCTCTCCCACATTGTCGGTACGCCCACACTTGTGGTCATGCTCGGTGAATGGTTCAGGCAGGATCCTAGGAGCCGACCTCTCTCCCCACGGCTCAACCCAGTTCAAGTATCTCATCGTGCATGGCGAAGACGGTTCCGATTGCCGGCCGAACCAATAAATCACGGGCTCAATTACACGGGCTGCGGACTCTCTGCAGGACCCGGGATGGTGCAATGGGTGTTGTTGAGGAAGGCATGGGGGCCGGCATGCGCAACGTGAAGCAATACGGAAACGTCATTGGGCAATGCTTTGCACAACAGAGGAGAGGTCGTATTGAGCTCGGGACGCGGCAGGGATCGGCAGTGGGAAGCTTCGAAATTCGAGCTTCAACAGAGCGAATGGCGCGAGCCTTGTTGTCAGCACGGGGAATTTGCGCCGTTCTCGAATCCGAAAATCAGAGTTTTGGCGTCGGAAAGACCGGGTTTGAGTCGTTGTCTAGGGTGTCGCGTGGTGTTGTGCTCGCGTGGGGATCGGGCAAAAAAGAGTGAGGGGCAAGCGACCTCGGTTTCGGTGTTAATCGAGCCGTCTGGGGATCTGTTCCTGAATTTGTTCCGAAAATAACCCAGTTGCGTAGGCGGTGGCTGAGGCCAGGGCGTGGCTTGCCTATTGTGGCGTATTCCCTGATATGAGGGAGGGTTTATAACGACCTTTTCAAACGGCTAACTACGTGTACGGGGGCTTATACTTTATTTCCCTCATGAGCGCGATGATGTCGTCAGTCGAACTTGAATTCCTCGATTTTTTTGGTCCAGAGAGGGGCTTGCTTGGCAAGCTTGGCTTGCACAGAATTAACCCTAACCCTTACGAAACGAAATCGATGAGAGAGCAGATACGGTTATGCTTATCCAGTTGAAATCCGCTAACCCGAAGTGGAATGAATCCAAGTCGCCAAGCGATGAAATCTCTCGAGGTTCAAAAACACACAGTTTCGCTATCTGTTGTGCACTCAATTATAAAGCAATTCCCACGCAGTAAAATCCAGTCGCTAGGCAACGAAGGTAACGGCGGACACCCGTCATAGTTCATCCGTTTTATTGTAGGGCTACGAAGGAATGTCAATTCAAAGAGGAAGATGTAGTGAAGCACAGGCCACTTTTCAGCTTGGCGGCTTGGATTCACTCTACTTCGGGTTAGCGGATTTCAACTGGATAAGCATCGCCGCAGATACGAAGACACCTCACCTTGCAAAACTTCAGATTTGGCATCTCTTCAGTTCATGGGTTTCGAGCTTTGGATGTTTACTGTGTAATATTTCAGCGTCAGTTCGCCGATGCGTCAATGCCCCGACCCTAACGCGGGAGTCGCAACGCCGGAGTTGCTCTTCGTCGACTCCACGCGGCAGCATGCACTTCCCACTCTCACTTGTTCAATAGAGAACATCAGGTTTCATTTTTTCCAACTCTCTGCGATAAAGCCTATCGTACTATTTTCATATCGTTGATTGTTACGCTAGTTATACACTCCTTGTTCGGTCATTTTTTGACTACGTTGTAAATTCTTTGCCAATCGTACTTTCGATCTTCCCTTCAATCAAATTGTTGGTTAATTTGTAGTTTCAAGCATAACTGAGTACTAATACTAATATTATACCCAGGCAAGGAGGGGCCTCGCTGGGCCTGAGCTAAAAGGCAGAGGAAGTTCACAGCTTATGTAACGGTATCCCCCAGTGTTCCCAGATAGCTTCCCGCGTTAGGAGTCATTTATTGAGCTTTTGGACGGAAACAAGAAGACGTCAGCCGAGTCAGCATCGGGACTCGAGACGGAACACCAAGCATTGGATTCCGGGTGTTTAGTCCCAGATGGCAAGCATGGACGATCGCATGATGCAGTCTGAGGAGCTTTGGGCGTTGTGATCAGCAAAACACAGCGACATGGCGTGTGATAGCAAGTGATGGACGTTCGGCGAACGGACCGAATCGGGGATTCTCATCACGGTCGTGTTTGCTGGCCGGGTCCTGTTGCTTTTCACGTCAGCCATCACGCGCTGGTCAAGGAATATCCCCGTTGGCGTGAGCCCTAAAATTTGAGTTTTTGTGAACGCTTCATCGCAAGAGGAAGAGTCTGCAGAATCTCATCACCGCTTGTGCCGGAGCGGTTGCATTCATCAATGGGGTTCCCGGTTCGAAGTTGATGGCGGGTCACTGGGTGAAGCGAGGAGCGGGAAGAGGGGCATTGGCAGGGGCAAATGCGGGTTGATGGCGGGGGATGTCCGGGCTGGCTGAGTGCTCACCAATCAGAAGCCTGCCTTTACCGCTGGACCCACACCTGCACCCTGGCCGGGTTGGCCAACCACAGGGCCAAACGACGGTTGAGCTCTTCCTCTTCGCCTTTCAACGACGGGAGGCGCTCGCTCACAGGTCACACAACGCGGGCGCTATTTTCGCGGAACCCTGTTCATCATGCGGAAAACAGATGTGCCTGGACGACGCTCACGACGCTGAAGCGATGGATGGGCAGCTTTCCACATTTTGCGGCCAATGAACAACATCGTGGCTGCAGCCCGCAGCGGTCCCAGCAGACCCCAAAGCGGCCCAGGGCTTGTTCTCAGCCCATTCTTGCCATTCCAATGCCCCCCAGTGCCGAACTGGCCGCTCGATGGTCCCCTTTCCCGCCCAGCGCCAGCCGTTTTCGACACAGCTTCCCGGTTCGTTTGCGCAGGTCTTGCGTCTCAACAGCCGCTATATACCCAGTCGGGTCCGTTGACACGCGATTGTCCTGCTCCTTGCTGTCCGCCATTTGCCCACTGCATCGGCTCTCGAATCACGTTCTGCCCATCTCAATCACATCGTGTTTCGGCATGGCGGATGTTGTGATGCGTCCTTAGTCCTGACTACTCATCGTCCCCCCTGACTACGACCCCCTCTTTCGGTTTCTGGTGTTTCCGTCAAAAAAACCCCTCTCAGGCCCCGGGCTCCCTCAACTGTCTCTCACCACGATGCGACCTAGCGTGCCGCCATATAACTCCGTCTTCGTTCTTCTGCTCGCGTCCGTACCGTGGACTCCTTCGTGTGCCGCTGCGTCGTGGGTCGAATCGCTTTCGCGTCGCTTTGACCTCGTTCTCGACTATTCGCCTGCCCCGTCTCCCGAGGACGGTCCGCCCGCTTCAGCCGGTGCACTTCGTGATCCAGCTTTCCTTCCAGCTCAGATCGGTGGTATCGTTGGGGCCTACGCTTTATCCCTGGTGCTGGTCGCCCTTCTTCTCCTTGCGCTTTCCAAGAGACGCCGTGAGCGCTTGCGGAATCTTGACCGAGCTGTCGAGGAGGACGCCCTGTACTTTAGCGAATTCAACCCGTTCCCCGATCCATTTCTGCTCCAGGCCGAGGAGGATTACAAGAGACAGCTCGAGGAGTTCCAGCAAACTCAGCAACTTGAGCAGATCCAGCTCCGCCAGGTCCACCCTCAGCAACTGCTCCAATACACCCACTTCCAAAACCCCTCGACACAGACTCTTTCCCTCCAGATCCCGGTCAGCCCGAGAAACTTTTCACATCCAGCCGGATCGCCACTTAGTCCCACTAGGGTTGGACATTTCAGTCCAGCCAAGTCGCAGCGTTCCGCGTTTACCGCTCCGTCGCCCACCTCAACCGTCCTTGCTCCTGGTGTCGACTTGTCGGTAGATCAGGCGGTCGTAGGCCGAGACAGAAACATGGCGCAATCACAGCTAGAAGAGATGTACAAGCATGTGATGGAGCAGGAGCAGGCCAAGGCGGAAGGGCGAGAGTACCATCCTCCGCAGCTGCCCTCGCCGTTGTCGTCAAACCCGGCGAGCGCTGGCCCAGCGAGAGCCAGTGGCAAGAAAGAGCGTGTCAAGCCGGCGGGCTTGAACCTCGTGAAGGAGGACAAGGAGTCACGCAGCTCGTCGCTGTTCTCGTTCCTCAAGTCCCCTCGCAAGAACAAGATGGGGGCCGCCGGGATGAGCATCTCTTCTCCCATCATGACGCCCATGTCGGGAACCTTCCCGCGGCACGACGACCAGGAGATGAACCCCATCCAGCCGCGGCACTATGCCCCTCCCGCTCCGCCTCCTGTGTCTTCCGACCTGCCCTTCCGACGGGCCGCACAGGCAGGTTCAGCCACCACCAGCCAGCTCCCCACACCCGACATCTCTCCCGTCAGCACACAGAGCATTGACTCGCGCATCGACGCCGCCATCGGCCAACCCCCTGCCCGCATCTCCCGTCGCGAGCAACAGCATCAGCAGCGCGAAGCAGCACCCGCCCGCTTCCCGCCCGTCTCCTACACGCACATGCGCGAGATGTCCAGCGCCACCACCACTCCCAGCATCGCCGGCGACCACGAGCCAGCCTCCGCCTCCTCCGAGAAATCCACCTCCAACCTAGTCGGCCTACCCGTCTCCCCCCGCCCCAACGTCACCCGCTTCCCCAGCGACATCTCCCTGCCCGCATCCCCGCGCCCACACCAACAATCCTTCACCCTCCCCACCCACCACAACGCCACCAACGCCTCCTCCACAGCTTCCTTCCCACGTCCCTCAGGCGCATCCGCAACGGGCTCCAACGCCCCCTCAGCAGTCCGCGAGGGCGGCGCCCTCCCGCTGCGCGCCTACGAACCGTCCATCAGCAGCCCGACAGCGACCAGCTTCGCGACGACGACCAAACAGACCGTGTTCACCCGCGGCCCGATGTCGCCGGGCGGCGGGGCACACGATGGGATGCAGACGGGTATGCGCACGCCTTGGACTGGCGCGCCGGTGCCATATACGCCGTATCAGCCGTTTTCGCCGGTTGTGCCGATTACGCCGAGTGTGGTGACGAAGGCGGATCGGAAGCGGATGAAGCGGTTGGAGCCGAGGACGCCGACTGTGGAGATGGTAAGGAGTCAGGATGATATTTGGTGATTTGGCTATGTTTTGTAGTGGGGGTGGTGGAGGTTTGGTGTATATTCTTTCATCGTTTTCTTTCGTTCTACCTTTTCAACCTGTCGTTTTTTCCTTGTGTTTTTGGAGGACTGGGAGGTCGGAGGTTACCTAATGGTTAGCCTGGGAGGCGGTTTGTTTGGTACACATCCGGCCGGCGTCGGTAAAATGTGTTACTTGATGACTGGAAACGGGAAAGCATCTAGTAGAGGGGGATTTGATATCCGTAGTGACGAGCAATTTGACATCATTTTCTGTCCGCGACGGAAGATTTATGAACAATGAGAGTTTTCCGTTAAACATGTCCCATACTTAGATTCGCTTTCGAAATTTGAATTTCCCCTCCCATTCCCCCAAGCAGCGCCGCATATCACGAAAGGGGCGGGGGTTGCTTGGTGATAGTTTCAAGTCTGTGGTGAAACTCCTCCCCTGCGTTTCCCCCCCAGTGCCCCCGTCGCTTTGACCTTTCGCCTCCCTTTTTGCACCTGCATACGTTTAAACTTTTGAACTTCAAACTTTATTCTCCGCCATCGCCACCACTGCCCACCTCCGGAGAGAACTGTCCGGGGAAAAACAAAAGAGTCGATAATTTGGAGCCTCAAAGATGTTCTCGACCGGACGATGGGCGGGAATGACATTATTCTGTGGGTCAATTGCCCTGCATGTTCTGGCCTTGCTCGGGCAGGGGATGTGGGGTTCAGGGTCCTTGCGGGGGGCAAGATGACGTAGCTAGGGTCTTTTTCGACGTCAATTTTGTTGGTTCGCTCGACCTTGGGACCCCGCAGTTCAGCAGTAATAGTATACACGTACACATACGTGTAGTCTTGGTAGTGTACGTCAGGACGTGTATCTCGCCTCATCGATCGTCACTTGTTCTTTTTGGTTCTTGCGATCTTGTCTGAACCGTGAATCGCTCAGCACGAATCGTGGTTTTCGGATGATTTCGATCATTTGTGATGAGAAAAAAGTGGCTGTGAAATATCGAAGGTCGTCGTCACCGATCTACATGCTCCTCTGGTCATCAATGTTGCGCTGTTGACAGAAGGTCTCGTACGCTAGAAATCTCAGCCACCTGGGTTAGACGATCGCCTGTCTTCCACCTCTAAAACCATGAGAAATCCTGCCTTTTGGACTACATCTAGTGTAAATCCCAACATGAACGCCCAAATCGAGGATCTCCCGCTTGGTCTGAAAAAGCGAGGCGATCAGAACTTGGCTGTTGCAGCTTTCATCATCCATGAGGCGCCGCCCGGCCAATCCCTGGCGCAAAACATGCAGTGACGACCCAGTTTTCCCCTTGACGCACGCACCACATCTTGCGCGCGCGCCCCACTCCAGCTCTTGCAGTCTCCACAGGGTCATCATACGATTCCGGGGCAAATCGTCCCACGGATAACCCCATTCTATCGCTTTCTCAACTTTAGTCGCTCACAACCCCTCGTTCCCACAAACTTCCGAAGAAACAACCAAGCCCAAACCAACTACGTTGCACATACACGGCGCGCGCGCGCATACGCATACACATTCGCACACGCCCACGGCCCGTACCTTCCGAATACACCCGTCACGCATTGATACGGCCCCAGCTTTACGCGAACGACAACGTCGAATCTTTCCAGCGTCGCCCAGGAACCACCAAGCGACCCTTGACTCAAACGACATCCCACTACCCCGGGGGATCGAGGCCTGACGCCGAAGCACACGTTAGCCATCGCCGAACATTGCCGCTGATACGCCACCCACAGGGTTTGCAGGCCGCAACTGAGCCGCTCACTTCTAGACCCGAGCCATAAGGCTCAGATTACCCACCATGACCGGCACCGTCGACCGTTCCGCGAATCTTTTCGTCGATTTAGACAACGGACTTGACTCGTTCGGTCTCGGCGACGGCACCACGGGGGACAATCAATTGATGGACGGACTCATGAACAACGCCCCAGTAACCTCAGGTGGCCTTACCAATACCATTCCGGTCGGAGCGACGGGCGTTTCTGCCAACGAGCAGATGCCCACGCCTACCACTAGCACGAACAATGGCGGGAGGAGTGGGACTTCTTCCAAGTCTCCGCCAGATCCCTCTGCGGCCTCCACGAAACAAGACCCGCACCAGCAGCAATCGCAACAGCAGGCCCTCTTCTTCAACCCGATGGCCGGTTCACAATGGACCTTTCAAAACGCACCTTCTTACGAGAATGCCCACGCAAGTCGATACGGTGGTGCTGTCCCTCAGCCGACATGGGATTTCTCGCTTGGTCTAAACCAGGGTCTTCAACCACAACAACAACAGCAGCAGCAGCAGCAGCCGTCGCTGCCCTTTCCTGCACAATCTGCGCCCCCCGCTAGCAATCCCAACTTTGAATCCACTACTGCTGCCGAGAGCGTTTCCTTACCTCCGGCCCCCGCACCCATGCTGCAGTCGGTTAACCCCGATTCGGTACGAACGCTTGACAGCCTCACGCCTGCTCAGCGCGAGCTGCTCAAGACGATCGCCATGCCCGCACAGTTTCAATATCAATCACCACAGAGCCCCGGTTCAACATCGAGCGGACCCGAAAGGGGTATGACCACATCACCAGGCGGTACGTTGCGTGCCAAGAACAACATGAAGAAGCGCAAGTCATTAGCGGAGGACGAGGACGATGACGACGACGACGACACGGAACAGCCCATCAAGAAAACAGCACACAACATGATTGAGAAACGATACAGGACCAATCTCAATGATAAGATAGCGGCTCTGCGAGATAGTGTTCCGTCCCTCAGGATCATGTCAAAGAGCGCTCGGGGAGAAGACACGACGGAAGACAGAGAAGAGCTTCACGGCTTGACCCCTGCCCACAAGCTGAACAAGGCTACGGTACGCTTGCGCCCCCTTAGTAGGGTATAACTGGCGTGGTTGGAAACTGACATTATGACAGGTATTGAGCAAAGCCACCGAGTACATTAGGCATCTCGAGAAACGAAATAACCGCCTTCTCGAGGAGAACAGCAGTATGCAGGCAAGGATTGCCGCCTTCGAGAAACTGTTCATGGCCGGTGCGATGAACGGTCAGGCTCCGAATCCGATCCAACAATCACCCACTCCAGTACAATACTCCCAGGACAACAGCCCCTACCTCAATACGTCACTACAAACACCCCAAGGAGCCGATCCGCAAGGGATGATCCCCATACCGGATGATATGAAGCGCATTCTTGCGTCCCAGCAGCTAAACGCTGGACGGCCCTACCCAGTTCCCGCACAACAGTTCAACCAGAACCCCACTATAGTGAGGCAACAACAAATTCAGCAGCAGCAGCAGCAGCAACAACAACAGCAACAAGCGCAGGTTCAACCCGGCCGGTGGAACCCGTACGTTGGGAAGCTCATGGTGGGCTCGCTTGCCGGGCTGATGCTGGTAGAAGCACTCGTCGAATCCGAGCCGAGCGGAGAGACAGCCGATTCGCGCGGACTTTCCATGTTGCCCCCGGTGAGGTTCCTCTCGGCGTTTGTCCAGTCCACCCACTTCAGCGTGGGAGGATACTACGTCTCAGCAATCGACCTGATCGCCAAGTTGAGGCTCGTCTCGCTCCTAGGTTTCTTCCTGTGGTTGGTCTACTCGTCCTTTTTCGACGTGTCGGCGTTCGAACCCGCCAAGAAAACAAAAGGCCCGGCTTCGGTCGTCAAGGCAGTGCCGTCTTTGGCTTCGCCGATTCATGTCCGACGGCAGGCGTGGCTCACGGCCATCCAAACTGTCTGGGTACCTCGACACAATTTCTTCCTCGAGGCGGCGGCCCTTTTGCTCAAGGCGACCAAGTACACGCTCAGAAATGTGATTGGACCTCACGGCTACCTCGCATTGACCGGCCTGACCCAGGAGCAAGAAGCTGCTCGGATCAAGGCATGGTCGATTGCCTTGGACGCCCAGCTGGCCGGCGGTGACGTTGAGATCAACAAGAGCCGTCTCACACTCACGTTGATCGCCTCGGGTACGCTGCCGGACTCACCCCTCCGGCTGATGCTCAAGGCTCTGCACATCCGGATCCTGCTGTGGCGGCTCGGTGGTGTCAGTTGGGCTGCCAATGTGATCGCTGCGAAGCTCGCCCGGTCCAGGTGGAACGAGGCGAGGCAGCTGAATCGGATCCTCAACTCTCTCCCCGAAGGCGAGCACTCGCCCCACGACGCATTACCCGATCATCTCGCAGCCCTCATTGAACAGGATTGCGACGACGTGTTCAGTGATGACGTTATTCAACGAGCGCACAACCTCGCTTGGAACCACCCCACCACCCACAACGCCCTTAACAAGATTGACGGTATGGACGCGGTGGTGGAAGACCCCGCCGTGCGTTCCCCCATGGACGCTGTCGCTGCGTGGTACTCCCACATCATCCTTCACCGCACGCTCGTGACTAGCCTCCGCAAGTCGCGCGACGACCTTGCCGTCCTCCCCGGCTTTGCTGACGCCATCGCTCTCGCCGTGAGCGTTGCACCGATCGGCTCCAACGCCCAGGTCCGCGCCGTGGTTACCCGGGCCGTGCTCGCCGACGGCAAGCGTGGCGCACACATCGTTGCGGCCATGCAGGCCCTCGGCCCGTCAACCGACCCAGACAAACACCCCGACTACAGCAACGGTGTGCCACCGCTCATCGACTCCCCGATGACCCCGATCGCACCAGACCCCGACGCCCAGATGGCCCTGCGCTGCGCCATGGCCATCGCCCAGCTGCAAAAGTTTGACCACCCGCCTGCCGCCGCATTCACCACTATCGACTCACTTCTTCCCCGCGGCTCCGACATTGAGGACATGTCGCTTCTTGGCTTCACGGGCGCTTACCACCTCGTCAACCACCTGAGCGCCCACCCTGTTGGCCGCGAGACGTGCTCACGCTCGTTAGAGCGGCTGGCGGGGAGTCTGCGTATCTGGATGGGCAGCGAGCAGGCTGCTGGGCAGAAGAGTGGGCTGGATACCGAGCTGCGGTCTGATATCATCGAGAAGTGTCTCGCTGTTACCAAGAGCGTCGTTGGGATGGATGTGGACTTGGGGTATGTCAGTATGGAAGACTGTGCCGCGGGAGAGGACGGTAACGGAGGTGAAAATGGAGGTGGGGGTTGCTGATGTTTGAACTCACTCAGTTGAACGTTGTCTCCCAGCAATGGAGTCTACTAGCAAGCGTTTGTTGCGCGGTTTCATCTGCAGCGTTTTGTTTTTACCACATCCTTCCTTTCTTTTACCTCGTTTCGCTGTTTATATCATACACACGATCATGGCATATATACTCACGCCTAGACATTGCGAAGGGGATTAGGGGTGTATTGCGCCGGTTCATTTCTATTCTCTTCTTTTCTCCTTACCATCTTCCCTCGCTGCATCTCACAGCTTGAAGATCATTTTTCCTTCTTTTTTTCCTTCTTTCGTTTTCTCTCACAGCACTGCGTTAGGTAGAGGGTGTGTTTATGAGGAGTTACACGTATATACATACAGCGGATAAGTCGGGATGGTTGTAAACGGGATATGGGAAAATGGTTTGTGGGATGGATTGTTTTTATGTACCAGTACAACATGTTACTGATTTAGCGGTCGGGAGATGGAGGAGGGTGTTTTAACAGACGGGCTTTGTGGTGGTGTACTGGTTTTATTTATGGAGAACGGGAGAAGTTGGCGTGGCAGCTCGAGGATTATACACGACTGGCATAACTCTTGCTTCTCTGCTCGCTTTTAATGGCATACATTATTACATCGGATGGGTGTAGACTTTACATCGTTCCATTTAGCAATGTGTTTGTGTTGCTAGCTTCTCGTTCACCCAATCCGCAGATACCGTGGCTAGCTATGATGTGATGCATGTTGTAGTCATCGCTGATCTTCACAGCGTGCGATCGCCAAACAGGCTGAATGCATGTAGATGTTTCTCGATCATACCCTCCTGCATGTTGTGCATGTTGATACTAAAAATAAAAGAGGGAATAGAGACGACACAGATCGGCGACACGACATGACTCGGCACAAAACACGGCACATAGAACACGACACGCAAACACGAAAACACGTAAAGATATAATTATATACACGGTTCAATTTATACAGGTGTTTTACAACTTATAATCTCTACTTCTCTAATAGTAATCACGGCATCGTGGTTTTGCACCCTTAATCCAAATCATGACTGCTCGGGTCATTCTAGTTTCACTCTCGTTATGACTGGAAAGGGGAAAAGGGGAGAAAGAAAAACAGTACACCCTTCCGCAAGACCTGGCACTTCTGACACAATCTAGCTTTGCCCTTGGCACTTGCCTTGTCCCGGCACGAAAAGGGAGAAGAACGAGTGAGAAATAAAAGAGGAAGGGAAACCCCTAGGTAAGCTCTCCATTTTAGACCTTGATACCATTCGTCCTAGGGACCGCACTCAGGTTCGGCGACACCGCCCGCGGCGTCAGCCGCTGCGAGTCCGGGTTGGGCGTGGCCCGCCTCAGGAGCGCAGGGTCACCGATCCGCGAGGCCATGCTGTCCGGCATGAGATCCGGTGTGGAAGCCCGCGAGTACATCGAGTACTCCGTGTTCTGGGTGTACTCGGTCTCCGGCGTGGCGAGGAGATGACGCGCCGAGGAGGCGTCGGGGGAAGGGGACCGGGACCGGAGGGGGTACTCGGTGGCCGGGGTGGCGCGGAGGAGACGGGAGGTGGTGGGCTGCGGGGAGAGGATGGTGGGTGCCGGGAATTCGTCTGTGATAATTGTGGTTGGGACTTTGGATGGGCCTGTGCGGACCTTGGAGGGGAGAATCTGTTCGAAACCCTCGGCGCGGGCGACTTGGTCGATGTCTTTGAAGTACTGGGATGTTGGTTAGAAGTGTGTTTTGGCGGTGCGAGAGAACAAAAGCAAAAGGGGGTGCTCACCTTGACCGTCTTGACCTGCAGTTCCAGTGTGGCGTCTTCATCGCAGACAATCATCGAGTGAGGGTGCAACTGCAGAGCAGACAACGTCCACATATGGTTGACGCCCTGCTCGATGCATCGTTGCAGTGCCAGGGCTTTGCGTGCACCGAGGGCAAGTACCACAACTTCACGGGCCTCAAGGACCGTCTGGACACCGACCGTCAGGGCCATCTTTGGGACCTGGTCCAGGTCGTCATCGAAGAAGCGGCTGTTGGCGAGGATGGTTCCATATGCAAGGGTCTTGACACGAGTACGGGACGCCAGGCTAGAACCGGGCTCATTGAAGGCAATGTGGCCGTCCTCACCCATGCCGGCGAGGAAGAGGTCGATGCCTCCAGCAGCCTGGATCTTGGCTTCGTACTCAACGCACTCGGCCTCAAGGTTGGGAGCGTTGCCATCGAGGATGTGCACGTTGCTGGGGTGGATGTTCACGTGAGAAAAGAAGTGCTTCCACATGAAGGTGTGGTAGCTCTCAGGGTGGTCCCTGGGAATTCCGATGTACTCATCCTGCCAGGGAACTCATCAACATCACGTATTTCTTGGAGGATACCAAGGCTAGAACGCCGCTTACCATGTTGAAAGTGACGACATTTTCGAAGGACACCTGTGTGATAATATCCTTTTAGAACGGGACCCTCTCATTATGGACGCTGGGTATCTTATCTCACCTCGCCAGCCTTGTATTTGTCTGCGAGTATCTTGTAGACTCCAAGTGGTGTGCTTCCCGTTGGCAACCCCAATACGAAGGGATGTGCAGGTGTGGGACCAAAGTGATTAATACGCTCAACAATGTAAGAGGCAACGTGGGCACTGGCGGCCGGCGCGTCGTCCCTGATGAAGAACCTCATGTTGACTGAAGGATAGTTGACGTGAGACAAGAATACTGAAGGATTTTGAAGGTGAACAGGGCAGGAAGAGAATATTGAGCGGGCAAAGGGATGGACTGTGTTGTGGTGAAAGAGCTAAACATCACCTCCTCAGAAGAGGAGCGTTTGCGCGAGATACGGTGGCATAAGAAGGAGACTACCTCCTTCCACTGGTGACTACGATAGGCCCTCAAGGAATGTGGGCAAGGCAAGACAAGGGCTGCCCGCGTGACGTCTAGCACAAGCTGCTGCGTTAGTAACCATCAGTTGGTGGGCAAAAGTGGCCGGCGCCACCACCGTGTGTCAGACCGTGATAGCACCGGCCATGCTGGTTACTGCGGACCGGGCGTGCCGGTCTCGTTGGCCGAAGACGTCGGATGGAGGTTTTGGGATGGTGGCCCCGGTGACAGACAGATGGAACGTTCGATTGTTCTCTGGTAGGTTTGCACTGTAGCGCTCACGCCTCCCTTCAAAACCTGAACAGTGCCAGGACAAGACTGGGGAATGCGGAGACGCAGCCGATAAGCCGGTGGGTTCGAACCAACGACTTTGGTCCGACGATTGGCACCTTGCACAGAGAAGTAACGACCGAGGGATGCCGTGGGATCCAATGGACGCATGGGGGCGGGTTTGTGGGTGCGCCCGATGCGGACAACCTGAAGCATGCCGACTAGGTACTGGTTGTTCAAAATGAGGGAAAGTTCCATGGTGAATCTTTCGAGACGGAAAGTGCCCAATTATCTCGTGGGTCTCAGAGGTCCTGCTTTCCTTGGGTTGAAATTCCAGTGTCGTGCCATCTGTGGAGCTGCAGCCACACACAACAACTACATAGTACGTGTCGAGAGGGCAGGCACAAGCCACTGGAACCATGGAGGGGAGGCAACATTCAAGAGACTCGCGCCTGCCGGTACCAGCTTTTGACGGTTGTCGTCAAAAACAATCAAGGCTAAAATAAATTTCAGATTTCGTGCATGGAGGCTCTTCCTTCCTTGTCTGTTTTATACCGTCTGTGGCCCCCCTCCGCCACATATTACGTGCAGCCGCGGCCTCCAGTCGATGCTCTCGGGGCTTGACGGCCTTGACGGCTCGTTGGGAAGAAGTTCAACAGAGGTTGAGGAACCCCATGCTGCCCGCTGTTTCTGGTTCTCGTCTGAATTAAGCTTTTTTATGGCCCGTGCTCCTGCCTAAACGGGTTGCTGCACTCGGCGGTCTGGTGAGTTCTGGCAGGGGCCACCGAAGGCCCCACAGTTCCCGCTGACGCCTGGATTTGCCATTTTGCCCCGCAATGCACCGAGGCCCCGTTCGATCGACAATAACGTTAGCTCCCGTTGCGACTGGCACTGGAACCGCACACCAAGGCAACGTTACGTTCCCCCCTGTGTTCTGAGGGGAGCCACCTCACAGCGGCGACTCTCACTCACCACCCACCGCGGCTCCGCGGGCACCTCTCGAACACGGGTAACCAACGCCTGGGGTTCCTCTCCTTTTCGCCGAGTTTGACCAGGGGCGGGCGTTCTTTTTGCTTCTCGGCTCCTTTTTGCCCTGCGAGAGGCTGAGTCGTTGTATTGTTTGCTTTCGTTGTGTGGGTTTGTGTGTGGATTTCCAAACGGGATTTGGGATTTACGGATTTGCGGCTTTGCACGGAGCCCACCTCAAGAGTCATTCTTTCAGCGCTGCCACGATTGGAAGTCCACCACGGGATACCACCACGACTTGTTGGCCGACCTCCCCGTCACTGGACTCTCCCGACTGGACATCCATTCACCCATCGAGCCATTACCGTCCCGATCCATCCCCTCATCGACCGCCGCAGTTCTGTTACACGCACAACACGCCACGACGCGCAGCTGTCATTGGCCACGGTCATTACCCCTGGATTCACCCCAATCTACCGCCATATCAACCATTTCTGCTTGTCTCAAACAATTTGCCCTGCGCCCGGCCGCGGCGTCAATCGCGAGTCTCTCTGTCTCTCACAGCAGACCCGCATTTCATAACTCACCCGTAGGCCGAGCGGTCCCCCCCCACTCCCGCTCCATTCGGGCCCTCTCCCCCCTGTCGTGTCAGTTGATTCTGCTCTTTTCGCACCCAGGGGCCAGCCAACCGCGCGTCTCCCGCTCCTCCTGCACAGCGGCATCCGGCAGGTTTCATTTTTCCCGTGGCAGCCTTTTTCTAGCGGGCCGGTAGTGGTGTGTTTACTTGGCACGCAGCATGCCATTTGAGTTGCCTTTGCCTTTGCCAACCACCCGCACTCCAGCTGCCCACACTTCCAGGTTGCCCACACTGCCCGCACACTGCCCGCACTGCTGCTGTCCGGGAGGCAGGTTGTGTGCGTGCTCTGTGCTCGCTGTGCTGAGCTTCTGTTGGATCAGTCCAGTCCAGCCCAGTCCGATCTAGTCCGGATCCGACCAACAACATCGAATACGGCCCCCAGCTCGGCCAGCCAGCAACTCGTCTGCCGACTTGACGTCCGTCTGCCTGTCCACCTCGACACCTTATTAATCTTCCTTGCTGGATTCTGCGGAGACGGCACTTTTCCAAGCTCATTCACGCCCCATTTCGTCCCATCCTCGCACCATTCCCCGGAAGTGTTACTTCGTATTGCTTTGCTGGCGCAGTGGCGGCTGGAATACGTCTGCCCTTTCCCACGCCTGCCCTCCACCTTCGTTCAACGACTTATTAAAACCTCGCAACCACTCACCGCACCCACCAACTAGTCCACCGCCCGCTCTCTTTCTGGGTCTGGTCTCTTGAGTGTGCGTGTGTGTGTTTGTGTCGTGCTCTTCTGCCACTCGTTTCTGCCATGATGACACTACGAGAAGCCCTGGCGGCCGCCCTCAAGTCTCTCGTTCGCGGCAAGTCGTTTCTCAAAGCCCTCCTCGCCTTCTGGTCGGCAACTACCTCCGGTGTCCCCGTCACGCCCCAAGATGCCGGGGCCAAGGACAGCATCGACCCCGCTGCCGACTTCCTGGCGGAAGCCGAGCACCTGCTGCTGGGGTACATCGCGGCCAACGGGCTGAAGAAGTTCTCCCGGCGGCTTAAGCGCCAATTCAAGGAGCGTCTGTGGTCCAACCCGGAGTGCATGTTGCCGTCCTACAACTCACAACTACCGACCGGCCGCGAGTCCGGTCAGTTTCTCGCCCTCGATATCGGGGGCTCGACGTTGCGTGTGGCCTTGGTGGAACTTAGGGGTGCAGCAGCAGGGGGACCGTCTGAGGGGGGTGCAGAGAGTCAGATCGTCCGGTTGGATTCGTTCAAAATCGACAGCAGCGTCAGGAGTTTGAGGGGGATGCAGTTCTTTGACTGGATTGCCGAGAGGATACATAGGACCGTCGCCAAGGACAGTGCAAGGGGCCACAGCCCAGATCTTCCACTGCTCATGGGACTGGCCTGGAGCTTCCCCATCGAGTATGTTTTCCCCCTTCCTCCACGGTTCTTACATTATGACAGACGCTAACACCACGCAACCAGGCAAACCTCTTCCAAGGGCGGCAAGTTGTCGGCCATGGGTAAAGGGTTCCTCGCCAACGAAGGCCTCGTTGGGCAGGACTTGGGAGAAATTATCAAGTCCGCCTGCCAGAAGTGTGGCCTCTACGTCGAGCTCTCAGCCATTGTGAACGATTCGAGCGCAGCCCTGCTCGCGGAAGCCTACTCCACACCATCGACCCGCTTCAGCCTAATCCTAGGCACGGGCGTCAACATTGCCGCGCATCTCCCCGTCTCAACCATCGACCAGCCCAAGTTTGGCGACCGCCCGAGCAGCTGGCACGAAAAGGCCAGCCATGTGATTGTCAACACCGAACTGGGCATGTTCGGCCACGATATCCTGCCTTTCACTCGGTGGGACAAGTTGCTCAAGGCCGACCACCCACGGCCAGACTTTCAGCCGCTAGAGCAGATGGTCAGCGGGATGTATTTGGGCGAGATCTGCCGGCTGGCGCTAGTCGAGGCTGTTCAGTCGACGGGGGTGTTTGGTGGCAAGTTACCACCATCACTGGAGAAGCCATATTCTCTCGACACCGAGACACTCTCCTTGATCGAAGCGTATGTTTCTTTGTCTCTAACCCCTTTTGTGCTGTTTTACACGGGCAGCTAGCTAACATTCCCCAGCGACATCACCCCGACCCTCTCAACCGCCATCCACACCTTCACCACCCGCCACCCCATCCCCTCCTACACGCCCACCACAGCCGACCTCTCCTTCCTCCGCACCCTCGCTTCCCACATCATCCGCCGCTCCGCCTCCATCATCGCCGCCTCCCTGCACGCCCTCTGGGAACTCAAAGCCGAGGCCGAAACCGAGTTACTCACCACCACCCTCGCAACCGGCACCGAAACCGACACGGAGACCCACCCCTTCGCGATCGAGACACAAGCCGAGTTGGAAACGGTGCAGGACAAGATGACGGTTGTGTACAACGGGTCGGTCGTGGAGCATTACCCGGGGTATCGGCAGGAGGTGCAGATGTTTTTGCAAGGGTTGATGGCGGAGAGTAAGAGGGAGCGGGGATTAGAGTTGGGGTTGAGTGAGGATGGGCAGGAAGTGAAGAAGAAAATTGTGGTGACGGGTGATTCCGCCGCCAGGTCGATTGCGTTGGTTGAGGCGAGGGAGAGCTCGTTGAGGGGGGCTGCGGTGGCGTTGGCGTGTCTTTCTTAAACTAAAGTTCTTTCGATTTGGTGATATGGATATGGCCATAAAAAGGACATAGATATCGACACTGGTATGGACACGGGTATGGAATGGGTACGATACGGGTCTGCACTTGGACTGGAACAGGACGGCCTGTTGTGTGGATAACATACATCCGACTAACGAGGCGGGGCGGGCGGTGCATAGCGTACGTTGTGGTTTAATTACCTTTCTTTCCTTACCCACACAGCTGGGCTAGGACGATTTTGCCGGTATGTTTGTGGTGGGGTTGTACATAAATGTGGAGAGGGAGCGGGCATATGAGCGATTTCTTCGATGATCGAATATTGGGACGTACCCGAAACCGGAAATACACGTATATACTTAGCGATGCACACAGATACCGTTCACTGGAATATTCAATGGAGTAACTAAGAGAAATGAGTGAAGGTGTTAAGTGTCCTGGGTATTCCAAATCGTTTGCTACTTGACTCACTTCATCCCACCCATAGGTTCATCGACCTGTCGCCATAACCACATAGATAACCAACAACAAATACACTAGAAACATAAAAAAACTCAACGCCACATCATTCAACCAACATAAAAACACACAACACAACAAATAACACACGTTCCCCACCTCCCCTTAGCTGTCCCTGCTTACCAGCCCCTATTGTCCCTACACCTGCATATCTGCGTAAAGGTGCGTACATAAAGGTGCGTGCGTACATAAGACAAGCAAGGCCGCTACTCAGCCGCAACGAAATACCGCTTCGCCTTGCTGCGTACCTGCTGGGCCTTGACCTCGGGCGGGACAATGGTGTGGTGGACGACGTGGGGGCGGTAGATTGCGTCGACGGGGGGCATCCTGTTTTTTGAGTTTCGTTAGTCTCTTTTCTTTCTTGTTTTTCTTTTCTTCTCTGCCCTTTTCTTGCTGGAATCTGTGCTGATCTCTGCCCTTGTCCTCCCTTTTCCTTGCTGTTGTTCCAAATGCAGATGGGAATGAGGGTAAACTAGCAAAATAGAAAAAAAAAACCCCGTTCGCTCCTCCCATAGGTGTAGGGTATAAGAGAAAAAAAGTAGAAATAACTCACCAATCATCCAAACTCAACGGGAAATACTCATATAACATATCCTCCGTCGTCTCCATCGGGCTAGCCAAAACACCCGCCGCCCCAGCCGCGGCCGCCGCTGACAACCCACCTGCTGTACCAGCACCAGCTCCACCTGCACCACTCCCGTTCCCGCCTCCAGAGGCCGAGAGAAACCCAGCCGAAGAAGAAGATGCCTTCCCCCCATGCTGCTGCCCCTGCCCCTGCTGCTGGCCCGGCTGTTGTGGACTCTGCGCGCTATCATTGGACCCAGCCCGGTTGGAGGGACTCCGCTCGTCTTCGGAAAGCGACAGACTCAGGGGAACAGCCGTGTTGTTGTTGTTGTTGTTGTTGTTGTTGTTGTTGTTGTTATTGTGGCTGCTATTGCGGCGCTGTTTGGGACCACCACCAGAGGAAGAAGAAACTGATAGACTGTTGTGTTTCGTCCCGGTGTGTTTAGGGGTTGGAGGTTCGAGGGAGCCCCAGGAAGGTACGGGGGGTCGGTTGAGGCTGGGGGAGGTCATGGCCATCTTTTTGTTGGCGTGTTGGTGTTGGTGTTGGTTTTGGTTTTGTGGGTTGTGATGGGAGTGGGGGGTGGGTGTGGAAGCGTAGGGGGTTGGCCAGTCGGCGGGGGATGACTGGAAGGTTGTTAGTATGTATGTGTAGTAGGGAGCGGAGGAGGATGAACCTCCCGGAAAGACGAGACTCACCTGAACATTGCTTCCCATGGCATTAAACCCCCGCATCTTCCCGGCCTCTGCATCCTCCGCCCTCAACTGCTGCTTCACCCCCGCCGACGAACCCGACACATCCGTATTCCTCCTCTCCAACGGCCTCTTATCCCCCAACGGCACCTCCTTCCGACTATCAAAATTCCTCGGACTCCTCCCACGCACAATCACCGGCCCCGACTGCACCTCCGTCACCTTGACATACTCCCCCCCGGCCTTGCTCTTCACCAGCAGGTTGATCTGCACCACATAGTGTTGCTGCAACCCCTTCCGTCGTCCGTTATTCGCCGTCGCATGCTTGAACTGCAGCCTCTTCCACGCCACGGGAACCGACACCCGGTTCCCGCTGTCCACTTCCTGCCCACCGCCCACAAAATCCAACGGCACCACCGGCGGCGGGCTAACAGCCTTGGTTTCCTCCGCGGCCCCGCCCGCGCCCCCCATCGGCGGCGCGTTGCTGCCGCGCCAGGGGATGGTGATCATCTCCGCGACGCGGCCCTCAATGCTCTCAACAGCCGTGATAGACGCAGCCAGCTCAGCAACAGGCATGCGCCGGCCTTGCTCGTCCATGTACTGCACGACCTGCCGCGGTAGGGTAACCTGTCCAGAGATCTGCCACAAATTACGGCGGTAGCAGGTCAGTTCGAGCGGGCGACCCGAAGTATTACTATCCGCACCAAAGACATCCTCGGCAACGAAGAACATGCCGTACAGCTCTCCCGTCATGTGCGGCTCGGCAAACTGACCGGCGTCAGTGAGCAGCGTGGCCTTTCCCGGGATCGGCGCGCCGAAGCTGAGGAGCTTGTTGTCGAGGGCGTCGTCTTCGTCGTCGGGTGGGGAGCCCTCGCCCATGTGGTCGTACACGTCGTGGTGGCCGTGGCCGTGGGTGTGGGTGTGGGAGTGGGAATCGCCGACGGGGGCGGGCGGGTAGACATGGGGGGCGTTGCGGGCGCCGCGGCCGATGGCGGCGGGGTTGTTTTCGAAGGGGCGGGCGGGATAGGAGAAGGGGTCTTCGAAGGTGGTGCTGAAGGCGTCGAAGTCGTAGGGGGCGGGGGTGAAGGGGAGTTGGGGGATGTTGACGGGGTCACTGGAGCAGCATTATGGTCAGGAAGACAGGAAATACGACTAAGAAGACGAGGAAAGAAGAAACTAACAGCATCGACTCGTCAAAAGCCATACACGCATTAAAAGCGTCCATATCCGAAGCCGTCATAGGCATGCCGTCCGGGCCGGGAGTGGCGCCCGGAGCCAGCGCCGGCATGGGATTGAACCCGGCCATCCTCTACTCATTGCCGCGCTCTCGGGGAGCTTCGAGGCGGGTCATGCACAGGAACAGGAACGCCCGCTCAGGCACAGGCACAGGCACAGGCACAGGCTGGCAGCGCGGCGTTCCGATCCGATCCGTTGTTTCGTTTTCGGTTTCGTTTCGTTGTCCGTGACCTGTCCGTCCGTTCCAACTGTGGGCTGTGGGCTGTGCGTAACGTATCGACGTTTCGTTATCGGCTGTAACTAAGGCAGGTATCGTACTCCGTATCGTTCGGAGGATTGCTCTGTTCGTTCGCGAAAGCAAGCGCTAGCGCAGTCTGGAATAGTGTTCTGTCCAGCGATGGGCGATAGGGCTCGGTATCTCTCAGAGCATAATCATGTGCGATAAGCTCAATGCTGCGCAACGGCGCAATAACTAAGGTGGTAGGTGGTGGTGTGGTGGTGTGCGGTTGTGGTGCAGCGCATGCAAGCGGGAGATTGAGCATGCGAGGTGGAGATTTCGATTGCCAAGACCCCGGCCGGGGCCTGTATGCGACTCCCGATTGCCCGCTTTTCCATCGAGTACCCGCCCCCGCTGCTCCAGGTGCTGCAGGGCACCTCACAGGTCAGTCGGTGGCTGGTGCTTGGAGCGTTCGCAGCTTCCCCAGATGCTCACGGGGCTTATCCTACGCCAAGCCTTACCAAATTGAGGGGGCGCTGACTGCTAAGTCCACAAAAAAAAATCCGGCTTTCAAGTTGTTCTCAGTTCCATGCTTGCACATGGATGTTGGTCAACCGATTCCAAGGCCTCTTTTGTTTTACATTTCCCTGTATTCTACTATGCTCCTCCCTAAACACCAGTCTCATTACCTCGGTATCGGAGAAACCCCAACGGCCGTCCCGAACTTCCCACACAAGCCCACTAGTACATAGTAAAGATCATGGAAGACAGACCCCATAGGGACGGTGGTCCGGACCAGCGGCCTTCGCCGGGCCGATTTTAGGGTCTCGCCCCCGTCAGTGCGGGGAATAGAGCTCGACTCCGCGGGGTCCTCAGGGGTTGGGTTTTCGGATTACGGGAAGCAACATGGAAAGATGGGGTCAGGAGGTTATGTGGAGGACCTAATTCAGGGAAAGCTACCTAGGGACGGAGTACGGTAGGCAACCTTAGAAAGTACATAATGGTACAGCAGTTGAGCAGGTATCCAAAGTTACCAACAGTAAATTCAAGGACATGCCGAAATGCATTGCAAGTTAGATTTTAGGAGCCCCAACCAAATAACCTGTTTTCATTTCCTGCTCAGGGGTAAATAAAAGAAAGAGAAGTAAAACGACATAAACACACTTTCGTTTCTCCTGAATATGACCCATAGATTTGATAACCCACTACGACAGATCCTGCCACTAGAAACAAGTTAGCACATTACCCACAACGAAACAACACAGGACAGAATCAAACAATCCAACTTACATTCTCCGGCGAGCTCGTAAACTGCTCAAAAGCCTGCACCACCTCAAACCCCATCGCCACCAACGGCTCCTGTGCCTCGTCCTGCACCCAACTCAGAACACTACGCAACGATTTATGCGCTTTGTTCTGCCTCACCCCCATAAGCGCCAGTCCCTGCAGCACCAAAGTGGCCTGCGCTTGGCCTCCGGAAGATGGCGCAATGATGGGGGCTACGATGCCACCGATGGGCTGCTCGTCCTCCCCGGGGCCCGGCTGTAGCGGCGGGATGAACCCGGACAGTGGGCTTCCAGGGCTGCAGATAATGACCGTGCCGAGGAGCGCTTCGCCGGGCCCTTTGGCGCGGACAACGCCGCAGGTTTTGGTTTCCTGCAGAGCGAATCGGTACAGTTCGAGGACCTCCGGGTGGGAATGCGTCTTGATGTGGTCGAGCACGCTTTCGGCGTTTTCCGGCCCGTGGATGAGATCGAAGCTGATTCCAGCGCGCTGGATGCTCTGGAGCAGGCCCTCGGGCGGGTTCCAACCGGCGAGGGAGGGGATGGTTAGGTTGGAGATCCGCCGGGGGAACTGCAGGTCCCAGCCGCCGTTGGCGAACCACTGCCTCAGATTGGCGCTGTCGTCGGCCGGGATGCCCGGAAAGACACCGGGGAAGGACATGCCGAGTTGCATCTTCTTGATGCCGCGTTTCTGAGCGAGGCCGCGTAGAGCACGACGCTGGAGAGATCGGCCGATGGAGAGGTTGCGTTTGGAGGGGTCAACAAAGACAGCACCGATGATGCCTGTGCCATGGACGAAGTAAGTGGCGCAGAAGCCGTAGAGGGCTTTGGTGCTGCTGTTGCGCACCATGAAGTGGGCTTCTTCGATGTTGGGGTTGAACAGCTCGAAGGAGTGGGCATTTGTTGTCAGCAGGAACTGATGAGCCGGAGCGCTTGCCCGAGCGAGAGCCTGCAACAAATCGTCCAGGTATCGGGCATCTCGGTCGCGGTCATACGCTTCCACAAGCCAGTGCTGACGGGATTTGAGTGCCTTCCTGCTCTTTCTGAGAGTGCCCGGAAGTGTTCCTTGCGGTTTGGACTTTCCACACAAGGCCCCGACCAATGCCGACATGGCCAATTCGGTGAAGTCAAACGTGCAGATGTAGGTCCCAACGGACTTGTCCATGGCGAAGTCGTAGGGTGAGCTAACAGCGACGACGATCAGGGATTTTTTCTGACCGCTTGCGCGGAGCAATGAACACATCATGGCGACATGCTTGGTGAAACCGGCTTGGTACAAGTTGCGGTTGGCGTCTGCTGTAACGATGATGATAGACGACGCCCGGTTGATCAAGTTCTCGTGTACTGTTCGGTTTGTCAATACGTGTGCCAACACTATGCCTTAGACCAACCCGCAAGTACTTACCGGGCCGAACACCGTGCGCAGTGTATGAAGTATGCAGCAGTTTACCGTGCCTCTCCCTCGCGAGCGACCTCCCTAACTCTCTAAACACGCCCTCGCCGCTCATGATGGCACCCCGAGTATTATGGACCCATCTCTCGTGGACCGTGTCCGGCCTGTGCTTCTCCTGCAGCGCCCTAGTCATTGGGGACGCAGGTAGCGGCTTGACCAGGGGCGTTAGCAGAAGAAGTTCCTCTTCTTGATGCATGGACTTGGTGAGCGGGAGCAGGCCTTCATTGTCGCGTATCACGGCGATCGAGTCGTCGTAGGCCTTGAGTGACAGCGCGAGGTGCCCAGGGTGAATCTTAGATAGCAAACTGATCCCAGGCGGGTTCAGCGCCTTCTGCCAGGAGGTACATTGCTTCTTCATCCGGAAAAGTCTCCTAAGAGAGGTATAAACCCGCTCTTTCGTGATGAGCTCATTCTCCACCCCAAGTTTGAGACCGGCAATGGCTTCGAGCTGCACGTCGTAGGCACGGCAAAGTAACACCAAGTCGCAACCGGCTTCCACAGCCATAACAGTCCCGGTCCTGACGCCGATCTCATTCCGGAGGCCCTCCATTTCAAGGCACTCGGAGATGGCCACGCCCTGGAACCCGAGCTCGTTCCTAAGCAAGTCGTCAATCACCTGCTCGGAAAGACAGGCGTGGTTGACATTCATGGATGGGTTTGTGATGCCGCATCCACCGACGAACATGGCGTCAAGGTTTCCCGTGGCGATCGCGTTGCGGAAGGGAACGAGCGCGCTCAGCGACAGTTCCTCCAGCGTCTGCGTAATGGTGGGAATATCCAGGCTCGAGCCGAGAAAATCCAAGTTCCCGTATGAAGGGAAGTGCTTTCCACAAGTAGCGACTCCAGCCTCCTTGTACCCATTCATGGCGGCGATGCCGTACTGCGAGACCTCCTGGGGGTCGTCGCCAATAGCTCGGACCCCTAAGGGTTGGTAACGCGCATTTGTAAGGACGTCCAAGACGGGTCCGAGGATCAGGTTCACGCCGACGGCCGAGATTTCTGTGGCTGTGGCTTTGGCAACTTTGTAAGCCAGATCAGCGCTGCTGGCCGCAGCCTGGCCCATGGAGCTGGGGAACTGGCAGATGTAGTCCTCATCGAAGAGGCTGTTGACACCACCATTTTCCTGGTCGAGGGCAATCAACAGGGGGTACGGGTGGCCGGCTTGGTGAGCAATGGTCTGAAGCTCCTGGACAAGCCTGGCGGTTTGCTGAGCGGCTGTAGGTCAGTTAGTACATCTGGTTCCATTTCTCTCCGGATGGGAACGATCACGACATTTGAGGTTCTTTGCCGTCAACAAGATGGAGCCCACATGGTGCTCTTCGATGAGATGGCGGATCGAGGGGGTCACTTCAGTGCCATCCCACCCCATAATCAGCATCTGGCCAATGGCCCTATCCATGGTGTTAGTTTCCATGCTCTATACTCTATGAACGGCCCATCATGCGTTGTGGTTTGTTTATAGCTCATTGCAACGGCATAACCAACCCCAATCCGAAGACCAAAGTGGTGAGGCTATCCCCAATAAACATCGCCGGAGTAACCATACAAGCATGCACACCAGGCGTACGGCAGCGAGAAAACACAAACAACATCACATACCAGTCGAGATCCTGCCATAGTGGGTCCAGTTCGGGGTCCAATTTGTTGGTCATGTTGGGCTGCTTCGGCAATGAACGAGGTGGGTTCGAGAACGGTGCTCCGACGGCGGCATACTGGTGGCCCAAGGAGCGAGACGAGCAGCAGTGGACGCGCGCACGAGCGCCCCAGCGAGCGGCAATGGAACAGAGCAGCAAGCAGGTGTAACGATGCCGCTGTTGCTCTCAGAGATCCAGGGGGGCCATCAGTCAGCAACGAAAGTCCCGATGTCCTCAAACAACCTTGGGCGCTCAGGAAGACTGACGGTTGGCCAGATGGATTGTGTCGGATCTCGGCGGGTGCACACACAACAAGCAACCACACTTGTTTCCGGTGGAAGGTGGAAGGAACGATGGTTGCAAGCGCACTGGCCAATGGTGGAGGGCGGGGCCGCCAAGGCCAGAGAGGAACAAATGGAAGTGCACTAACCCAATCCGGTAGGTACGATACAACGTTTTGGTTAGCCCCAATTGGGCAACGTTACATGCCTTCCCGGCCGCGAAGCTCCATCGAAAGATCCATGCGGCATCAAATCTCCAACTTCACGAGCAGTTCAGGATGGAGATCAAACAACGCGACTCACGGGGGATCCGCCGTTAACAAGGGCGCCGACTGCGTGCCCCGCTGCGGTTGACCCAAGGGGTTGGAATGGCCAATATCGATCCCGGCGGCTCCGCTTGCTAACGTCACTCTATCAAACCGGGAGGACCGGCCTTTCAAACTGTGCCCGGAGGACACACGGTGTGTAATCTCGAAGGAGAGGAGGCAAAGGGTAGCGAAGCGATTTGTTATCAAATCCACCGCCGTGTGATCCAGGTCCAGTCCCCTCTTGTGCTCCTTCCCGAAGGCAAGTGCAACAGTGCGAACTGCAACCAGCCGGATATCCATATCACACGGACCATCACACCATAAACCGGAAGGGATTGCTGGCGGAAAGAACGATCCGCAAGACTGGAGTCCATGGGAGTGCAAGTGAAGCGGAGATTAACAGTGTCTCAACTCGAACGATGCTTCTCGAACTCTTTCGTGCCCCTCCACCCCTCGCCTCTCGCCAACCCGAGTGCCTCTCTCTGTGCCCTCGTCCCAGCGAATACCGGACCGAAGGAGAACCACGGGCGGCTTCGGTGGCGGGAGACTGGCGCCCGGTTCGTGACAGAATGACGTGAAGTGGTGGGTGACAGGTGGTATCTGTTCTCTAATCAACGGTCACGGGTCAGTACACCCAGCCCACCAAAGTCCCAGTGTCGCAGACCCAACCAAGTCGACCCGGATCGGGCCAAGCTCCTATGGACGACCCGGGACGTTTCGTTTGGTGGTAACATGGCTGCGAGATAACGCATTCCACGCACCCGCGCCGTTTATGCGTGACTCTCCAACCTAGTTCCAAGGGCGTCCGGCCCACAAACTAGGACAGTGGATGGACAGATACTGTATCGGACCGGTGCCACCGCGGGCTCCATCGGGGCAAGAAAGCCCAGTGCGTTCCAGTGGATGGCTTCCCCGGCGCTTGCCCGGTGAGTAAGAGGAGTCGACCGGCCGGATGTGTCCGTTCTATCCTCTGATATTTGAGAGGCCGAGCCGCCTCTCTCCTGCTTCATCCAGTATGCCATGGCGTCCACAACCGAACCCCCGGGCCCCTTTCCGCCCTACAAACCGAGACACACAACCCCTGACGCAGTAACCCGACGGCATCTGCCTACCTAGAATCCCTTACTTTACCTCTGTATTTCTAGCACAACCCACTATGCCGTCGGTCGTCCGGTCTGCCTCTCCCCGCCATAATGGCATCACCAAGTTCACCAACTGCCGGCTTCTCCGCGGGGAAGAGCTGGTATGGGATGACGTCTGGGTCAGTTCGGCCACGGGCAAAGTAATCCGCAGCCAGACGGCATTCTACGATGAGTTCATCATGCCGGACGAGGTCGTCGACTTGGGCGGCCGCATCCTGTCGCCGGGCTTCATCGAGTGCCAGCTCAACGGCGCATATGGCTTCAACTTTTCCACCGATAACGATATGCCGCAGTACGGCAAGCAGCTTCGGGATCTGAACAAGAAGCTGGTCCAGACCGGGGTTACTTCGTACATCCCGACGGTGACGAGCCAGTCTAGGAGTCTTTACAAGAAGGTGCCTTCATTTTAGCCTCTTCTTCCCGTCGATAGCACTCGCTCAACACCTAACCTGAATCTAGGTCCTCCCCTATCTTGGACCTTCAGGAGCTTCCCGTCGCCCGCAGGACGGTGCCGAGTCTCTCGGAGCCCACGTCGAAGGCCCCTTTCTCAACCCGACCAAGAATGGCGTGCATAATCCGGCCATCCTCCGGGTCGCCGAGTCCTTCTCCGACCTAGAGGAGATGTACGGCGCGGCCAACCTCACTCCGGCCTCCGAGTTCGACCCTGCTCCCTCCAGCCCCTCATCATCCTCCTCCTCTGTCCGATCCAGATCATCATCAGACCCCCTCTCATCCGCCCCCATCAAAATGATCACAGCCGCCCCCGAACTCGGTGCCATGACCTCACTCATCCCAGCCCTCACCGCGCGCGGGATCCTCGTCTCCATTGGCCACTCCGAAGCAACCTACGAAGAAGCCTCCACCGCCGTCACCGCCGGCGCGACCATGATCACCCACCTCTTCAACGCCATGAGGCCCCTGCACCACCGCAACCCAGGCATCTTCGGTGTCCTGGGCGTGGCGCCGGCCCCCAACGACCAAGACAAACGCCCTTACTTTGGCCTCATCGCTGATGGCATTCACCTGCATCCGGCCACGGTCAAGATTGCGTGGCACGCCCACCCGGCTGGGATGATCCTCGTGACCGATGCTATGCATATGGTGGGTTTGCCTGACGGGCGGTATCCGTGGACGAATGGAGAGGGGGAGCATTATATTGTGAAGAAGGGGAATGTGCTGGAGTTGGAGGGGACGGGTATCATTGCTGGGAGGTGAGTTCTTTCCCATACCCTATAGCCTCAATGGTAAACCAGCAAAAACAGAGCGAAACTGACAAAAGTAATTACAGCTCCACAACCCTAATAGAATGCGTCTCCAACTTCCTCAACTACACCGGTGCCACCATCCCGCAGGCCCTGCGCGCCGTCACAGCCACGCCTGCGGCCATGCTCGGCGTGGACGGTGTCAAAGGGTGCTTGGACGCTGGCGCAGATGCTGACTTGGTTGTGCTCTCTGAACTGGGGTTCCCTGAAAAGGGGAGTGAAAGGGAGGGTGGGGATGGACGGCGGGAGTTGGTGGTGGATGAGGTGTGGAAGTTTGGGGTGAGGGTTTTTTGAGTGGGGGGGGGAAGAGGCGTTAGATGGATGTTAGATTGACTAGTCAATTGGTGAACTCTCAGGCTGATTGATGATGATGGGACGTACTGAGTAGAATGAACCCGTAGAGATATCATAAAGACACCTGTGTGGAAAGTACATTGGCACAAGCCAAGTCAAGTACAGTTGAGATTGCGATATAACGTACAATATTGGATATATATACCACTTAGACTGATAGATACCGCATATACCAAAATTCAATACACATCATTACCATTACCAATCCCGCATGTACAGTCAGCTTCATTTCTTTCCAAATACACTCCCTTTCCAACTCACGCCAATTCGTCCCGAATACACTGCATTTCTTTCCCAGCTCACCCCATCCCATCCTTTCCACCCTCCCTCTCTGTCAAGTAGGGTAGAGAGAGTTTAAGACAGCGTAAACTCCCGACTCCTCCCCACAAACCCCGTAACCCCCCCAGTAACCGGCGCCTTCGAATCCCCATAATACACAATCCGATACGTCCCCGGCTCATCCACCGCCTGATCCGTCTCCCAATCAATCGTCACCTCACTATACCCCAGCACCAAATTCGTCCTCTTCCACGTATACACCAGCGCCCAGTCCGCATCGCTGCGCACGCGCGTCCACGTCTTGCCGTCGGCCCCGCCCAATTTCTCGACCGCGGCGAAAGTTTCTTCCAAGCGGAGATTGTTGCGCGGGTTGGCGCCGATGAAAGTTGCGCTGAGGACGGAGCCACGCGTGGCGGTGGTGGGCGGTTGGCTGGTGACGTCGCCGAAGGATTTACCGATGGGCGTGGCGTCGAGGACGACGCCGGGGACGAAGCTGAGGGATTTGTTGCGGTTGTCTGGTGGTGTTGGACCGGCGGGGGGTTGTTGTTTGGCTGTGGCCGGGTCGGGGGAGAGGTAGTGCAAGGCGGAGAGGGTTAGGTTGATGTAGGCGGGGAGTTCCCAGGGGCCGAAGAGGGTGCTGGCGCCTTCGTAGCGCTGGACTTGGTATTCTTCCGGGGTAGCGACGTAGTGGGAGTAGGAGTTGGCGGGTCCGCCGAGGACGACGTAGGGGTCGTGGTTGCCCGTGATGGAGGAGGAGATGGCGGCGGCTTTGACGGCATCGCGCCAGCGGCGGCCGGACATGGTGGTGGCTTCGGAGGGGGAGACGATGATGAGGAATTGGCCGACACGGAAGGTTTGGACGTCGATGATGTTGGGGGTCCAGGGGTAGGGGAGATCCATCTCGCCGACGTCGAGGAGGATGGGCTTGGTGCCCTGACACTTCTTCTGGGCAGCCGTAGGCACGCGGAGGAGGCCCGAGACGACGCCCCAGAGCGGGTTGTTGGGAGCGCCGTTGTCGCCCTGGGTGAAGTCGAAGGCGCCGGGCCAGTCGGTGGTGCCGCCGGCGAAGGAGTAGCCCAGGGCGGCCGGGCAGGTTTGCACCTCGGTGCCGTTGTCGAGGGCGAACTTGTAGAAGCGCATGTCGTGGAAGTAGTGGAACGAGCGCACGGTAGGGCCGGCCACGGGGGTCGACTTGGTGTTGGCGTTGAGGGAGTCATAGAGTGACCGGGCACCAGAAAACTGCTTGGACGCAATCTCGTGGCAGCTGGAGACACCGAGATCTAGCTTCTGGAACTGCGGCCCGCGGCCGTGGCACTTCTCGGACAGGCCGTCCTTGCAGGTGCTGGTGTGGAAGTCGCACATCTCGCCCGAGCCGTCGTCGCACCACGCGCCGAGAGTGTTGGGGGACGTGTCGCCGACGTTGGCCTGCGAGAAACCCGCAACGAACCCCTCGGCGGCCTGGTCGCTGCCCTGGACGGACTGCTCAAACAGGTACGCAGCCAGGCCCTTGTTGTCGCCCGACACGTGGGTGTTGTTGCCCAGCATCGAGGTCGCGTGCACGGCGAACCAGGTCAGCACGCCAATGTTCTTGCCGTCCGATGCCCGCTGGAACCGCAGCAGGGTCAGCGTCTTGTCCACGTCGTCGGCGTACTTGGCCCGTTCGGACTCGGGGTTAGCCAGGTACGAGTACGGACTGCGGTTGACGTTGGCGCCGGCGATGTCGGTTGTGCCGAAGTCGAGGTAGCCCTAGATACATCCGTCAATACACTTTCCGCGGCACTTCCACAGCATTTCCAGGAAGAGATAGGGACCAACCTCCTGGAGCGACTCATGCGCCCGCTTGATCGACAGCACCGCGCCATCGACAATCGCCTGATAACCCTGCCGGTCAAACCCCAAGCTAGTAATCTGCGGCAGCAGGTAGTTGAACCACCCGCCCGGACCGCTATGCGAATGCGTGCCGGTGATAGCCACATTCGACTGGCCATAGACCGCATAATCCGACCCCAGCCCAGCCAGCCCTTCCAACACGCCATTGCGCACCGCCGTATCACCCGTCAAGTCGTCCAAAATCACATACACAAACCGATTATCCGACCCAACCTCACCGATAATAAACGACCGCGCATACAGCCGCTGGCGCAAACCCGTGCCAATCTGCGACGGGTTCGCATACCCGCCAAAGTTGATCTCTACAACGGGGCCCGTGATGTCGGCTTTCCCGACGCCCAGAAGGTACTTGTCGCCCGTCTTGTCGCCTGCCGCGCGGGGCTTGGACAGGAACGGGTTGTCTGCCGGGTCGAAGTTGTGGAAGCGGGCTGCGAACTGGCCGTCGGCGGGGCCGCTGCTGAACTGCGCGAACGCGAAGAGGGCGAGGATGAGGAGCGAGACCATCGCGATGGTCGCGGTCATGGCCCGCTTGGGGGCTGGAACCCCCTGGCGGTGGTGATGTTGGAACGGCATCTTTGGTATGTCCCTACACTAGGGAAGCGGGGAGCGAGAGGGAGTTCAGCGCGTCTCGAAGGGGGACGACTCGGTCTTTGATAGTTCTCTCTCAGTCCGGGTCTCGGTCCCAGCGATCGCCACAAGCCGAATTCGAGATAGGGCCCCTCGTGATGTCTCGCCTAGGACTTCAAGCGAGCAGGAACGTCGTCAAGCGGCTCGAGAGCGGCAGGGCGGGGACAGCGAAAGCCAAGGCAATTCCTGGGAGGCGATCTCCAAACGGGCAAGAGGTTCAAGGTGACAACCGGGGCAGCCTTCCCCTTCTGAAAGGCACCGGCATGGAAACCTTGCCGACTGCCACCCATTGGAAGCCAATCTGCCAGTGTCTGCCCCAGAGTCGCGCGACGCGCAGCCGGGATCTGGGGCGGGTTGCATTGGCTGCATCCTGGCTTGCCTGCTTCTTTTTCCAGGTGTCTCTCAACCCTGGTTCTGAACTTCAGAAGCGCATCCTTCATCCCTGCTGGTCATTCATCGGTTCATCTGAACTGTGAATTCTCAACAGTAATTCTCCTCATCAACACGCAAAGGAAGGCCCCGAACAATTCCTCCAAACAACCCATCTCGAACCCCCTTTTGCCGTCTTGCATCTCGCGTCGTCCTCCTGTGTGACATGCCCAACTCGGCATGGTCATTGGATGCGCCCACCACCCCGCGGGGAATTGCAAATGAGCCCGGTTCGGGTCGGCCAGCTGAAATGACGTACCTGGGCCCGGCAGAGGTCACCAGACGGCCCCATTGGATGTTCCCGGGTAGCACCCGAGGGGGAGAGGGGCGGCGGCTTGCTTGATGGCGCCCCCTGTCTCATTTTCTTCTCCAGAGCTGGGCTCGATGGCAGTTGTCATTTGGTTCACTGTTGTCATGTCTTGTGTTGCATCGTTTTCAAGGTCAGGTCGGAATACGGGAAGAAGTCTCATGTGGCAGCTATTTTCCTCTCGATGTCGTACACTAAATGCATTGTCTCTAGTCAAAGCAAGGAAATGAATTCCATTGTCTGATTCAAGCAATGCAATGCAATCGGATGCAAAGGCCAAGCCGAGGCCCAAAGTCCTCTCGCCATTTGGAGGTCTGGCGCCCAGAACCCCACAGGGCGTTCAACCCCAGCACGTCCAGCCCTAACCCTCAGCAGAATCTCCACCCAAAAAGCTTGACACCCGGCACCCGCGGACTCCCGCACCACCAGATCGGCCAAGCCATCCAGCATTCCCTCGCTGTGACAGGCACCACTTCCCCACTGTTACTCGGGTTCGGTTAGTGTAAAAATGCGCTAGCTTTCGGATGTTAACGTTTTGCAGATGCAGATGCAGATGCAGATGCAGACGCAGACGCAGGCCTCCTTCGATTTGACTATGACCGGGTTGTGATGCAGTTGGCCACTTTCGAAAAGGGCAGCTCGTTTTTAGTTGCTTTCAAGATCGCCGGGCTCGGACTGTGAGAGTCGCCAAAAGTGCCTGGCCTTCATTGACCGGCAACTGCAAAACCACCATTGGCCATTGCATCCATGGAGACTGAATAGTGTAATGGTTATGTGTACGACAATGGACAATGTACCAGAACGAGGGACATCGAGATTCCAGCCGTTAGGAATGGAAAGGGGCGAAACAAATAAAATGGACCAGTCCTTCATAGCGGGGTACTACTCTACTAAGTAAAAAGTGTCGAAGGTTCAAGTGTGATATTCAGAGTTTGGTCAACTTCAACCTCACCAAATCCTCCTCTCCGCAAAACACCATCATCACTACCAGTATCTTATTCGTCATCTCCCCAGACCTAACTTCCCTAAATATAATAAAAGATGCTTCCCCTCCAACCGGACAACATATCTCTACTAAATAGTTGGTTCCATACGCGAGGGTTGTGATTATACATCATGCTTTATATTCCGGTTGAGAACCATCTAGTAAGGGACTGTACATAATTAATTGCCCGAGCCAGCTTTACACCTGTGCCATGATAAAAAGTCAGAGTCATCAATTGATAGTTAAAAAAAGTTTGGCCGGGGGGTATATATACAAACCCCCCCAGCCTACTTCCCAACACCATAACAAAAAATCACGATAATCGCTTCCTGACGGTAGCGTAGTGGTTAAGCTGTAAACCTTGTCGGTCCCCCCCCAGGGTGAAATGGATCCCCTGGGCAGTGTGGCTGACCATAGTCTCTTTTTCGAGTCCTGCTGTTGGCGTTTTTTTGGGCTTTTCTTTTCCGGGGGGAAGACATATTTCGATAGGGGAGGGAAGAAAGGGAGAATGTAAATTTCTATTGCCCGCTAGGTAGGTGATTCCCAGCCCCCACTACAACTCAGCCCATTGTCGTTACTTCCAACAAAGGGAATAATAAATTAACCGTCAAGTGGCCACGAGTAAACCACACATCAACAAACATCAACACCTCACAGCAGCAAGGACAAGACAAAGACAACCCCACAACGGGGTATACCGCTCCCATTTCACTACATCACTACACTACCCCATCCTTCCGCTAACCCCCATCATCTAACACAATGATACGATACACTTTTTACACAGTACAAAACAACTCAACCCGCCTCACAGCCTCCTAACCCATCCATCTTCCCCTTTCCCTCCTTCACCCCATCCCTACTCTCCTTTCAGCCTCCCTTCATTTTCTAGCTGTCCTTTCGCCTTTCAGCTTCCTCCACCTGCTCCAGCCCAAAAAAAGACTAAAGAAGAGATAAAAAGTAATAATATACCTCGGCTCACTCTCACGGTGGTGTGCGTGCTTCGCTTCTCTAATAGTCCCGTGAACATGACATGCCAAATGAGCAAGTGAAGAGTGTGAAGCCTGTGAAGCCTGTGATGTGAGTGTGGGGGTGAGTAGGTAAGTGAGCTTAAGCCGGAGCCGAAAGCCTCCCATCCCGTCCCCAACACGCCAAAATAAGTATAAAGTCGTAGCGGGTGAAAATGAATAAAAAATAGAGTAGAGCAAGAACCAAACCAGCCGGCCGACCCGGCCGACCCGTCCGTCCGCCCGTCCGCCTGTCCCTTTTGCTATGCAAGTTCCATCCCTTCCCACAACCCTCCCATGTCTTATATCCCATATCAGAAGAAAAAAGCTTAACCCCCTACCCTCATTCCTAGCTATATTGAGAAGTAAAGAAGTACGAGACCCAACCATTCCAATCCCAAACTAAAGGAACAGGGCAGGAAGAGTTAAGAGAGACTAAAGGGGTAAAGTAAGGAAGGAGTATAAGGGAAGGGATGGTAAGGTGGGATATTGAAGTAAAGATGATGGTAATAAAAACCAAGAAAAGAGAACATGAAAACGCCCCCCACCCGCTTTAACGCCAATGCCCCCCACCCAATCCACCAGCCAGTTCATTGTCCTTCCCGCTGAACCATCGCCCTCCGCCGCCGCCGCCCCTTGCAATATGGATATTTCCTTCATGAACATGAATAGGCTTTTCCTTTCCCTCCCTTTGCCCGTGCTTGATTGAACCCGCCTGTCTTGTGGAAAAAAAATAATGTAGGGAAACAAAAGCGCTTTTTTCCCCGCCCAACGCGCCGGCTGCCATGTATGCCCTTGTTATTTCACGCACCTTTTCCTCCTCGTTGTCTTAGCAGTAGAAAAAAAGAAAGCATTTCCAGCCCTTGATCTTTTCAAGTTATGGTGCGATACTGCGTTGCAATCGCTGAGGTCGTGATATCCCTTTATAGCCCGAGTATGTAGCGGAGATAGTCCGAGTCGCCCCATATTGAATCGTTCTGTTTGTTAGATTTTACGGAGTTAGGAGGCGTCAGGTGTTGTCCGAACGTGGTACGCTAAAGCCCAAGTTGGCCGACCGACGGCTCCATGGCGTTCTCTGACAGATTGATGAGGAGTTGGGCGAGGCAGCGCTTGGTAGCGGCGTCGTCGCGGAGAACTGCAGAGAAGGTTTGGTCCCGCAGCGGCTGGGGGAGGCATTGTCGGAGGGCCTCGCGGGCGCGGGCATTGTCGCTGAGCCTGAGGCCACCGGAGATGTTAGAGGCCAAAGCGAGAGACTAGGGCGAGGGATATACATATACGGGGACATACCTCAAGAAGCACCTGACAACATGCTTAAGGAGTCGAGCCGTCTGCTGCTCAACCAGCTGCGCAACCATATTGCTCAAGACAGTACCGACGGCGTAGAAACGCTCGTAGGTAGCGCAAATATAGTTGAGGCCATTGTCATCCAACAATATCTTCTGCACTATGAAAATAGCGACGGTCTTGCTGAGCTCAGAGCCGGTTTCCATGATCCGCAGGCACAGCGGAATGATCTCGGTCGTGAGGAGGAAGTTGATGACTTCGGACGAATCGTTCTTCACCAGTGCGCCGATCACACCGAGGGAGGTGAGACGGAGATATTCAAACGGCCGCGACTTCGAGGTGGTGTTGAGGAACGGGTAGAGGTAGAGTGGGATATGCGCTGCGGGGTGTCTTGGTCAGCCGGGGAAATTGGCCCCCGTTATGCGATTTTGGAGTACCTACCAGTCAGGAACAACGTGCGCGTCTCGTTGTGTGAGGCAACGCACTGTAGAAGCGCCAGCGCATTGCAGACCCTGTTGGACGCGGCCGCAGTAAGCTGGGATGGGCTCAGGAGGTTGTAGACGCTAATAATTTCCTGGAGGAGCGAGGTCATGACGCCTAATTTGGCTTACGTGTCAGCGCACGCCGGTTCGCCAAGTCCGAAGTTCCCAACCCAACAAAAATACACCGAAAAGCGCGGGGATCAACATACCAAACGAGTGCCACAGGATCAGGGCAAGCTCCGGAACCTGCTCGCGCTTCTTGCTGAGCTCCAAGAGCGCGCCCTCGCGTGTGTTCTCGTTCAGCAGGTCGGCGATGTACTGCAGCGTCCGACGATTGTCCTCCGAGACCGACGACTCGAGGGCGCTCTCCTGGGCGCCGCCGTGGCCGCCCTGCTGCTGCTGCTGCTGTTGTTGTTGCTGCTGCTGCTGTTGCTGCTGTTGTTGTTGCTGTTGCTGTTGCTGCTGCTGTTGTGACAGCACATTGGTCGCATTGTGGGCGGTCGCGAGACGGTTGTAGTGCTGTTGCTGGGCAGCATTGGCGGCGGCCGCCGCAGCCTGTTGGACATGATGCTGCTGATGGGATGGCTGCTGCTGCTGGTGCATCCAAGCCGACTCAGCCTGCGGATACTGATGGTGGCCGTAGACGTGGGGATTGGGCATCATCTTGGCTACTGCTGGTGATAAAGAGCCGAGTGTGATCGTAGCAGTGACAGAGATTTTGTGATGGGGGTTAAAGTCGGGTATTCGATCGCTGGATTCGGTTCCAGGAAAGATATTGAGTTCGGCGTGTTGGGGAAGTCGAAGAGTGTGAGGCGGGTGTTGAATCGCGAGGAAAGCGACAATGCGGGCAGTCCAGGCGTCGTAACATGAGCAAAACAGATGAGTCGTCGGGGGAGTGGGTTGGCGGGCGACGACCCGGTGCCTCCGAGTGAGAGTGCGTGTAGGTGTGGTCGTGCGTGTGCTGGGGGACGCTGGGGGCTCGAAGCTGGAAGCACGGAGGAGGTGGGGGTTATGTATGGTGCGAAGTTCGGTGATCGAACCTTAGAGTCGGAAGAGCCCGAGCCAGAGCCGCAGACGCACAGACAGTGGATCGGTTTTCGGCGGCCATGCACGGGCCAACAGCGGGGCCATTGAAGCCCAACAGCAGACAGCTTCCCTGACGGGCCGTACCAGCTGTCGGCGCCGGCTTATTTTACTCTCAAGTTCTCAACCCATGCAATCATTCAATCACTGCGTTGATGCTCGTCCTCGTCATCTCTACTTATGATCTCTTACGCTGATTTCGTCAAGAGGATATAGAACATAGCTAACTAGCAGCCTCAGTCAAATTTACCCGTTGTGTTGAGTTTCATATCCAATCACTCAACACGCAATGAAGTATATTTGGCTGGCCAATCTAAACACAAAGGATGCTGCTGGGCCGCTCGCTCTAAGTGGTGGTTACGATAGCCTCAAATACCGGCGCCGTGCACACGGTCAATGCCCGGGTGCACAGTGATATCTCTGTATTTCACCATGATAGGCAGGAACCAGGCAGAAGAAGACACAATGGTAATAGAGAGACCGCGCTCACAAAACATTCCTTCCTCTAAGTCGAGCACCTGCACCTGCCGTTGAATGCCTCCTGACTTATTAGTGCCACTAAAACCCAAGAACACGTGGTGATTCTTTAAGCACCAACCTGCATGTAGGGGCAGGTCCACACTCGCTCGTCGCTGTCACAGTATAGAAGGGTCTTCACTTGCTGCATCAATCGACATTTGTCCTTTGCGACAGTCGCTTTCCACATAAATGACAGATTAGGGCAAGTTCCTGACTGCTGTATGATACGTTATGGTTTCCATGTCATATATTGAGGCAGTGGGAGGCCAGCAACTAACAGCAGGTACATTGAAAGATGGACTGAAGATGTTGGGCATCGGGTAGGCGCCGAGGATGCACTCTGATTTAGACCAAAGGTATAAGTTCCGATGTCTCCCACATCTCACGTCTCACGTCTGCATCTCTTCTCGCTTCATTACAGCCAAACCCCGTCTCTTCTCGCCTCATTGTAGCTCAATCCCCATGCTCCGACATTGCGGCTCGCCGTTCAACCCACACTCCAAAAACCTCCCCTACTACCTCTCACGATCGTTCCCAACCCACCTCATGATGTTCCGTCCGGATCTAAAGGAGAGGAACGCCAAGCCTGTAAGTGTTCCATTCCCAACCGAACAGACGTTGTCGACTAACACCATGTCGCAGTCTAAACGGGTCTCCAATAACGACGGTACACCTGAGTGCTTTTGCAAAATTCCACAACAACATCGTCGGAGAGCGAAACTCGTCGTCGTGGAAATTCCTGTCCTAGCGGAGTTTCTACTCTGCCTACGCGGGCTCGGAGTCAGAGGGCTCATCGGCATCGGGTTCCTCGGACGAATCGGGGTCAACATTCGGGTTCATCTTCCCTCCCTGGGCCTCACCAGGAACCCTCAGCGTCTCCCTCAATACTGCTCGCTCATCTACTTCCAGCTCAAAGGTCAGTGAATGGTCTTGTTCAGCACCGCATATGTTGCCCTCAGGTGCACCTACTACACCTGCTGCTACGTGACGTGGCGACGGGAGCTGTGCTGACCGTTTCCACTAGAGATTTACTAAGTCGTGTTCCTCACGGGTACCTGACCGACCAGTTCACTCGAGACTCCCACGACGTCAACATGATCTTCGACAATATCTGTTTCGTCCAGATGACCGCCTTCAAATTGTCGCCCCGGGGACGGGACCATCATGGACCTGTGAGGATCGAGAAGACATTCACCTACTTGTTGCCCATCGTAGCTGCAGTCTTGCCGAGGTCCAGAAACCCCTATCTCTGAACACCGATCCTCCGATATTCATCGTTGTGCCGGAGAGTCTTCTTGCCCAGACGTTCACCGAAACTCCAGCAGCCGGTGTTGGCCGTAACGACGGAAACGGCCCCAACACAGATGATCGGACAGCAGGAGTCGATGGGCCTGCCGTTGGTTAATTCTTTGCTTTGTTGGTTGGTAAACTGCTGGTGTCTTGATGTTAAGTTGGAAGGAAAGGCGGGAGAAGAGGCTGAAGTTCGAGTTAATACAATAATGTTCCTTACCTACCGTGCAAATGATGTACGCATTTAGCTGCAGTATCTGTGATCTTTGCAAAGTGCTTGACGTGTAGGGGAGAGTAACAACGTGTGAACAGCCACCACAGCCAGCCACTGTAGTTGAGAGTGTCCTTGTGTCAATGTTGATTTAAAAACATGCCAAACGACAGAAGCAGTGAGCAGCCACAAAAAACAGATCCAAAACGAGATCCAAAATAACTTGTCTAGTTTAAAAATACAAGAAACCAGCAGGCCATAAAACACGGCATCTGCTGAGTAGCTGAAGAATGGCAAGTAAGTCTAACCAAATATGACCAACAAAAAAAGGAGGATACATCAAAATATCGGTAAAAAAAGCAAACCCCCCTTTCCCTAGACGCCTGAAGGATATCTCGACCGACCGACCTAATTCTATAGCACAACCCGCCCTCCCGACCCATCCTGTCCCGTCCGATTCCTGTCCCGTATCTCACCATTATCTCACAAATACATACATACATACACACCCCTTTTTTAGTCTTCATTTGGTCTGTCCTGTCCTGTCCTGTCCTGTCCCATCTATTTTCATCATCACAATCACAAGAAAACAAAGAAAAGTAACGCTACGCCACCCAGCATTAACGCGGTTATCAACCCTGGTGGGGTATCTTTGAAAGCGCTTGCTGGGACGACGACGGCTTGGGCTGCTGGACCAGCTGGTCCTGAGTTGGGATCGGGAGTGGGTGTTGTTGTGCCGCCGGAGGTGGAGTCGCAGGGGCAGGGGATCGGGTAGAGGACTGTTAGTTTGGTGAGGGTTGTTTCGGCTGGGTTGTTGACGGAGCCTCCGGATCCGGATCCGGATCCGCCGGGGGGTGGGGTGGTTGAGGGGGTGGTTATGGGGCCGGTTGGGGTGGAGGTTGTGGCTGTTGCTGTGGTGTTGTTGTTACCATTCCCATTTCCATTCCCATTTCCGCTTCCATTGCCGTCGCCGTTGCCGTTGCCGTCGCCGTCGCCGTTGCCGTTGCCATTCCCCGGGGTCCCCGTCGCCGTAGCCGTCGCTGTGCTTCCAGTCTGCGAGGTACTACCACCGTTCGAGCCATCACCTCCACCTCCACCACCACCACCCCCACCAGTTTGAGATGGCGTGCCACTGCTCGTGGTCTGGCTGCTCTGACTCCCATCACCACCGCCTCCACCACCACCATCTCCACCACCTCCGCAAACATCACATGGTGTCTCGGTCTGAGAGGGTGTATCGCTAGTCGTTGTTTGACTGCTCTGGCTTCCATCACCTCCATCTCCACCTCCACCTCCACCTCCACCGTGACCACCACCACAGACGTCACATGGTGTTTCTGTCTGGCTTGGAGTGGCAGAAGTGGTTGTTTCACTCCCACCTCCTCCTCCTCCTCCTCCGCCGCAAACGGGACAGTGTGTTGAGCTTGCAGAGGTCGTAGTGCTAGTGCTGGAATCACCACCACCACCGCCTCCACCGCCACCGCAGACATGGCATGGGGTTTCGGTCGTCTGGCTGGGTGTATCGCTGGTGGTGGTTTGACTGCTGTCACCACCACCTCCATCGCCATTTCCATCGCCATTTCCATCTCCACCGCCGCAGACGTCGCAGGGTCCGTCGCTAGGTGAGGCTGTGACGGTGGATGTCATGGTGGATGTTACTTCGTTGCCTCCTCCACCACCTCCGCCTCCTCCTCCTCCTCCGCCGCAGACGGGGCAGTGAGTTGTGCTGGCAGAGGCAGTGCTGGTGCTGGATTCACTACCACCGCCTCCCCCGCAGACATGACAACCTCCACCTCCACTTCCTCCCCCTCCCGTGGAAGTAGCCGTAGCCGTAGCAGCGGTGCCTGTATTCCCCGCTGATCCACCACCACCATTACCACCGTTACCACCACCACTCCCATCCGAAGGCAACGACGTCCCCAACGGTGTACCCGCTTGATCAACCGTCACCGTGGCCGTGACCGTCTCTCCCCCACCACCACCTCCGTTAGAGTTACCACCCCCTCCTCCGACAAGGCTCACTTGACTAGCAGCATCACACCCAGACACAGGCACCATAACAGTCGACAAGAACGTCATAGTCGTCGTGATGGTGGTACCAGTACCCTCGGCGACTGTGATGGTTACCACGTCCTGGACTGTGGTGACGGGTTTGTAGAGCACGCCGTCGTCGTTGCCGGCGCTGTTGCCTGCGGATGGGCCGGGGGTACCGCCTGGGGTGCTTGCGCCTGGTGTACCAGCACCGCTACCACCGCCGGGAGGTACGGTGGTGGTGATGAGGACTGGGTTGCCGTTGGCGTCGACGGTGCTGATGACGGTCGGGGTGCCGGCTGCTGGGGTTTGGTTGCCTGTGTCGGCGCTGCCTCCTCCGCCATTTCCGCCAGCGCCGGGTGTACCCACGGCTGCTGTGGTAGCGGCGGTTGCAGCCGAACCAGGTGGTAGGGTAGAAGTGATAAGCACCGGATTTCCGTTGGCGTCGACGGTGGAAATGGTTGTGACGGAATTGCCTTGACCGTTTTGACCGCCCTGCCCGCCCTGCCCGCCTTGGCCACCTTGGCCGCCTTGGCCGTTGGAGCCGGGTGTGCTCCCAGCACCAGGAGGTAGAGTCGATGTGAGGAGGACAGGGTTCCCGTTGGCATCGACCGTGGAGATGGTCGTCACGGAGCCACCACCGCCTTGTCCGCCGCTGCTGGCTCCGCCGACTCCGCCGGGACCGCCAGATCCAGTTCCAGATCCGGGTGTACCAGCGGCCCCCGGCGGGATGGTAGAGGTTATTAGGACTGGGTTGCCATTCGCGTCGACGGTAGTGATGGTTGTCACACTCCCTGCACCTGCTCCAGGAGTACCGCCCGCACCGGGAGTACCACCCGCGCCCGGAGGCAAGGTGGATGTGATGAGAACGGGGTTTCCGTTGGCGTCCGTGGCCGTTATGACGGTCACGCCGCTGCCGTTACCACCTGGCCCTGGAGTTGGAGTAGGCGTGGGCGTCATGCCCGCGCTGCCTCCGCTGGCCCCGTTCGTCCCGTTGACTACGATCCAGATGCTGGCCTGGAGTTTTGTGATGGCTGCGCTGTCGAGGAACTCCTCAAAGTTAAAATTTTGACGTTTTGACTCGTCCATGGCCATCCCTTTGAACGCCATGGAGAACTTGTCCTCGACGATGAGCGGGTGTGGTTGGATGAAGAGGAGCGTGGCCAGCATGATTGGTTGGCCGTCGTTCTGCCCGGATACTTGAAAGGGGACCAGTGGGTTGATGTCCGAGATCATCATGGGGTTGTCGGGGCCGCGCCGTTGCAGGCCGGATTGGAGGTAGGAGAGGTAGAGTTTTGATGTGGACAGGATGTCTAGCGGGTCGAGGGAACTGAGGTTCACGGAGAGTTGCATGCCCATGGCGACGTAGGTCATGTTCTCGTCTGCTTGGGGGTATATTATGATGGGCTCTGAGGCCAGGTCTGCGTTGCCGTTAGTTTTGCATGTCCTGTTTGTTTCTTAGTTCCACGTGTTGAGCACATACCGTCAAAGGTACATTGGCTGCCCGAAGCGTCGATAGTCGTCGAGCCAACCTTTAATGTCATGTTGCTGGACACGGTGTATTTGCCAGTACCACCGCCACCACCAGTACCCCCCGACCCGCCATTGGCATCCGGGCCGGGAGTACCACCGCCTGCCCCCATCATCCTCTTCTTGCCCCAGAACCCGGCGTCGACATGGCCGGCGAGAAGAGCGGCAACGAAGAACGTCGCCAACGGGGACGACAAGAGAAAAGTGCCACGCATCGCGAAGATGCGTGGTGGGTAAGTAGAAAGGAAAGAAAGCTAAAGTGCTTTAAGGGTTGTGCTCCGGGCTCCGACCAGGAGACATCAACGTGTGTGTTTGTCGATCACGTCTGAAGAGTCGAGCAGTGACTTGTCATGGACGAAGGGGGAAAGGGAGTGAGTTCAAACCAAAGTCGAAAAAGGAGTTCAGTCGATGCCCCTTCTCGATTCTCGAACAATAGCCGGTCACAGAGCAGGACAGCAATTGAACATGAGATTTCCCATGGACAGTAGACGAACGGAGGAGGGCCATGCCCAGCCTTAAACCAGCCACGAACAGCCATGGTCGCTCGTCTTGCCCAACTTCTCTTCGATTCTCCACGCCACTGCATGAGACGACGCTCGATTCTGAAGCCCGCTCGACCTGGTCTGCGGCCTTCTTGACTGCTACTGCGTACGGGTGGGTATGCGTCTCCTGAGGTAAGTCCTAACGTAAGGCATGTTAAGCGGAGAAGCCGGTATGGTAAGGGTTGGGGGTTTCACCGCACTGCTGTACTGGGCCAACGTGTAGACCCGGACCGGAGAATATGGCCGGCCGGCCGGCTCCGATGTGGCCCGCGGTTTTTTTACTCAGCGAGCTAGGGCTTGCTGCGATGGGCGGGTGCTAGCAAGCAATGGGGGATAATAGCCTTCTAGAACAAAGTTCATCTCCCGTTTCGTTTCCTCATGATGGTGGCACAGCCACGGCCGGCTTCCGAGGCTAGACCCCAACCTCAGTGTGCTCGCTGTGTGTGTTCGCTGTTTGGGCTGTGTGAGGGGGCCAACTCTTGATGAAGCATACTGCGCCGTGCGGCACGTGGAACAGCAATGTTAAACGAGGATCCAAGGGGAGAGAAGGATAGCTTCATTCGGCCTGCGAAAAGACCTGTTTGATGATTTGACATAGTGGGAGTCACAATCTGGGGGCTTTTGCGGTCGAGGGCCGAAATCGAAGGTTTGACCTTGTGAACAACACTACGAGCTGGGGTGTTTCGTCGGTGGGTTTCTGAGTGGGTGTTCAATTTGTGTGCTCTTCTAAAGCATAGAATCATCGATAAAAACAGCGAGTATATTTGAAGTATATCTCAGAACTAAAACACCAATTGATTGCTAGAAAAGGGCTGAAAGAGATACTATCGTGAGCGAATGCATGGTCGAGCTGAGTGTTTGATGTTGGTGGTTGGTGTTGAACAGACGAAGGGTGAGACCTTCAGAGCCTAGACCCGCCGGACAGCCCCCGGAGATAACACGTGTTAGGGCTAGCTTCGGTGCAACGGCGGATCCACTCGCCTAACACAGGGCCAACTGGAGTCCTGATCAGCGCCCGCGTGATTGGGACGACCAGACTAACAGAGCCACGAGGGTGTGAGACATTCCACGCGATAGGATGACATTGCATATGTCAAGATAGCAGTCGAGATGTTTTTTTTCCGAGGTGTCAATAGTGTAGTGTAAGTCGCTTGGATGGAACGTATTGCTCCCCGTCGGCACTGGAAGATTTCGTTCTTTATTCCCGTCGCAAAACCTTGGAAATATCCCAACCCCGCATCCTTCGGCCGCTCTTTCCTTTCCCTTTCGTGGGAATGCCGCGCACCTCTTCCCGGAACGAACAAGCTCGACACCGGTGCCAGGGAAGGTGCGTCTGGGCAAACGGTCAGCCGGACGCAGGAAGCCCGGAGTGTTTGCCGGAAGCCTGATGTTCGTCCCCTCTGTCCCGCTCATTCGGCTGCGCCGCAAAGGGACTTGGGCGGTTTCATGGCCCCTCCCTTCCAAAAAAGACTTGCACTTCACCGCCAAAGAACAGGGCTCCGTTGCCCGTTGTCGAAGCCCTGCAGCAAGCAACCCCGAGTTGGACCCTGGATATGCCCCCAAGATATGCAAGCATCCCCGTCGGGCACATGGGATTCCATTCAGTGATCCCCGAAAAGATGGCGCTTGGAGGAAAAGGCGTCATCGCGCACTGTCCCAAATGGGCTTTGTTCCATATCTGAGTGCAATTGAGAACTGCTTGAGCGCTGATCCCCTCGCATTCCATCTCCATCATCCCTGTAGTGCTTGCCCCTCATATCTTATAGCTGCACCAGCCTTCTTAAAAAGAAGTTCACCATCGCCGCCTGTTTTGTGGTCGTAGCGTTGGCCTCACCCGGCCTCTCTCGTCGTGCCTATTATTCCTTTCTCGAACCCTCTCATCCTCGCCGACTTTAATCTCAAATAGGTCAGGGGACTAACACACACAACTACCGACGACGCCATGGCGGGCGGAGCGGCCAACAGCACGGCGCCCCCTCCGCAGGCCGGCGTGCTGGAGGGCCTGAATCCGATCGCGTACACACCTTCAAATCCGATCACTCTGTTCATCATCCAGGCAAGTAAACCTACCTAACTACCTACCTACCTAAATAATCAGTTGGGCCCTTTACCGAGCGGCCGAACCCAACCGGAGCCTGATTTGCGGACCTCCTCTTCATCCGTCATCTCTCCATCTATACCGGATCGAGAACTGCCGGTGCGGCGGGGAGCGTGTTCGCTTGTTTCGTTTCCCGGCCGATCGCAGCAACCCGGGCTTGGGCTTCTATGGGTTGCGCTTCCGGGCCGGGTCAGGTCGCGAGGTGGCCGGCTGCTCGGGCCTGGGTTGGTTTGGTTTGGTTGGCTTTGGAGTTGGAGTGCCTGGCCGGTTATCAAGGACACGCTGCTAACAATAGGAACCAACAACACAGGCTATTATCGTCATTATTTTTTGCCAGTTGCTGCATTGTGCGTTTGCTCCGGTTTGAGATTCCGGGCTTTTGTTAGGGGGGTTATTTGGCGGGTAGACTGAGAGATGACTGACTGGTAATTACAGACCCGCTCCGTTTGCTGAACCAGCCGCGGGTCATCGCCGAGGTGCTCGGCGGCATCTTGCTGGGGCCCTCGGTGATGATGCGAATTCCCGGCTTCCAAGAGAGTACGTCTGTGTGTTTCTTAGATGTAAAGCCTGCACATGGACCTTGTGATTAAGATCATCGTGTAGACATCTTCCCCACTGCTTCCATTCCCGTTTTCAGAAATGTGGCCGAGGTGGGATTGTTGGTCTTCCTCTTCCTGGTCGCTCTCGAGGTGAGCATTCCTGGCTTCCGTCCGGCCGTGGTGGTCAACAGGTTGCTGACGCCGGCCCCGGGTGCCTACCTACCTAGGTCGACCTACGTCTCTTCACGCAGAACTGGAAGGCCGCACTGAGTGTTGGCCTGGCCGGCATGATCATCCCCTTTGGGTTGGGCTTTGCCATCGCCTACGGCATCTACCACCAGTTCCACGCGGGCGTTGCCGAGTCCCCCATCGGGTTCGGCGTCTTTGGTCTCTTCATCGGCACCGCCCTCGCCATCACCGCGTTCCCCGTGCTCTGCCGTATCCTGTCCGAACTGAACCTCCTCCGCTGCAACGTCGGCGTGACTGTGTTGGCAGCCGGTATCGGCAACGACGTGACGGGCTGGATCCTGCTGGCGCTATGCGTGGCGCTGGTCAACAACGGCAACGGCCTGTCGGCGCTCTGGGCCTTGCTCTGCTGTATTGGTTGGACGCTGGTGCTGTGCTTTGCCGTCCGACCTCCGTTCATCTGGGTCTTGAGGCGGACCGGTAGTCTGCACAATGGCCCTACCCAGGGCGTGGTCGCCCTGACCATGCTCATTATGCTCGCCTCGGCCTGGTTTACCGGTAGGTCTTGGTCTCTCCCGCTCTTTGTATATCTGACCATGGGTGTGTGTATTCATGGGCGGGTCAAGCTAACTGGGCCAGGCATTATCGGCGTCCATCCCATCTTTGGCGCCTTTCTCGTCGGCCTGATCTGCCCGCACGACGGCGGTTTCGCCATCAAGTTGACCGAAAAGATTGAGGATTTGATCTCGGTTCTGTTTCTGCCGCTGTACTTTGCCCTGTCCGGCCTCAACACCAATCTGGGCTTGTTGAACGATGGCATCACGTGGGCCTATGTCGTTGGCATTATCGTGTGTGCCTTTGTTGGCAAGATTGCAGGTGGCACTCTGGCTGCCCGGGCCAACAAGCTGCTATGGCGGGAGAGCTTGACCATTGGGTGTCTGATGAGTTGTAAGGGTTTAGTCGAGCTTATCGTACTGGTGAGTCTGTTCGGAATATCTAAGGACGGAATATCTACTGACAAGAGCAGAACATCGGCCTCCAAGCTGGGATCCTGTCGGAGACTACCTTCACCATGTTTGTCGTCATGGCCCTGGTGACCACCGTCGCCACGACGCCGCTCACTAAAGCCCTCTACCCGCCGTGGTACCAGAAGAAGGTCGAAAAGTGGCGAAAGGGGGAAATTGACTGGGACGGAAACCCCACCGACCAATCCGAGTCCGGAGAATCGCGAGAGCGGCCCGTCGAGTCGCAGATCCGCCGTCTCATGGTGCATCTCCGTCTCGACAGTCTGCCGAGTCTGTTCACCTTTATCACGCTGCTCAGCCCAGAGACTGGTCCAGAGCCCAATCAGCCGGCTGTCAAGGAGGACCCCTCCCCCAACCATGTAGAGGCCAAAAAGAAGCCCCTAGAAGTCCACGGCCTGCGCGTGATCGAACTCACCGACCGTACCTCCTCCGTGATGCACCTCACCGAAGGAGACGACTCCTACTCCCTCCGCGACCCCGTCGTCAACGCCTTCCGCACCTTCTCCCAGCTCCACGACGTCGCAGTCTCCGGCCGCGTCGCCGTTGTCCCCGCCGACTCCTACGCCGAGACCCTCGTCCACCAAGCCTCCGAAACCTCCTCCGACTTCGCCCTCATCCCCTGGGGCGAATACGGCAGCGTATCCGAGGACCTCTCCTACCCTGTCGCCATGAGCGCCAGCGAACGTTTCCGGTCCGCCGCCCACCTCGACTTTATCACACAGACGCTGCACCAGGCAGCCAAGACCTGCAACGCGGGCATTTTTATTGATAACGGCTTCGGCGGTATCACCAAGCCGGCTGCTGCCGACCGGCCCGATCTCGCCCGCACCAAGAGCGCCATGTCCATCCACAGTTATCGTCCCGAACTGGCTACCCTCCCTGTCGCTAACAAATCCCACCATATCTTCTTTCCCTTTTTCGGTGGACCAGACGACCACGTCGCCATCCGTCTGGTCTTGCAACTCGCCAAAAACCAGCACGTCACCGTCTCCATCACCCGAATCACATGGCCTGTCAATCCCAACCCGGTCGACCCAAACAACCAGACACCAGCGTCCTCCTCCAACCCAGCCATCCGCACCTCCCAAGAAGCAGTAGCAGAAGCCCAAGCCGAAGCCTACCGTCGCCAGGCCGAAGCAGACGCCGTGTTCTTCTCGACTATGCAGGCTTCCCTTCCCGCGGAGCTTGCCGGGCGGGTGGTGTTTGCTGAGGTGGAGATCTCGGCATCACCTACGAGTTCGGCGTCTGCGCTGGGTGAGGTGGTGGTGCTGGCGCAGAAGGCGGTGGGTATGAATTTGAAGAATGCGGGGGATGTGGTTGTTGTTGGGAGGCGGGGTGGGCTGGTCGGAGGTGGACTTGGATCTGGAGGTGCTGGTGGGGTTGGTGGTGGTGCTGGTGTTGGGAGCAGTAGTAGCAGTGGGAGTGGTGTGGAAGGGACGGAACTGGGTAAGGCGGTGGGGGTGGTGGCTGAAAGGTTGGTGACGGTTGGGGTGAAGGCGAGTGTGTTGGTTGTGCAGGCTGGTGGGCAGGGGGGGAAGGGGGATTTGTTTAGTTATGCTTAGTTGCTTAGCGTTCTGGTTGGTATCGACGTTAGTGTTTATGATCAGTGTTGATGGTACTGTTGATGGTCAATGTTTATGGTTAATGGTGATGCTTCGCAACCTGTTGCTAGGGTCTCATTGTTAGCAGAGTGCTGCTCTCTTTTTGGGTCTTTCGTTTTACCAGTCATACGAAGGGTTGGATAACGAGTACACAATGTTGCAATACCGCGTTTGAAGACCAGACCCCCACGAGATTTACACCTCCCTCAGGGCTACATAGGGCACAGCCAGGAGTGTTGTGTTGAAGGGAATGAATGGTACAATATATCTCTCACTTTACCGGGTCTCAGACCCCATTTATCCTATAGAGCTGGGCTGTATGCTTTTGTAACCTTCGAAACATGTATACATGTACCCCTTGCCGTACATTCGAGAGCACCTAATCACACGCCCCGATTATGTCTCAATCGGTAGTTATCAAAAAGCAATGTCCACAATCTTCAACTCTCAAACGGTGTCACTCCCTGTATGAAAGGGTCTTCACTTGCTGTGACAATAGACATCTGTCTTTTGTGACCGTTTTCAAGCAAAAGGTCAATCTCGTAATCGTCATATCATATCCATTCCAAACTAATGCAACCCCCCATATCAAATCCCATCTTCTCTCCAAAAACCATACCAAACAAAACCACCACTCCAACTAAACAAAACACGCCAAAACAAAAAACAATAACAAAAACAAATCACCACTCCAGCCCCCCAGCCCCAGCCCCAGCCCCAGCCCTATTCCCTCTCTCCTCGCCCTCTCCTACTCCCCCAGACATCCTCCTCCCTGCAACAACCCTCCTCCCCTTCTTCCCAACAGCACTAAGGCTTCCCCCCCGCGAATCAACCTCCTCAAACAACCCCGGCCCGGCCTCCCCCTTCCGTACCATCCACCGCTTCGTGCCCAGCGCCTCGTCAAGTTCGTCAACGGGGGGGAGTTTGATGTATACCATAGCCCCCTCGTTCCCCCCTTCTTCTGAGGCAGTGGAAGCAGAAGTAGGGGCAGGACGTTCTTCCACCTCAAAGATGGCGATAGAGAGGGATGGGTCGTTGAGACAGTGGCCTGTGAGAAGGGAATAGGATTTTTTATGTTGCGGGGAGGAGATGTAGGGGGAGTGTTCATCGCTTATTCCTGGGCTTGGCTCTGTGGGTTCTGGCGTAGACGCGGACTCAGAGCCAGAGCCAGATCCAGTCCCAGATGGAGACTCAGCCCTAGAAGAAGATCCAGACCCAGACACCAAAGGCACATCCCCCACCAACGAATCAGCCAACACAAACGCCCTCTTAAACGGACACATCTGCTGCGTGGCATAGTACCTCCCCCTAAACCGCCACACCGCCAGCTGGGTGTCCCCACGCTTCACCGCCGCGCTGATCCCGTTGGGAAGGTCATCCGCGCCGGCAAAGTAAGACGCGGGTAGCAGGGGTTGCCAGGAGGTGGTGGACCAGGTTTTTGTGAGGGGGGCAAAGTCTGTTGTTTTCTTGGAGAGTTGGGAGGGGGAGGAGAGGGTTGATGATAACGAGGTGGTGGAGGAGGATGGGGATAAAGAGGCGGATGAGGATCGCGGTGATGAAGGGGCAGACGTGGAAGATGCGGACGACGAAGAAGAAGGAGTGTCCTTCGGCCACATAACCGGCCTCATCTGCCCGCGTTCCCTCTCCAGCTCCATCCCCTCGACCGTCTCCTCCGTATTCGCAAACTGCCGAAACCGTGCCGCAATCTCGGGGGTATTAATCGCCTCGGCCCACTCATCAAAATAACTGCCCACCAACTCCTGCATCTGCGCCTCCAGCGCGGCGTTGATCCCCAAAGCGTCGTCGAGAACCACGCGCTTGAGATAGTCCAAACCGCCGGGGAGGGCCTCTATCCAGCGGGCGGTGCGCTGGAGCTTGTCGGCGGTGCGGATGTAGAACATGAGGTAGCGGTCGAGGATGGGGATGACTTCGGTCGGGGGGACGTCTTTGGCGAGGAGCGAGGCGTGCCGGGGGTTGGCGCCGCCGTTGCCGGCCACGAAGATGTTGAAGCCTTTGTCTGTGGCGATGAGGCCGAAGCTGAATTTGTTAGTGTTTTCTTTTTCAAAAAAAGAAGGGAAAAGGGGGAAAGAAAAGCAAAAAGAAAAACATACTCCTTACTCTGCGCCTCAGCACACTCCCTCACACACCCACTAACCCCCCCTTTAATCTTATGCGGCGCCCTAATACTCTTATACCTCTCCTCCAACACCACCGCCATGCCCACGCTATCCCCAACTCCATACCGACACCATGTCGTGCCGACACAGCTCTTGACCGTCCTCAGCGCCTTCGCATACGCATGTCCACTCTCCATGCCCGCATCCACCAACCTACCCCAAATCGCCAACAAATCCTGCTTTTTCGCCCCAAACATGTCGATCCGCTGCCCGCCTGTGATCTTGGTGTACAGGTTGTAGTCCTTGGCTACCTGCGCGATGGCTAGTAACTTGTCCGGGGTGATTTCCCCGGCCGCCATGCGCGGGACCACGCTGTAGGTGCCGTTACGCTGGATGTTACCCAGGAACTGGTCGTTGGTGTCCTGCAGGCCGTGCTGGGAGGCACTCATCACATGCTCGTTCCATAAACTAGCAAAGATGCTACCCAGACACGGCTTACACACCTCGCAACCGTGGCTATTCGGGTCAACTCCCGCGGCGCGCATGACCTGGGACAAGGTGGTGAGGCGTTTGACGCTGATGATGTGATACAGCTCGGCGCGGGAGTGGCGGAAGTGAGGGCAGAGGTGATTTTGCACTTCGTTGCCGAGGGCGGCCATGGTGTGGTTGAAGATGGAGGTCATCAGGGGCACGCATCCGCCGCAGCCCGTGCCGGCTTTGGTGCACGACTTGATGTCGCCGAGGGACTTGCAGGTGCCGTCTTTGATGACGCGCACCATGTCCCCCTTTGTGACGTTGTGGCAGCTGCAGATTTGCGTGTCGTCGTCCAGGTCGTCGGCTCCGTCGTCGCCGTCTTTTTTTGCGCCTAAGATGAGCTCGCTTGGGGGGATGTCGAGGGGCTTTTGGTTCTTGACTAGGGGGACTAGCTTGACGTAGTCTTTGGTGTCGCCGATCATCATCCCGCCCAGGAGGTACTTGCCGTCCGTGGTGAAGATGTACTTTTTGTACACGTTCTGGAACGGGTCGCGGTAGGTGAGTGCTTTGACAGACGAGACATCGCCGGGTTTCTTTCGGGCAGCCTTGGCTGGGAGCTGCTTCGGTCCATGGATATCCGCAAAGTAGTCCCCGAAGCTGGCCACCTCAACGCCCAGCAACTTCAGTTTCGTGCTCAAGTCCGGCTGCTTATACACCCTCGGCTGGTGCAACTTAGCCTGCGTGAGATTAAACGCCAGCACATCCGCCATCTCCACGCCCGGCCCAATCAGCCCAAACATCTGCCCCTGCCAGCTCGCGCACTCCCCAATGGCGTAGACATCCGGGTCACTCGTCCTCAGCCCGTCGTCCACCACAATCCCGCCTCGAGGGGCACACTCCAGTCCCGCCTCCCGCGCGAGCTCATCCCTCGGCTGAACCCCAATAGCAAAGCATAGCGTGGAGCACGCCATGGACCGGCCATCCTTGAAAACCACCCCCGTCACATTCCGGTCTTCATCCACCTGTATCTCCGCAACGGCCGTCTTCAACAACACATCAACCCCCAACTCCCGCACCTGATCAACCACCATCCCCCCGGCCGCCGCGTCCAGCTGCCGACTGAGCACCCACCCGTTACGCTCCACCACTTTGACGCTACTGTAGCACTGCAGATCCATCAGTGCCTTGGCGGCTTCCAGACCCAGCAGGCCGCCGCCGACGACAGCGCCTACCGAGTCTTTCCGCTCGGCCGAGAAGGCGATCAGTTTCTCGAGGTCTTCTACGGTACGGTAGACAAATACCCCCGTGGCGTCGTAATTGGGGGTACTGCGGGGGAGGACGGCGTCGGAGCCGGTCGCGAGGACGAGGATGTCGTAAATGAGTTGCGTGCCGTTAGCGCAGGATATTGTTTTGGAGGTGGGGTTGATGTGGGTGACTTTTGTGTTGATGTGGTAGTTTAGTGCTCCATCGGAGACGCTCTCGTACTGGGGGGGGTTAGTGGTGTATGGCCGTTTGCTGAGGGGCAAGAGACTCACCCATTCTAAGGGGTTTAGGTATAGCTTCTCAACTTGGCGGTGCTCGAAAAAGGTGGTTAAGCCCACGCGGTTGTAGGCCACGTGCTTTTCCTCGCCGACCACTGTGATGTTGTACTCGCGTGTCCTTGCGTCTAGTTTCAGCAGTTTCTCGCTGTTGGGGTCAGCTCAGGCCTTGGGTGCCGTTGTTAGAACTTAGATGGGTTAGACTTACATGAAGCTGATGCCGACCATTCCCAGGCCGACAACCACGACGTGTTTGCGGGTACCCACCGCCATGGCAGCGGTATTCACAGACTATCCAGAGTAATCCACAGAGTAATCCACAGAAAGGACAGCAATAGAAATAGACAGTGATGGCAGTGATGTTTAATTAGGGTAACGGGTGGTCTGAAGCATGAAGTTACAAGTGGGAGAGAAAAGGAGTAGAGAAAAAGAAAAGAAAATAACAAAGAGCAAAAAACAAAGCTGGAGAAAATAAAACCAATACAAACCTACCCACCAGTCTAACGGAACAAAACCACCCGCCACCACCATCAATATCCCACCTCTACTTGGGCTGTGTCACCAAAACCGCGGCAATTGACAACACCCATCGTAATGCCAGGCCATGCTATTCCATGCCGTCCCAACCAGCACTAACTGACTCAACCTGGCGGAGAAGCACATCTCCGGGGATATATACTCTCTCGCTCCCTCTCTCTCACGGTCTCTCCCTGCGTAGCATGTTCCTCCGCGGGAGCATCTCACTCCGCAGGACCATCTCGGGCGTAATTCGGGGATGACACGGGACAGAGTAACTCGGAGATGACACGGGGATGGCACGGGGAAGACACGGGATGGATAATGGATAATGGATAAAAAAAAACAGACGACGTTACAAGGTGTAACAGTAACAGTAACACACACAGTGAGCGCGGGATGAGAGGAATTCTTGCATCTCCGGGGAAATTCTTCAACTTTTCGTCCCGTCTCGATACGCCGCGGAGCCGGTTGGATGTGGGGATGCCGTGATGCGGAGATGCGTGGGAATTCGGGGAGCAGCACGGGCGCTCGCGCGATTATGGTTTGACTAGTTCGATTCGGTCGCTCGAGACGCAGTAGAGAGAGACTGTCCGATAACGTAGAAAAAGAACGTGAGAAAGACAGAGCGAGGGTTAATTCTTCAAGGCGGAGATAAGAGACGTTGATAAGGCTGTGGCTATCTGGCCAATCAGGTGTTGCATACGCCATCGTCGCTTCCGCGTTGGGAAGCCCGCGGAGATAGACAGGCAAACATGAAAGATAAGTGACTTGGACTGTACCTGCGAAGAAGGTTTATCAACCATAACGCCGGCGGATTTGACATTCAGTTTCAAATCGGGATTTTGCGAGTTATTTTCTGCATCATAGGGGAGGACAGAGTATTTGGGGTTTGCGGCTTGATAGACGAGTTGGAGTACAAATTGGATTTGGTATTGATATTTGAGAGAAATGTGATGAAATGGTGAAGACGGTGAAATACAAACAGATGAAAGGAAAAAGTTAAGATACTAAAAAAAACAGTAAAAAAAAGGTGAAAACAAAGCTATCAACCTGGCCGAACGGGCCTCTTCACCACCTGGGTATTCCACATCCCTTTTCCCCATCCCCAACCCTAACCCTCCCAACAACGCACGAACTTAACTCTCCATCCCGTCAACAACTCTTCCCCTCAACACCGAAATAAATCACCTCGACCCAGGGTACGCCAAAGACTGCCGAATCCTCGCACTCAATTTCCGCTGCAGCTCCTCCACTGTGTCGCCGCTTGTATTCTCCAACCCTGGCTGCTGCTTCTGCTGTTCCCCATCGGGCGAGTAACCAGGGTACTCATAATACCCCCCAGCATAAGCACCCGCACCCGCGCCAGCTACAGTCCGCCTCCTCTGCTCTTCCCTTGCCACGCGCTCGGCGAACTGCCGCTCCTGCTCGAGGGCTTCGATTTGGGCTTGGATTGCGCTGGGGGGAGGATTGAATTGGACCTGCTTCCGGGAGGAGATCTGTCCCAAGAAAGCAGGGTGTGCCACAGCTTCAGGACAAGTAAGAACCCGCGAGCCAAAGAAGACAGGGTGCACGGCGGCTGGATCGTGGGTGTAGCCTGTTGCTGCGGGATGGGGACAGGCAGAGTGGGAGGTGAGTGAGCGGGTGGCGAAGACGGGGTGTTTTGTTGCGGGGTTGAAGGTATCTAGCACCAGAGTGTGTTGTTGATGGTTTTGGCCTTGATATTCGTGTTGAGGGGGAGTAGAAAGCGCGACAGCCTCAGCAAGAGCGGCGTTCCAATCTTGAGAGGTAGCTCGTGGTCGTTGGACCTTGCCAGCCTTTTGCGTCGGCCGCGATCCCATGATCCAGTTGTGGCTCTTCTTGGTAGCTTTCTCCTTAGCCCCCCAGAGTTGAGCAGATACCAACCGGTCCAGTGGCTTTTGCTCAACACGCGGCATCCGTTTGCTGGACCGAGCGGCTGGTTCCTCGCCTGTGGTACGGTAGTTGGCCACAGATCGGCTTCCGGATGTAAACAGCCCTTCCTGAGCAGGTGTCGGTGTTGGTGTCGGTGCAACTGCCCGAGACGGCATCCACAGCCCGGATGAGGGTTGTTTGTGCTCTATCGTAGGACAAGGTACCACCTCGCTCGCCATATCACGCTTGGGAGTTACGGCTGGACCCATGATCCAGTTGTGGCTCTTCTCGGTAGCTTGGTTCCCAGCCCCCCAAAGTGCAGTAGACGCCAACTGGTCGAGTGGCTTCTTCTCCACACGCTGTACCCGCTTGCCGGATCGAGCAGGCAGTTCTTTAGCTGTACTGCGGCGGTCTGCTACAGATCGGTTGCCAGATGCAAACAACCCTGGCTGTTTTGGTGTTTTTGGCGTCGGTACAGCTGTCTGAGAAGGAATCCACAAGCTGGCCGATGATTGTTTGTGGTTTGCCGGAGTACGGGGTACCGCCTCGCTCGCTGTATCACGCTTGGGGGCTACGACTGGCCCCAGGATCCAGTTGTGGCTCTTGTCGGTAGTTTTCTTCCCAGACCCCCAAAGCACAGTAGATGCCAACTGGTCGAGTGGTTTCTTTTCAACACGCGGTACCCGCTTGGTGTGCCTGGCAGCCGGTTCTTCTGTAGTGCTGCGGTAGTCCGTCACCGAACGACTGCCGGTGCCGGGTGTAAACAACCCTTGCTGTGTCGGTACAGCTGCTGCCCGGGAAGGAACCCACAGCTTGACCGAGGGCTGTTTATGCTCCATCACAGGACTCGGGACCGCTACATCGGGTTTAGCAGGCACAACCAACCCCCTAACAGGCGTAACCAACGGCCGCGGGGACATCCCCAAGTCATCATCCCCCTCGAGTATCATCAACGTCGAGCTATCCAGCGTCGCCGAGTCCCGCTGTTCTTGTTTCTCGCCACCAAAGGGATGTGTCTGCCCATCAAACAACCCCCCATCCTGCAACTCCCCCAACCCAATAACAATCGACTCCCGCTCTTCACTCTCCGACGGGATGATCTCATTCATGTAATCATCCACCACCGAGCTACCCCCGCTGCCACTGCCGCTGCCGTTGTAGCTACCGCTGTCACTATCGCGCTCAAGTATAGGAGGGAACAGACTCCCCCGCGAAGGCACAGCGTCAGATTTGAGCAGACTGGCGATTTCCCAGAGCGTGGAGTCATCGAATCCGTCGTCGCTATCTTCTTCTTCTTCTCCCTTCTCTTCTTCCTCGTCTTCCTCGTCTGAGTCGGTTTCACCACTTTCGTTGTCATCGTCGTCGTCGTCGTCGTCGTAATCATCGAAAAACGACGAATACTCCCCCCCTGGAGACCCTCCAGTCTGAGGCTGGGACTGAGACTGACCAGACTGACTAGGTAGAGACTGACCCCTCACACCAGAAGTCATAGTCCCCGGCATAGCCATCCCCACACTCCTCCCATTCACACCCTGTCCAATCCCAAGGCCCACACTCCTCGCCGTATCCGACCTCTCGCCCCACGGAAACTGAAAGATCCCTAGCGTCCCTCGCTTATCGGGCAGCGGCTCCGGGCTCTCGAGGATATCGGGCAGCAGGGTGGCGGTGATGGTTGTTAGGCGTCTGGTGCTGCTGCGGCGGGTAGGACGGTGGGTTAGGGGGGCGCGGGGTTTGGGTTGGGGGGGTAGGCCGACTGGGTTTGAGGTGGTCAAGTTTAGGTTTGGGTTTGGGGAAGCCGTGGAGAGTGGAGCTGAGGGGGGTGTTGAGGTGACGGTGGTGCGGACGAAGGGCTGAGCAGGCGGTGCAGCGGATGCCCAGCGTGGCCTCCAGAGATGGGAGGCGTTGCTGCTGCTGCTGCGGTGGAGGGAGTTGTGGGGTTTGCGCCAAAGAGTTGTGGAGGAGATCACGAGGGGGGTTTGGGTTGTTCTCTTGGCTGGGCGAACGGAGAGGCCGGGTAGGTCGTCTTCAGGGGTATACTCAGGGATATACTGCCGAGTGTGCTTAGGGGTATGAGCCCAGAGTGACGGAGACGGTGCAGCTGTGACTCTGTGTGATGGTGTCCAGAGAGTAACAGACCGCGGGTTGTAGACTTCAGCCCGGTCGTCGATGCCAGAGCCCATCTCCTTCTCGTTTCTCGCGGTGGCATTCTCAACGGCATTCTCCCTCCCGTCAGTGGAATCCTTCGAGACATCCCCAGAGACATCCTCATCACCCCCCATCGGCATCCCACTCCCCAACTGCCCCCTAGCCAACAGCAACCCCCCCAATCCCATTCCCACTCCCACATAACTGCTCGCCCTGAGCTGCATATACTCCATCTGCGCCTCCGTCAACCGCTTCTGCCACTTGCTCATCGGCACCGGGCCGTCCTTCTTCACCCTCTTACTATCCTGCCGCACCGGCACCGACACAGGCACTGACACTGGCACAGGCACGGCCATATCCCGTGACGTCCGTCGTTCTGGACCTGGACCGATACCGATACTCCTTCGCGAGATCGAGATTGAGTTTCGGGTTGAGTTGGAGTTCACGTACGAATTCCGGTTGGAGTTCGAGTAGTATGAATTCCGCGCTGTGCTCGCCACACTCCCCACACTCATCACCGACGCCCGACGGGAATCACCACCCGCACCTGCGCCCATGCCAGTAACTGTGGAGGTAGTAGTAGTAGTATCAGTCCGCACACTCGAAACCGAATCCCGTCCCATATCATGTCGAATCCCCTCCCACTGCTCCTTCTGCTCACCCATCTCCCTCTCCAAATCCGCCAGCAACGCAATCCGTCTTGACGCGCTATCCGGCGTGGCCACCACCATCTCATCTTCATCCAGCTTCCTAAGCTGTGCTTGGATTTGCCGGATTGCTTGGCTGGGTGATTCCAGCGGGAATAGTTCCGGTGGTGTGTGTACAACAGGGACAGCCGGTTTGCGAGATGTGGTGTTGTTGTTGTTGTTGTGTAGGGAGAGGGGGATGGGAGGAGGTGGGAGTTTGCGGGATTTGGTGTTTGAAGCGCGGCGGGCGGAGAAAGTTGGGCAGGCGTCGCCTACGCGGCGGTGCCAGGTGGATGGGGGTTGAGGTGGGGATTGGGAGGTGAGGGAAGGGGTTGTTGAAGGGGGCATGATGGGTGTGGTGGATAGATTGTTGGTTTGGAGACCGGAGACTTGGAGGTCGGATGCGGGGATCCCGGCTGTGTCGAGCATGAAGGGGAGCGTCTCGCGGTTGCTGCCTTGGGCGAAGGAGAGCTCGGAGCCGCGGATGTCTTCTTTGCGGGAACCGGGGACGGGCATACGGACTGATGTTGGGAGACCTAGGGTTTGTGTGTGCTGGATGGGAACTGAGACGCCGACGGCTATCTCGGCCTCGGCTTCGGCTTCGGCTTCGGCTTCGGCTTCGGCTTCGATATCGGGCGAGTTGACGGAGCTCCAGTTGGTTGCGTCGTCTTCGGACCGGTCGTAGGTGGTTTCTGTCCAGGCTGACACGCGAGGGTGGGCGTCGGGGATGATGGGGGATGAGCCGCGGTTGCGGGGACGGCTGCTGGCATACGGTTGTTTCGTTGAGTTATCGTCCCATGCCCTTCCATCTTCATCCTCATCCTCATCCCCCACCGGCGATCGTACAGTCTTCCTCGGCCAAATCTCATCCACCTCGGAAACCACCACACTCTCTGTCCTGGTCGTTCCAACGGTCCCAACGGTCCCAACGGTCCCAACTGTCTCCCTCTTCTCCTCACTCCCACCAAGCGACGTATCCAACCCCCTCTCCAAATACGACGCCGGAATCCGCGGCACCTCCGGCACCGACGACGACCGTCTCCTCATCGACACCGACACAAGCATCATCCCCCCATTCCCATTCCCGTTGTTAGTGGATGATGATGATCCATTCCCCGGCGGAGCGGGGAACATGAACCCTTCTGGTGTCCCCTCCTCACCCCCCTGTGAACTAGCCCGAGACCGTGATCTAGATTGCATACTGCCCGCTCTCGACCTTGACCTCGGCCGCGCACCAACCGTCGCACTCCTCGGCAACCCAGGCAAAGGCGGCAAACCCGTCGGACTCCCCGACGTCGAGGACAGCAAAGCTGATTTTCGGTCACTGTTGATGAGGAGCGACCCGCTGGATTTACTCCGTCTGTGATGAGCATAGTTCTGGCCGTCGTTTAACGCGGGGCTTCCCTGGGAAGACCCCGGCCTCCGGGGAATAGGACGCGGTCTGTTGACTACAGAGGACGAAGAAGACACCGGCGGCTCCGTGGCATGCTGAATTTGTTTCTGCTGCTGCTTCTTCGGTGCTATGCCCGCTGTTTTAACAATCGCCTCCACAGCAACAGGGTCGTCATACTCGATATTATTCACAAACAGGATAGTACGGTGTGGTCCGGCCGGGTCGTTGCCGTCGTCGGTGGTTACTTTCAGGCCCCGGGCACGTGGGTTGGATGGCAAGCCGTTGGTTGGGCGGCGCTGGAGGGGGGTTTTGGTTGGTTCTGGGGGGGGGGGGGGGGGGGTTTGGGGGGTTCGGGGGGGGGGGGGGGGGGGGGAAGGGGGGAGGGTGCGTGAGGGGCGGATGTTGTTGATTAGGAGGGGGCGGTTGTCGGCGGTCCTTTCGGGGGATCCTTGACGGGGTTGTTGGATGGATTGTTGGATGGGGGGGGTTGTTTGTACGGGGGATGCTTTCTGCGGTCGTGCCGGTGATGGTGAGGTCTCGTCTTCCTGTAAAGATGGCCGTGGCGATCTCCTCCGAGTACCATCGTCCACACCCGGAGATAACCGCACACCAGTCGTCATAGCCACAGACACATCATCCACCGACAGCATGCCCGGGTACAGCGCGTCCTGCGTCGACACCGACGCAACCTCCTTGCGCTTGAGACTGACAGCCCGTTTGATAGCCTCTTCGGGGGCCATACTCCGGACCCGGTCGGTAGACTTCCTCGTTGTGGCTGCCGCTACCTCGCTCTCAGCCGCCATCCGCGCTCTTCGCTCCCGATCAGCTGCGGCCGCTTCCTTGAGGCCCATGACGGCAATCTTGTTCCAGGGGTTCTGGCCCGTCGATTGCTGGAGAATAGGGGGGCCGATGGCCAGCCGGGCTCTTCCCGGGCCCGCGGGGACTGTGACGCTCGAGATATTCGCAGGGAGCGGCGGGACCGGTTCAGTTTCCATGCCAAAGGGCCCGCCGATGCTGGTCTCGTCTTTAACGGCCGGTGCCTCGCGGGGGTTGACAAAGGTCCGGGACGACCGGAGAGCGGCATCCTTGAGGTCTTCGAACCGCGTGGGGGGGTAGTCGGTGTCGGACGTCGAGATGTCGCGGCTGATGTTGGGGCGTCGGGGGGAGAAAGACTCGGGGCCGCGTGCTCGGGGGGTGAGTAACGAACCGGCGTTGGTGGTTACAATGACTGTAAACGTTAGTCAACTTGGGTTGAACTTGACGGGAAACGGGGTTGACGTACTGAGGACGGCCAACAGTCCAGCCGCCGGGAGAACCGTCTTGGTAGCCAACGCCAGCGAGGTAAACCCCAGAAACATCGGGACACTCATCTATTGTCATGTTAGCCTTGAACCTTGTCGCGCAGTCTAACAACGAGAAACCTACCCCCGTCCAAAAAGTCAACCCCAACAATACCCCCATCAACGCCCTCCCCCGATCCGGGTTCGCATCCCCCTTAGCAGCCCCTCCAACGGAATACGCCCTCCCAACAAGCACCAAAATCACCACCCCATCCAACGCCGTAACCAAAACCCCCACCGGCAGCGCCGACGTCGTGGCCACACAAAACCCGTCCACCTGCGGCCTCACAAACCCCACAAACACCGCGCCAGCCACAAACCGCACCAGCACCAACCCCTGTCCCACCATCTGCCCAACCACTCCTTGTTTCCCACCGCCTTGTTTTCCACCGCCGTTCAAACCCCAAAGCAAAAACTGCTCCAACGCAAACCGCGCGAACTGGTCAAAGATAGCAGCAAAGATGACGCCGATCTGGCAGGGCATGGTGGACGAGGGCGAGACGTCGAGGAGGACAGAGATGAAGGCGAGGAGGGCCCAGAGGGCGGAGCTGGTGAGGAAGAGGGTGAGGACCAGCCTCTGGCTGTCTCGGAAGAGGGTGGCGAGGCCATTGCCGGTTTTGGCGATGGAGAGGAGGGTGGTGGTTGAGGAGGCGTTGAGGACGAGGCCGCTGTTGTGGTTGTTAGTTGGTTACTCTTCTGGGCTAGGCATGCTTGCGGTGGGTAGTGGTGATGAGTTGGAGAGGGTACTTACAAGAAAAAAGCAGCGACGAGGGCCTGCGTCGCGCCCTCGACCGCCATCGTGGCGTTGGTGAAGAAAAACTGAGAATCGCCAGCGAAAAGAGAAGAGAAGAGAAGAGAAGAGAAGCAAAAAGCCAGCCAGCCCAGTCAATGGGTGGGTACATAGAATAGAATAGCAACAAAAAATAAACAGAGTAAAAACTACCGTATCATCGTGAAGTATCCACAGATCAGAGGATCAGACCGTGGTGTTGAGCTCATACGGCCATGTCACGACCCTCATCGTCGTCAACTGAGGTAAACAAACTTGACAACAAAGGAAGGAAAGAGTTACGACTAGCGGAAGAGAAGAGATTGTTGACCACCAATGTGCCTTGCAGCTCGAGTCGAGACGAGAAACGGTTCCGTGTGGGCGGGTCGGACGGGGGTGTCCTGTCAAAGCAGCACGTCACTGTGGTACTCTGTAGTAGAAGGGGAAACGCAGAGTGTGAGGCGAATACTTGGCAGTCGGAAGTCATGGTGATGCAGGGTTGCCCTGTCCCCCCTCTCCCCTCTTACAAACCGACTTCTCGACATCGGCTTACTACTCTGTAGTACACTCGCTACTGTACGACAGTAGTAGCCTCATGAGGCTGGGTCCCAGACAGGACAAGCGGGCGATCATTCAAACAAGCCCCTTGCTCTCAGAATTTATGCAAAGGGTGAAAGCTCGACGCAAGGAATGGAGAGTGTGTGAGCGAGTAAGGTACAGAGCGTGTAACCTTAAGAAGTGAGAACTGCAGGGTACCAGTTTCTTGGTGTTTCACTTGAAACCGCAATTGTTACATCTCGCACGGACCGGCGTTCGAGAGACTTTTTCAACTGGCCGGCCGCCGAAACCTCGACACGACTTCAGAGAAGGGTGCGACTTGTTGAAAAGAGGGGGTTGCTCCTGTTCTACATGGTCTCTGTCGTTTTACCCCTTTGATAGAGGTGGTGCTGTTGTTGATGTTGCGCACTCATCGGGACTCATCGGCTAGACGGGCAGTCGATTCCCAGTGCGACGCTGACTCGCATCGATGCTAATTTGGATGGCGAGTGTGCCGTGAGTTTGTCAACCAAATTTAGACGTCGGCGGTAAATGCAACAATGATGCGACGGCGAGCTGTCGTCTGCGCGTTTGTTTCCGTGTCCTCACATCGTGATCGATTGCAGCTCTCGGATCTGAGGGAGTATGGATCGGATGAGACGGTGCCGGCAAGCCGAGAGACTGGGCGATATTTAGAGTGCGATGTTCGAACTACGATATTTAGGCTACAGAACTGGAAAATATGATAGCGGAAGGAAAAATAAATAAAAGTAAGGATATCAACAGCCGCGAGGTCACCTTGTCTCGCCATCGCAATGCTGGTCGACTTTGATGCATGATGGAAACTCGGCCTGGAAGTGAGGGTTTGAAGGAATCACTTGGCATTGCATCTTAGGGTTAGGGTATGAATGGCCCGTGCACATAATAAGACCCGACATGGTGGGGGTGGGGCAGCCCCTCCAATCCGAAGCCCCTCATTGCAAACCCGTTTCTTTCCTGAACCTCACTTTTCTCCGAACCTACTATGTAACATGCAACATAGCGTCAAAAGCTGTAGTCTGGAATTGAACCTGCGAGGCAGTTGTCTACACTTTATTCGTGGGCCTGAATTTTCCGGCCAGCCTTAGCGGCATTGAAAGTGACAATTGCCTCCTTGACCGTTCTTGCCCTCGGCAGTTCAATCTTCCAGGACCCAGGCTGAATGAATACCCGAGTCTCACGACATCCCGATCGCCAGAGCTGCAAGATACCCGCTGGTATAGAGAGCCGGGTAAATCTTATCCGCGAATTCAGGCGTGTAGTGTAAGAGGAAGCCTCACATGAGCTTTGTAAGCTGTAGACAGTCCCCACGACAGTTCTCGGGAGTCTCTATAGCCCGAGCACCTCCCCGGGCCGAGTCATCTAAGCCGGTCGCCGGTCACCGGTCGCCAGAAGGGCGTGTCGGATGAGGAATCGTGGTGCGGACAGCCGCGGCCAGCCGAGCGGGGATGTTGAAGGGACTGGGAAGGATTCAGATCGGGGCCGACAGAGGGGTAGTGACCAATCGGTCTTGATTGCGACGGCTCCTCTCTTCCTGAAGGACTTGACTCACCATTGCACTGACTGTACCTGTACTGTCATTAGACTTGAGTGGGGTGCTAGTTTCAACATATAACGTCGCTCACATCCAGTCAAACCATTCTGTCCCAACACCAACATCCTACTACGCAACTCACCAACTTACTTACACTTACCATCACAATGCCTCTCCGCGAGCTCCAGTACCCGACCGAGCCGTACAGCAAGGTCAACCGGCTCAAGGACCGAGGTAAGCTTCCCACTTTTAAGGGTAAAGCACATAACGGTAAAGCACATACTGACAACGACTAGCGGACTACGCCCTCGAGGCCATCCACCGGATTGTCAACACATGCCCGCTGCTACATGTCTCCTTCCAGGCCCCAGGCAGCCCGTTCCCGGCGGTCCTGCCGATGATCGGGCAGATGGGCTCGTTTGACCGGCCCAGCGCTGATTTGGGAGATGTGCTCGATCTGTATCTCCACGGGTAGTGTTACCCATAGCCGCATCGGGCCCAATGGTACCATCTCAACTAACACCCCCAAGCTACGTCTCCTCCCGCATCATGAACACCGCCCGCTCCTCCTCCTCCTCCTCCGCATCCGAAACCTCAACCGAAACCTCAACCGAAGAGAGTAAAGAAGGCATCCCCATAACAATAGCAGCCACCCACCTCGACGGCCTGGTCCTCTCCCTCACCCCCAACTCCCACTCCTACAACTACCGCAGCGCCATCCTCTTCGGCCACGCGTCCCTCGTCACCTCCGTCCCCGAAAAGCTCTACGCCATGGAACTCATCACCAACAGCGTCGTCCCTCAACGCTGGGCCCACACCCGTGTCCCGCCCAACGCGGCCGAGATGCAGAGTACGAGTGTGCTAAAGGTGAGGATTACGACGGGGAGTGCGAAGATCAGAGAGGGGGGACCGCATGACGAACGGGGGGATCTGGAGGATAGGGGGGTGGTGGAGAGGGTTTGGACGGGCGTGGTGCCGGTGTGGAGTGTGTTGGGGACACCGGTGGTGGGGGGGTATAATGAGGTGGGGGAGGTGCCGGGGTATTTGGAGGAGTGGAGGGGGGAGAGGAATAGGGAGGGTGAGGAGTTTGCTAGGGGGGTGGCTAAGGATTAGGGAGAACCTGGCAGTGGGAGAAGGGGAAGAAGTAAGGGGATGAAGCAGGGGAAGCAAGATCTCTTGAAAATAAACAAAACAGCCAATCTATCAAAACATATCAACCCAAACTTGTTTTAATACATCCACAAATAACCCACCCCAATCCCATTCAGCCCTTCGTTAACCAACTCTTTACACTCCCTCTTAAACCCTCTACCACGCCTCCCAAACAGCCTCAGGCAACACAGTCCTCATAACAGTCCAATGCCCCGCCGCGCTCGCCGCATGCCATTTCACCAACCTCTCCGTCTCATTCCTCCTCAAAACCCCCTCCGCATCCGGCCCCTCCACCAAGAAATCCGCATCCGTGACCTCATGCCGCGGCAGCAAAAATGCCTGGCGCGAGGGGCTGTTCAGTAAATCACGCTCGGTCGGCTCGCGGAAGGTGATTGTTTTGACTGTGCCGCTGTTGGTGTCGCTGTTGGTGTCGCTGTTGGTGTTAGTGTCGGTCTTGGTGCAGAAAATAACCATGTTGGTGAAATCCCGGCCGTTGAGGGCAAAGTCGTCTTCGTCGCGCGGGTGCTCGCGGAAGATGCGGCAGGTCGGGAAGACGGTGCGGATGGTGTTGACGACGATGCGCGGGGGCGGGAGGGCGAAGTCGCCGGCGTAGTTCTGTGTATCAATATCAGCAGCTAGTACTTTTTAGAGAGGAAACAATAGGGAGGCCTACAATAGCAACAACACCATTCGGCTTCAACAAAGCATGCAGATTCTGCAAAAACTCCAACGTAAACAACGCAATGGGCTCGGCACCGCCCGTGAACACGTCGTGGATGATGTAGTCGAACCGGGGCTCGGACTCGTCGGCGGCTGTCCGGGAGGTGTAGGTCACGGCGTCTTCGATCACGGCCGTGTGGTTGCTGGGCAGCTGGAAGTACTGCGAGGCGAATCTGTGCACCACGGGGTCGAGCTCGACGACGGTCGTGTCGATGCCGTGGGCGATGAGGGCTGCGGGGGTCGTGCCGATGCCGAGGCCGCTGTATTATGTTAGTTGCCATCTTTCGAGAAAGGTTCCCAGGTTGTGAGAGGCTGGAAGAAGAGCAAGGGTGACGTACATGACAAGGGCATTCGCCTCGCTGTCGACGATCGGTTCCGGCGTCTCGACCAACCTAACAGCCTCCAACATAGTAAACACCCCATACACCGGCTCAGCCACCTGGTTCCCCTTAAACCGGCCCTGTCCCAAAAACTTCACCCACTCCCCCCCCAACAAACTATGATCACACCTTAACAACCGAAACCCCTCCTTCGGACTATCCAACACCGAAATATACCCCGTATTCGACTCGGCCCGATCCAACAACACATACCCAACCTCCGCCAAGCCCGCATTCAACCTCCCCAACGCCGCCGGCGTCGGCGCATGCGTATTCAACACGGCCGTATGAAACAACGCCGGCACCGTCAACACCAACAACCTCGACGGCGCCAACACCGCATACACGCCCCCCAACACCACCTGCATCCCCACGCGCGTATGCACCCACGTCCGTCCCACCAACCCCCCCGCCGCAACCTTAAACCCCCCATACGCCCCCAACCCGGGCACACCCTCCACCACCCACCCGGGAAGCGGTAATCCAGACAAATCAACCCCTTCCAACTCCGTCGCCACACATGAAGCCGACACCGCAACCAACGGGAACAACGCCACCGCCTCCGTAACCACCGGCCCCCATCTCGCCGTCAACACCCCACTAAACCCCCCCAACACAAAATGCACCACCGGCACCCACAGCGCCAGCACAGGTAACAAATACGTCGCGGCAGCTCCACTGCCCCCCTCCCTGCCGCGGCGCAACGCCCGCTCAAGGGCTAAATTGCCAGACCAACCCGTGAAACAGGCCGCCGCGACGAGGTAGGTGTGCCAGGAAGACGAGGGGATCGAGCCGTAGACGGGGGAGAGGGAGAGTTGGGAGATGAGGGTGGAGAGGGCGGCGAGGAGGAGGAGGCCGGTTACGCGGAGGTAGAGGGTGGTTTGGGTTAGGAGGAGGGTGAGGGGGGAAGAGGCAAGGGAGTCGGAGCGGGCTTTGCGGGCGAGGGAACGGAGGTCGGCTTCGAAGGTTTTTTGTTGGGCGGCGGTAGAAGCAGAGGGCGTGGCAGTGCGTTTTTTGGAGGAGGACTTAGGAGCCATGGTGTGAGGGGACAGACTGTGCTGTCTCAGAGAATTGAGGGGGGAGTTGAGGTGAGGTGAACCTGAGGTGAAGCTCAGGGAAAAGAGAGAGGTTAAAGGTCGATTGACCTGAAGTTGGACTTCCGCCCTGATGTTTAAACGCAAAAGTTAAAAGTTGAAGTTAAATTCTCAATAAAACAAAACTTAAAATACATCTCATTGCCAATGCCTGCAATGTGGTCTCATCGCGCGATTGGCTGGCAAACGCCGGCGCAGGCCAAGTTGGTTTGAAGATGCGACACTCCAGGGGAGCTTGCGCTGAATTGACCCCCTGTTGTGGCCCCTGCACGCTCCCCTGCACGCTTTCGGTCGGAACGACACACACCGGCAGCGGGTCGCCGTTGGTGGGCTGAAGACGTCTTGGCTTCTGATTGGCTATACGACACATTAAAAGCTCCACGCACGTGCCACGCCCCAGAGAGGGTTCCTGGAGCCAAGTCCCCGTGGGGGTTCGGGTTGGCTGTGGAGCCTTGAGAGCTCCGGGAGCTTGGGATTGGGGGGTGGTTGCCGACCATGGCCGATGACGTTCCCGCACACACCGTCTCACGATTTTTTTTTTAGGCTTTGTTGACTTGGCTTGACCAGCTCTTGGCCAGGTGTTTACTTTTTCGTCTCCTCCGGCTTGTCTTGCGTGTGCAACGCTAGTTCTTTGCAGTATCTTTTATTCCTTTACTTTTCTCATCTACGACCGACACCACCCGTCCATCGCAACCATGTCGCTCCCTACGTCCCTGCCCGAGCTCCTCGCCCTCGTCGACTTCGACCAGCGCAGCCTCTTCAGTATGTTGCATCCGGCCCGCCACCCCCTTCCATCCGACCTTTCTGACCACATGACCAGTTTCGGCCGCCGCCATTGCTTTCAACCCGACCTTCTGGAAGTACGTTTCATCTGAAGTCCCCCTTTCACTTAGGCTAGTTTGGTAACTAACATTCTCTTCTCCAGCATCGTTGCCCGCAGAGGTCCGTGCCATCTCTCCATCCATCCAATATCGCCTACCACCAACCCACTAACACCTAACACCACCAGAATACCGCACCAAGTTCCTCACCCGCGCCTTCAACGGCAACCGCCAAGCAGCATGCTACGCCCTCGCCGCCACCATCTTCTCCCTCGGCCTCCTGCGCGACTTCCTCTACGAGCGCGCCCTCCGTGACCAGCCGTCCCACCCGGCCCTCCAAGGCGAATACATCAACTACGCCGCCTACGCCCTGCTCGCCGTCGGCAACCTCTTCGTCATCTCCTCCACCTGGCAGCTCGGCATCACAGGGACCTTCCTGGGGGACTACTTTGGTATCCTGATGGATAGTATTGTGACGGGGTTCCCGTTTAATGTTACTAGTGCGCCGATGTATTATGGCTCGACGATGAGCTTTTTGGGGACGGCGCTGTTGTATGGAAAGCCGGCGGGGATTTTGTTGACGCTGCATGTGTTGGTGGTGTACCTGGTTGCTATTCAGTTTGAGAACCCGTTCACGGCGGGGATTTATGCCAAGCGTGATAAGGAGAGGGAGCAGGCTAAGGCTGCTGGGGTGCCGTATGAGGAGAAGAAGGAGCTTTAGGGGGTTGGTGGAGGGTGTTGTATCGTTGGAGAAGACTGGTTGGAGCAGCGCTGGATTGTGGTGGGATGTTTGGCTTCAAACTGGCATGACCACAAACTAGGGAGCAAAACGACGAATGATAGAGCCAAACCCTGACTCACGGGATCCAAAACGCACGGAATTTATCCTAGCTGCCCAGTCCCTTTCCAGAAACGGGGACGGACAAGATGAGAAAGAAACAAGCGACTCCCCACGCTCACCAAAAGGTTGCTTGTGGTTCAAGCGGCAGTCGACAAAAGATTGGCTACACACACAACCAGGGGCTCCACGCCGCCAGCCCAGTCTAACGCCGCATCGTCATCAACTGGAAGGCAGACCGGAATGAAGCGGGTTCTTTTCGTACTCCCAGACACCTAGGTAGAGATAGCCGGAATAAATTCGCTCCAAGCTCCCTGCGTCCTTACGTTTTTGCGTTCTTAGCCAACTCCCTCACACAATGTGCTATGTAGCAGGCAATTCCGGAAAGTTCTTGGTAACTAAGGTAGGTGAGATCGGTTTGATCCTGGAATACTGCATGCTGTTGGCACAATGCCGCAAGTATCCGTTTCGGTCTAGGGTTGTGTTGTGTGTCTGCAGGATGCTGCGTGTTGGTTTCGTCAGTGCTGCTGAGAGTACATACCTGCGGTGAGTACATACCTACTCAGGTATGTATGGAAGGTACAGTACCAGCTGTCCGTCCGGAAAATATGACTGGCGGGAATACTTCGGTGTTCGTTTTGTTGGGCTGGGTGACGCATCCACGATTCCATCTAGGACAATAAGATGCGTACGGTTTAGTTTGTGAGGCAGAGGTGGTAAAATCTTATCCGCTGGGAGGAAAGAATGGAATCCTCAACTTTGAGTACGCATGGACATTCATGTAAATGCAGCAGCGGCAGTCATATGCATCTCGAATCTTCTTCATCCATCTCTGTCACAGGTTCTGCGGGTGTTAGATGGAACCCGGTGTCCTTGCTCCACCCGACTTACACGGTGGCAGTTTCCTCATTTGGCACGTATCAACTTCGGGATCAGATGTCAAATCGCCCACGGTTCGTAACTGACAGTCTTGCCAGTGTTGTCTATATGCTAGCTGTACCCCGGCCAGCCAGTTGTGATGATCTTGTGATGGGTATTGTCGTAGTCAGGAATACTGTGGTGTGCAAGTCCCTTGCCATTACTCTTACCCCGTCAAGCCTCTCGTTCAAGACTTCCAACTTTACCTCCCAAAATCGAGTGTAGAAACGATAAGAAGCTGTCTGATCTACTCTGCAAATATTGTCCTGAAATTAGAACGAAATGGAAGTTTGCAAGTGCTGCCCCGGCGTGCACCGTCGCCCGAGCGCTCCTGTTGTAAGGTTCCCGAACGAACCCAACATGCCCGTCCTGCCAACTGTAGAGTATTGGCGACCTCTAAGGTTCCCCGACTGGAAAGAACAATGGGAGGAAAGGGCAGGAATCCAAATGTATAAATAGGATGGCTCTCCCCCGCCTTGGAACCGTCTATTTTCTTTCAGTATCAGTCGTGTCTCTTATATCGATCGTCACTCGCCGTACCAGACACGCTTCCATTCCTTTCCTGTCGTTATATCCAGCCTACCAAGCTGGATTATATCGACAAGCCTTTTTTACTCTCTTTTCTTCCTCGCTAGTCACTTCGGTGTCCAGCAAAACAATCACATCTGAACTTCATCGGTCGTTCCGTCACTCTTCACCAAACGGGTACGAGACGACCATGGAGTTCACAACCATCATGCCTGTCCGCGGCGCGGCCTCCTCCCCGCCCGCCGCCGACGCTCAGTCCCCCGTCCCGTCATCTTCCCCCGCAGTCGACTCGTCTGCCGGGGAAGTTGAGCCCGCCCGTGGGGAGTCCGACAACTCCCCCTCCCCGCGGGAGAAAAGGCCCCGTAGCGAAGATGATCTCGCTACGGGGGACGAGGTGCGGCCCGCACCCAAGCGGGCTAGGAGCACCTCCCCCGTCGCCGCTCCCCCCCCCGCACGGCCCCAACCCCCGACCCCTCGCCGTGGCCGCATCAGCTCCCCTTCGGTGTTGGCCACACCCGTGCAGCGGCTGACACAACCGCCCTGCACGCCATCAGCCTCCGCCTCGTCCGTCTTCAGCCCGGCCTCTATGGGGTCGGGCTGGAGCCGAAACCCCGAGATAGCCGGAAGCTTCGGCTATTTCCGCACCCCTGCCTTGTCTCCCCTCCCGTTCCTGCTCGTCAACACGGCCTCGGTCCCTACCGAGGACGAACTCCGGCAGCGCGCCCGCGCCCAGATGGAGGCTGAGACCGCCGGCCAGCCCAAAGGAACGGGGATCATCCCACCGGCTTACTACCGGTGGGATCGGGACCATTCGCATCGGCCGCGCGTCTGGATCCGGGACGAGACGACTGGAGCGGTGCGGCCCCGGCGCATGTTGGACGACGACATCAAGCGCCAGAGGCGGGCAGCGGAGGCGGAGGATAGCGAGGAAGGGGAAGAGAGTGGGGAAGAGAGCGAGGGGGAGGTGAGCGAAGGTGAGGAGGGGGAGGAGGGTGAGGAGGAAGGGGAGAACGGGGAGGAGGGTGAGGAGGTTGAGGAGAAGGTGGGGGGTTGATGGGAGTAGAGTGAGGGGAGGTGGGAGAGGAAGAGGGCTGAGCAGGAGTGAGATCAATCATGAGAATGGGGTGGATGGGGACTATGGAATGAATTGGAGGGGAGATGACGTCGTTGCTTGAAAGGCTACCAGTATATAAGTCAACACCGCTCAATATACATGTGCGTCAACAGTCTTGGGAAACCTTACTGCTCGCATCTTCTCTCTTCCATACCTGATGCCTGTCCTGCGCAACGCTCGCCCCCATGTGTCTGTCTCGGGTATGCATCCTCAACCAACCTGTCCTTACCTATCCACATGACGCTTCTCGAGCTTTATCAGTTGCCAGGATCCACCTAACCGTCCGTGTTGGCGGCCCTTTGACAGAAACAATGCACATCGTGCAGAACTTAAAACAGCAGGGAAGGTGCAGATGGTGGCTCAATACCAATGAGAATGGAATTTTTGCCAGGCTCGAGCCAGGTGTACCTTATGGCATGATGTGAAAGAGCAGAGGATAAATGGGCAACTATCGACCTTGCTTTCTTGAGATGAAGAAGGTCGGGATGGAATTTGTGGAAAGAGGGAAATAGGACAATCGGAAAGTTGAGATGGAAGTTGAGGAAAGTCGGAAACAGAACTCGAGGAAAGCCAGGAATGGAAGATAACAGAGCGGGAAGGAAGGATGGAAGCACTGTGAGCCGGATAGCAGCTGGGATAATGTGTTAAAAAGTGAAGGTACGAGCTATGTACCAGTAGGAAGGAGCCCGGCGAAAATAACGGGAACTAGAAGGAACGGGCCGGCCGATCTGAGACAACTTTTGCAGGTTCTTTTACTACTCACGTGCTACTCTCATTGTTTCCCATATGGTTAATTGCAGTAAATTCTAGTATGCGGACTAGAGCTGAGTATTTAGCGTGAACATATCCTTCGCCTTGGGCCAATGGTTCTTACAATGATGCACTGGGCTGTCGTTACACCAAAGATGCTCAAATGGCTGTGAACCCATGTCTTCCACCAAAACGTCGATGCATGAACGCCCAGTGAGCTACGGTTCGTTTTCATCATGTTGGTAGCCGTGAATCCTTGGCGCTTTCCACCAGGTGATGGAACTAACAACGGTCGTCCAGTTCTCTTGCCCATAGTTGATGTTGGAGTCTCGCAGAGCTTTTGATTCTCTCTCAGCGGGGTGAGAGCAAGTAGGAGTGAGCCAGGCAAACCAGGGACAAGTCCACGAAAAGACTTCCCGTGGCGATTGAGGCCGACGACAGCGTTGAGGGTGTAAAGCAGCCATGACGTGGTTTCCGTGGTCACCGCTGCAGCGAGGTTGAGGCCCACCGCCAATACTTCCCAAAACGGCAACCCCGGAGCTTGGCCTCTCGTGCTTGACATGGGTGGAAAGCGTACGCCGCTCTTCACGGTCCTCTCATAGACGGAGTCTCTAACTCAGTCCATTCCACAAAATGGAACTGGAACTGAACGGAATGGCTCGGGGGCATTTTTTGGCAACCTTGTACAATGCAGTGAGGCCTACTATACCAAACCAAAGATCAGATTGGTGCCTGACTTTCGATGACACAACACACTGGAGTCGGCTTGCTGAGGCAAACGAATGCCCAATCTTACCCTGGATCTATTGCTTTGTGCTCCCATGCTCTTGTCCTTCTTGAGTTTCTTTCCCTATGAGCCTCCTTCCCGCCCGTCCTCAACTTCACCACCGTACCTTGCTTCCTTTTGTGTTTATATCTCTGTTCTTTCTTCACACGCCCTTGTGGTCCTTCCTTGCCAGGTTTTGTTGCTCTTTGGTTCACTGGACACCCAAGAGAGAAAAGCAAGCGACCCTTGCCAACCTTTTCCCATTTCCTCTCAACTTCTTCGGCAAGGCATAATCGCGGGGCACATTCAGATCTCCCATTTTGGCCACCCCTCCTCCGCAGGTCGGGTTCTTTTTGGTTTTTGGACGTTCTGTTTTTGCAAACGAAACATTCTCCTTCTAGTGTTTTCGTTTGTACTTGGAACGCACCAAACCACTGACCAAACCAATCAACAACAAACCCACAAACCACCTATCAATCGCTAGTCAGCACAGCGACCAGCGGACAACGAACGGGTATATTTCCCGACCTGCCTTGTTCATCCGCTTCGTTCTCCTCACCTCACCTTCTTCATTTTCCCTTCTTTCCCCTTTTACACACACATCTACGGGCTGCAATAGCGGCTACAAAACCATCAGCAGCAACAATAACAACACCTACGTCACGACTCGACCCAGCTCTATCAGAAGACAGACCCTAACCCTAACCCTAACCACACTCTCAACACAACTCGACCGCCTCATTCAAAGCCAAAATGTCCGGCCGTGGTGGGCGTGGTCGTGGGGGCGGTAACGATGGGTTCCGTGGAGGTGGTGGTCGTGGAGGGTATGGAAGCGGCGGATATCAGGGCGGAGGCCGTGGTCGCGGCGGTGGAGGAGGCGGTGGCGGTGGAGGTCGTGGTGGTGGTGGTGGATATGATGGCGGTGGACGCGGTGGAGGGCGTGGAGGAGGAGGTGGTGGTGGATATAGGGGTGGTCGTGGTGGCGGTGGATTCAGGGGTGGTGGTGGAGGAGGTGGTGGTGGTCCGGACGTTTTTACGTGAGTCTCCCTTTGCGTTCCATGGTGGTGATGATGATGATGATGATGATGATGATGATGACCGAACTGACAACGCGTGTTTACAGTGATCCTTCAGGCCAAGTCCCACAGCCCGACGTTAAGGTCACCGAGCTTGAGGATGCGTGGATGAAGAAGCATGGCATCTCACCACAAGCCAAGCCAGGTCCTCAGCTCGAGACCGCGTTGGCTCGCCTCACGATCCAAGATCCGCAGTCTGGGCTTACGCAGCTGCCCAAGCGTCCCGCATTTGGCACCAACGGCACGCCCATTATTCTCTGGGCCAACTACTTCATGCTGAAGAGCAAGGTCGATCATCTGTACCGGTACGACGTCAGGGTCATGCCTAAGAAGCTGTCCCAGAGCGAGGAAATGGAAGCCACCACTAAGAAGGCCGACGATAGAGAGATCAAAGGCAAGAAGCTGGCCAAGATCATCGAGCTCGCGCTCAAGCAGCTTAAGGGGAATCCCACCTACGCGACCGAGTACAAGCAACAGGTGATCACGCTCCAGAAGCTGAAGCTCTCAGAGGATTCCTTCGAGATGGTTACGCTCGCCGAGCCCCCCCGGAAAACCGAAACATGGTATGTTCGTTTCGACGGACCAACCTCGATCGACATCAGGGGCCTCACCAGCCACCTTCTCAGCCTAGAGGACAGGGACAACGACGGGACTTTCCCCAAGTATCTCGCCGAAATTGACTCGCTCGGAGTGGTCTTTGGCCACGGGCCCCGGTCCGACGCGGGCACGGCCGCAGTCGGCCGCAGCCGGTTCTTTGCCGTGGATGGCAGGAGAGATGGTGCCGAGCTGCATGACCAACAAGCACTCATCGATATTCTGCGCGGCTACGTGCAGAGTGTCCGTCCCGCCACCGGCCGGCTGCTCCTCAACACCAACGTCACCCATGGCGTGTTCCGCAAGGAGTTCGCCCTCGTCAAGTTGTTCGAGCGGTTCGGTCTCACGGACATAAGCGGACCCCGACAAGACACTAATAATGAAGTTCGTCGGAACCTGGACAAGCTGCACAGGTTCCTTGCCAAGTCACGGATCCGATGCAAGATACCCGGAGACAGGCCCGGCGAGTACTTGACCAGCGACCGGGGCATGGCCGGTCTGGCGGTGAGGAGTGACGGAGGTGGCGAGCCAAAGGGAGAGGGGCCTCAGTTCACAACCAAGCAGCGGTTCGGCACGCCGGCGACGGTCCAGTTCTTCCTGCGCGCCGCGCCCCCCCCGGCCTCGCCTCCCCCGCCTGGCCTAAAGGCAAACACGATGGTGACGGTTGCAGACTATTATAAGAGCAGTAAGTGACCGCTGACACAACGTACCCCGTCCCTTCCGTCCATTTCTAACGACCCTGGAACAGAATACAAAAACAGCAACTTCAACCCGAACCTCCCGCTGATCAACGTCGGGACATCAAAGAAGCCGATTTACTTTGTGGCCGAGCAATGCACGCTTCTCCCCGGCCAGCCGCTGAAGGCCAGGCTGTCGCCCTCTGAGGCGGACTCCATGATCAGATTTGCGTGCCGGAGTGCTCCCCAGAACGCTCAGTCGATCACGACGGCGGGACGAGCCTTGCTGAAACTAGACGGCAATACGTTGCTTGTGAGTACCCATTTCGCTATCTCGGCCACTTCGGTGCCAGAATACGGGTGCAGGTGCTAACAAGAATATCCCAGGACAAATTCGGCCTCGACGTCGGCAAGCAGCTGGTCACGGTCAAGGGTCGCGAGCTGACTCCTCCATTCGTCACTTACAAGCAGGGATCTTCACCGTTCGACATCACGCCCACAGACGGCGGTTGGCTCATGAAAAAGTTGCGGGTGTGGCAGAAGGGGGACGAGATCAAGAATTGGACCTATCTGGTGATTCACGAGCAGACCGGGAGGCTTGATATGTCTCCCCAGGAGGCTGTCGCTTCGTTTGGCCGTTTCCTCCGGAACGACATGGGAGTCAACATGAACATGTCGCCAACTCCGGCCGCCGGCTACAAGACCTCGGATGGTAGCCCTGCGGATCTGAAGAAAAGGTTCGAGGCGTTCGCCAAGAGCAAGATCCAATTTGTTCTGGTGCTGCTTCCTTCCAAGGACGCCACCCTTTACAACGACGTGAAGAAGGTGGGAGACGTCCACACGGGCATCGCGACCGTCTGCGTCCAACAAAGCATGATCACCAAGGGCAAAGGCCAGCAAGGGTACTTTGCCAACGTTGGCCTCAAGGTCAACCTCAAGTTTGGGGGCGCCAACCACCGGGTCCAAGACAAGACCCAGCTCGTTTCCAAGACGATGTTTGTGGGCTACGACGTCACCCACCCAACCAACCTACCATCGGGCGCAAGCGACAACGCGCCCAGTCTGGTGGGCCTGGTGTCGAGTCTGGACGAGAATCTGGCCCAGTGGCCGGCCGTGGCGTGGGAGCAAAAGAGCCGGTCGGAGAAGGTCGGAGACGACAAAGGTAAAGGTTCAGGCGACAATGACAACAATAATCTCAAGAAAGAAGACGACAACCTGTTTGTCGAGAACTTCAAGGGGAGGATCCGGCTGTGGCAGAGGAATAACGCCGGCCGGTTGCCCGACAACATCATCATCTTCCGTGACGGCGTATCCGAGGGCCAGTTCAGCATGGTCATCAACGATGAGCTGCCGCACATCCGCGCCGCCTGCCGCGCCGTGTATGCGGCCAACGTTAAACCGCCGCCGATCACACTCATCGTGTCGGTCAAGCGCCATCAGACGCGCTTCTACCCGACCGACCGCAACCACATGCACCCTAGATCCAAGAGTCCGAAGGAGGGGACCATTGTCGACCGCGGCGTGACGAATGTGCGCCACTGGGATTTCTTCTTGCAGGCCCACGCCTCGCTCCAAGGTACGTTCACACGCAAACTTGAACTCTCTCCACGGCCCTACGGCCCTACGACCTAACTAGCTAACCACCTTCGATGCTCACACAGGCACGGCCCGTCCGGCCCATTATACCGTTCTTGTCGACGAGATCTTCCGAGCCAACTTCGGCGCTCAAGCCGCCAATCGATTGGAGGAGCTAACCCATGACATGTGCTATGCCTACGGGCGCGCCACCAAGGCCGTGAGCATCTGCCCACCCGCGTACTATGCCGACCTCGTCGCCACGCGCGCGCGTGTGCACAAGAGCGAATTCTATGAAGACACGAAGACGGTTATGTCATCGAGATCGGGCGTAACGACCACCGCGAGTGAGGCGGAAGTGGCGGCGCGCAGGGTGCATCCAAATTTGGTGAACTCGATGTATTACATTTGAGACTGAGGGGGAGGGGTAATAGTGCATCTTGAGCAGAGTTAAGGGGGAAGGGAGGGGTTGGTTTAGCTTTGCGTTATCCCATTGCGCTGTGTTTGCGATTTCTTATGGGTCAAGGTCAATGCCGAGCTTGGGCTGGTCTGATATTGATATGTTTGCTAGATCTTAGGGTTGGACGATATTGCGGTGTCTTCTTAGCTTTTAAGTCGAGTGTCTACGCGGGGTTACTTGTAGTTAGCTATTCCTTGAATTGTCAGGTTATGTCATGCAGAGGCTTGCAGAAATAGAAATGCGATGTCTTCAGGGCCTTTTGCAACGCCGTAGTTTTGGGAAAACAAGTTCGGAGTTGATCCCAAACTCTCAACAGCAAACAACAACAAAAGGTATGTTGGCAACTAACGGCGTTGATGTTCACGACCGGTTGTGCCAAGCGCCAAGCCGACAGCCATCCCGGAATAAGCTACAGTGTAACGTACTGCGGCATTGAGGCTCTGAGGGTTGGGGTTAGATGGCATTCCCCACAACCCCCTCTCCTCACGTGATCTTCCACTTAGGCCAACACCCAACCAACTTCTTGCAGCTCGCACGCACCCTGCCTTGCTCGAATGCAGGCCGGCTCGACCTCCGAACACGCATCACCACCCCCCCACTGTCATCACCCACCCACCACCTCCTCCAACGCCGACCGTATCGGACCGTCGCGGTTCGTTTTTCGGTTGTTATTTGGGAAGACAGTCCCCAACCATTCTCCACTCAAACCTGCCGGCGGCTCGCACTGCCGACTCACCAAAAGTCACTCTCTCTCAATCAACTAGCTCAATTGAGAGCCGATCTCAAATCGACTGATTTCTCTTTCCAACCGACCAGTCACCCAGCAAAGCACGACGGTACAAGCAAACGGGACGGAATAAAGCCGAATAAACATAAAAATGAGCGCCCTCCGCCCAACAGCCCGCCTCGCCGTAACGGCGAGCGCTGCCGCGACAAGATCCGCGACAAGATCCGCGACTACGACGACGAAGACGGCTTCTTCCCGCCTCTTCTCGACGACGCAGCGTCGCGCCGGCGGCGGCATGCAGTATGACCCGCCGACGGGCTGGTTGTGGGGCGTGCGGCCGGGCGAGAAGTATCAGAATGAAGGGTGGGAGAATATCTTTTACTTTGGGTTTTGTGGGAGCTTGGGGGTTTTTGCTATTGCTTATGCTTTTAAGCCTGATACTTCGTGAGTTTTTCTTTGTTCTCTCTTTTTCCTTTCTTCTCTCGCGCGGTTTGTAGAGAGTGGGATTTTTTGGGGGTGGGGTTTGTCGGTGGTGTGAGTCCGGTGATGTGGGTTGGCAAGGGCTAACATAGAAAACAGGATCCAGACGTGGGCTTTGGAGGAGGCCAGAAGGAGGCTGGAGGTTGAGGGGATCTTGGAGGACCCTCACCCTGAGAACAAGCCCAAGTAGATTCATTCTAGAGGCGAGCTAGGGGGATGTTGGAAATGGGCCTTAGAGGAGGAATCAGAGGAAGGTGATGTCTGTTGTAGAGGAGGATTGGAGAAGCGGGGGTTTTTGCAAGCACATGGATGTTAAAACCTTCCCGTCGCGCATAGATGGATGCATATGATTTATTTTGTTGATTTCCCTTCGTTTGATATTGCTCTGAGTCATCGCCGTTGCCTGTCTTGGCTCTTGAGTTCTTTGTTGTTGTTGGGGAGGATATGGACATGAACATGATCGAGGATCGAGTAAAGAGGCTTCCGCCGAGTAGGTCCAACAGTGGTTATGAGACATCGGATTACCGGCCGTTTATGAATGAAGTCAGCTGGAAAAGTTGTGTCACTCGTACTGCTTGCTCCAGCAGAATATTTCATCGACCGTTACATTACCCCCACGCTATATACAAGATCTAAACGCTCGCCACCCAACACAGATATCTACGCTTCCGTATCATCTCCTCGACCCCCTTTTCCCATTTTTTGTCTTAAGCCACTTTTTTACTAGCACACATAACTCCACTCATGCTTATCATCCCCATACTGCCGCGCCTCAATCCAATTCTTCATCTTCATCGTAACCTCCCCCGTCTCCTCATGTTCCTTCAGCCCGCAGCTAACCAGCTTCCCCCGCCAGCTGATAGCCCGCACAGGGCTCACAATAGCCGCCGTGCCCGCCCCAAACGCCTCAATCAACCGCCCCTCGCTCGCCGCCTCGTCCAGCTCCCGCATCGTGTACTTGCGCTCCACAACCTCCCACCCTTCCGGCTCCAGCCGCTCCCGCGCCAGCGACAGCACCGAGTCGCGCGTGACACCCTCCAGGATGGTCCCGTCTAAAGGCGCGGTGATGAGTTCTTTTTGGCCGGTCTGCTTGTTGACGAGTGCTACGAAGAAGTTCATCGTGCCGACTTCGGTGACGTATTCCTCCTCGCCGAATAGCCAGAGGTTTTGTTGAAACCCGCGGCTCATGGCCTCGCGTTGCGGCACGATGCACGGCGCATAGTTGGCTCCCAACTTCTTGTCGCCTACGCCGCCTGGCCAGGCGCGCACCGCGTAATCGGTTGCTTCGAGGGACACGGCTTTGAAGCCGGTCGGGTAGTAAGGGCCTACGGGGGACGCGATGACGAAGAGGAGGGCAGAGCCGGGCGGGCCGACGCCGAGGGTTTTTTGGGTGCCGATTAGGGTAGGGCGGAGGTAGAGGGAGTAGCCGCGCTCTTCGGGGATGAAGCGGCTTTCGAGTTTGGTGAATTGGGCGATGAGGTCGATGAGGGCGGTGGAGTTGAAGTTGGGGAGGGCGATGCGGGCGGCGGATTTGTTGAAGCGCTCCATATTTTTGTCCGGGCGGAAGAGCCGGATCTGGCCGGCGCTGTCTTTGTAGGCTTTCATGCCTTCGAAGCATTCGAAGGCGTAGTGGAAGACGCAGGTTGCGGGGTCGAGGGAGAGGTTTTGGTAGGGCACGATGTGTGGTTTGGCCCAGCCTGTGGTTTTGTCCCATTCGATGGTGAGCATGTGGTCTGTTGGGAGCACATTGTTAGTGGATGTTGCTTGTTTCTTTTTTTCTTCCGTTTCCCTGGAAAGGTACACCCTCGTAAGGCACAAGCGGAGAGCCATACCGGTAAAGTTACGCCCGAATATCAGATCCTCAGACTTGAGCAGCGGCTTAGGCTTGGATGTCCTGTTGAGAACCAGTTGGGTTGGGTCGATATCCTGGGTCTTGATCTCGGATGCCGCTTCTGGGGTGATGCTGTACTGGCGCGCCGCCTGGAAGAAACTAACAGGTGCCCGCCGTGGCGCAACGAAGGCCGCCGCGCGAGGAGCGCAGCGGGGGAGGAGTCGCCGCATCATCTTGTGGTTTTCACTCTGCGGTGGGAGGGGGGTGGTTGAGAGACTAGGAGGAGGGGGAGAGAACTCGAGAAAAAGAAGGGTAAAAGAAGTGCCAATCGACGGTATGCGCACTCACGAGCGGCAGAGGAGCCGGATCAAATACACGGGAGCGGGGACTAAGGTGTTGCTAGTGGGAAAAAGGTAGAGTTAGTCACATCTGCCAACAACAGCCCGAAACGATAGCCCGAAACGGCAAGCTTTCTGATATGTCCCGTATGCCCAAATTCTCGGAGCGCAATCGGAGTCGCACGATAGCGCACTGCTTGCCCTGAGTCGTCGGCTGGCCCAATCAGCGCGGGCCTAAACCCTGGGGTCCCTGCGTTCCTTCAGGACCCTTGCAGTCTGCCAGGGGCTTTCGATGTTTAGTCAGTGCCCTCGGGGAGAATCATGAACCGTGGCAAACCGACTTAATGCGATGGAGCGAGCGCGATCGGAAGTCTTGGGCTTCGTTAGTGTAAAGCACCAGGACTTCGTGGGGTTATTGCTTAGCAGATCGAATTCGCACGGTTTATTTCGCAGTTTTCTCTTGTTCAAGAAAAGGTGTCCCCGTTTTCAATCAGAGATATCAGTACATAGTCCGACTAGCAGCTTGATCCGGAAATGCCTGCCAAGGACAGCCAATGGAGGGGCACAATGCTAATCCAACCCTGGGAACCTGCCAAGCTCCGTCCCTGGTCTGCGCCTTGAGCTGCGACTCCAAAAGTTGCGTCAAGACGCGCGGAATCTGTCCCAACGTTCGGCCTCGCCGACGACCCACGCCTTCTGGGTTGAATCTAGCGCCAGCATCTTTATGTGTATTCGATTGATTTCCGAATGTTTTAAACCCCATCCCCCAATTCCACAACCCGACCCGCCCAGTCCGGGCTGACAACCAACATCGACGACCACAACGACGACAAACGTGACCAGCCATCCCGGCGTAAACATCGCCCAACCCGGACCACTGCGATGATAACCACCCCTTGAGAGTTCCGCCCGTCATGTTCGCCAACGCGCTCAAGTCGATTTCGTCGACAAACATCACGTCCAACTACACCATCTCGACCACGCTTACGTCGACCGCGGGGCCATGGAAGATCTACCCGGCCAAGAACAAGAAGACGGGCAAGGAGTGCTCCGTCTTCGTGTTCGATAAGAAATCCCTCGATGCCCACCGCAGCGGCATGAACCGCGCCGAGGTCGCCGAGTTCAAGCGTGCCGTTGACGCCGTGATTGAGCGCTTGAAGAAGGAGGCCTCCGCCCTTGCGAAGCTGCGACATCCGGGCATTCTGGAGGTGGTTGAGCCGGTCGAGGAAACAAGAGGCGGGGGTCTGCAGTTTATGGCCGAGGCAGTGACGGCTTCGCTGTCGGGCTTGTTGCAAGAGAAGGATGATCAAGAAAGAGGAGGATCGGGGGGTAGGACAAGCCGATATGTGACGGAGGATGCGGATGGGAACCGCAGGAGGAGGGAGCTTGAGATCGATGAGTTGGAGATTCAGAAAGGGCTATTGCAAGTCAGCAAGGCTCTGGAGTTTCTCCATGACAATGCTGGTCTTGTCCATGGTAATCTGACACCGGATGCCATTCTCATTAATGGCAAGGTACGTCCCAAGTTGTTTCCCCTCCGAGAAGGGTATTGTGTAGTAGGCTAACAATGTCGGCATAGTCGGATTGGAAGCTGAGCGGGCTATCTTTCTGCGGGCCCCTCGACAACTCGACGTCCAGCAGCTCCATCCAACCCATCAACCTACGAGAGGTGCTCCGACACACACCCGCGCTGCCTCGAACCGTACAACTCAACCTCGACTACACCTCGCCCGATTTCGTCATCGACAATAACCTAAACGCATCCGCGGACATGTTCAGTCTAGGCTTGTTGATCATTTCGCTGTACAACTCTCCCCATAAATCCCCCCTCTCGACCAACGGCAGTCTCTCGGCCTACCAACGTCTCTTCCAGTCCTCTCAAAGCATCCCGAACGCGAACAACAGCTTCCTTTCCTCCCGACCGCTTCCCAAGGACCTCACCAACCACGTCTTACCGAGGCTCATCACACGACGGCCGGCGCAACGGATGACGGCGGGCGAGTTCCAGCAGAGCGAGTTCTTCAACAACATCCTCGTCTCCACCATCCGCTTCCTCGATGCATTCCCGGCCAAGACGCCCAATGAAAAGTCGCAGTTTCTCAGGGGCCTGATGAAGGTGCTGCCGTCATTCCCCAAGTCGGTAATGGAAAGAAAGCTGCTTCCCGCGCTTCTCGATGAACTAAAGGACAAGGAGCTCATTTCCTTAATCTTACATAACGTTTTCAAGATTATTGAGCTCTTGCCGTCTGGGAAGAGGGCGTTTGGGGACAAAGTTCGGCCGAGCCTCAAGGAGATATTTGTCACCAACGCCAAACAGACGCAGGAGAAGGACCCAGCTCGCGATGCTGGGTTGATGGTTGTGATTGAACAGCTCCCTGTCATTGGGGAGAACTGCGGAGGAAAGGAGTTCAAGGACGGTGAGTTCAAAATATTACCTACGTCCTGTGACATATCTCTAACAGCTTTGTAGACGTTTTGCCCATCATCTTCAACGCTCTAGAAGCGCCAACTCCTTCGCTCGTGGACGCGGCACTCCGTAGTCTCCCATCAGTCTTGCCTCAGCTTGACTTTAGCACCATCAAGAATGAACTCTTCCCCGTGATTGCGGCCATCTTTAGCAAAACCAATAGCCTCGCCATCAAGGTCAGGGGGTTGCAAGCGTTTGTCACACTATGTGGGGGCTCCAACGACTCCGGCGGCGATGACGGCCTGGATGGCCTGGCTCCGCAAAAGAAGAAGGCGACCTCGTCTACTGCTCTCGACAAGTTCACGATGCAAGAGAAGATCGTGCCTCTGATCAAGGCCATCAAAACCAAGGAACCCGCGGTGATGATGGCTGCGCTCAACGCTCTACGGGTGATTGGTAGGGTAGCCGACGCCGAATTCGTTGCCATGGAGATTCTCCCCATCCTCTGGAGCATGAGCTTAGGCCCGCTTCTCGACCTCAAGCAGTTCCAGGCTTTCATGGAACTCATCAAGTCCCTCTCGAGCAGGGTGGAGGATGAACAGACCAAAAAGCTGCAGGAACTGTCCGGCGGTGATGCCAACGGGACCGCTCTGAAAGACGACTTCATGTCCTTCGGCCCAGTCGCCGGCGCGTCCTTTGACGCCAACGGGGCCACAGAGACGGACTTTGAGTCCCTCGTTAAGGGCGGCCCCAGCGGTGCCTCGACGACCAATCCCATGGATTCCGGGTGGGACAACGTGGTATCCAACGCACCGCTCACCTCCCCGACCTCCGGCAGCCGGAAATCCACCCCAACAGCCGCCTTCTCCTGGTCCACTCCTCCCGCGGCCCCGGCAGCCACACCGGCGAGCAAGCTGGGAGCCGTCAAGGCCCAGCAGCCCGGCTTCAGAACAGTCACGCCCGACCTTGCCAGCTTCCAACCCATCGCGCCGACCGCTACCCAATTCTCCCAACCCCTCCAACCCGCTTCCAAACCAACAGCCGGCTTATCCTCCACGCCCCTCTCACCACCATCCACATCTATCAACTGGGGCGCGGCCTCAACAACCACCAATAACAACAACAACAACAGTAATAACCTCTGGTCATCCCCAGCAACAACCCAACAGCAACAACAACAACCCATATCCACCTTCACCTCCCTCTCCCTCGGCCAGCAACAACAGCAGCAGCACCGACAATCCCCCCCAACCCAAACCCACCAAACACCCTCTTTCTCACTCCCCCCACCCCCAGGCGCCAGCACCGGCACCGGAACCGGCGGCACTTCCAACAACGCCTTCTCCAGCTTCAGCCTGGCTCCTCCGCCGGGCGTGACACAACAACCGACACAGGCGCCGCGACCACAACTCACGACGACGATGTCGACGCCTGCTTTTGGGGGGTTGGGCGGTGGTGGGTTGGGTAATAATATGAGTAGTCTTGCTTCGTTGGGGGGGAGTGGGGGGGGTAACTCGGGGATGGGGATGGGTATTGGTGCGGGTGCGAGTATGAATAGTATGATGGGGATGGGAATGGGACAGCAGCAGCAGCAACAGCAGAAACAAAATCAGGGTTTTGGGCAAGGCCAGGGACAGGGACAGGGACAGGGACAGGGTCAAAGGTCGGGGTTGGATAAATATGAGAGTTTGTTGTGAGGTTATGAATGAAAGGGCTACGTACGATAACGCGGGTTGGAGGGGGGAGACTGGGTGGGTGGTGTTGGTGGGGGTTTGGTTAGTTTGGGGGGGTTCTACTGTGCATAGATAATGGACTGATGGGGGGCTGATGATCATGGAATACACTACATCCAATACGCTACATCGATGCTCTGCTGTTTGGGAATGGAGTTGAAGGGCAAGATATTATGCCATGGGCCAGACTAAGGGATATGAAGGCTTAGATACCCCGGATGACAGCGTGTTGGTAAGGCAGGATTGAACTAGCCCTGGCCTCGGCCTTATATTATACATAGTACTGCGGCAGAACTCGTTCACCTCTCAAGTTTCACCTTTCCTAAGCCACTTGGAAAGCGGTACTATTTTTGACCGGGTATCATTCCATCCCCGCAGACTACTCAAGGCCATGGAATAAGCAACCAACCAAACGGAGATAACAGCAAATGGGCAACTCAGCTCAATGAATGCTACAACGTTCACCAGCAAGAGTCACACAGCATCATCATCACCATTCCACAATTAGTCAGTAGGATTAATACAAAGAAAAGTCAGGAGGGTGGATACGTTGGGAAATAATTCAGGTCAACAACATAAATTCATCACAACGGGTACGGTACATGTATGTACATACAGTACAAAAACCCTTCCCATCATCTACCAAAATATCGCTAATAAACCCATCCCTAATAACATCAACTCTAGAAAAACAAACCCCCCCAACATCCATCCATCCATCCATCCATCCATGGCTAACAACCGTAGCAAAACGGCCATCATCGCAACATCGTCCCTCGTTGCGGTCAAAATGCTCGCAGTAAAGTTCTTCATACGCCCCGGCTCGGCTAGGCTGATACAACCCGACCCAGCCTGCAAAACCAGCCCGACCCAACTCCCTGAAGGGAAGCGTAAACCTCGGTTGAATGAGAAAGGGAAACGAGAAAAGAAAATAGAAAGGAAAGAAGGAAGCAGGAATAGTCGAACAAGGCAAGGTCCATCGTAGACTTGAGCTGAGAGACTCGCTCGGTATGAGCGTCCGTCCTGTCCTGCCTCTTCTTCGTGGTGTCATTAAGCAGGGGTTCCTCCTCCTGGAGGAGGGGTGAGGTCGAAGCCAAGTTGAAGTTGACAATGAAGATAGAGGGGCGATAAAATGAGATGAAAGAGGGTTGGTTGAGAGGGGGGAAACATGACAAAATAGGGTATCAAAGTGCATGTCTCATGCCTCTTAGGAAAGAAAACCCCCCGGTAACAGACAGGTAGACAGGCAGACGACTCGACAAAGGTAGGAGATACAGAACAGAAAGAGACCCAGCGAAGAAAGGAAAGGTAGAAGAGAACACGAGAAGACACTATGACGCCTTCCTCTCCCGTCTCTCCCTCCTCGCCTCCCTCTCCCGTTCCCGCTCCCTCCTCTCCTCCTCCTCCGTCTTCTTCCCCTCCCCGTTCTCCCCACCTTCCCCGTCCACCCCGTCTTCCACCGACAACTTAACCGGTTCCGGGGCTGGCGCCGGCGGCGGATGCACCTGCGTAAACACATGTCTACTCGCCCAACCCTCCGCCGCCTCCGTCTTGATCACCTGCCCCTCGGGTACCATCTCATGCTTCAGATCCCACCCAGCGCGACGGCATAGTTCTGACACGACAACGTCACAGTCGCCCAGCAGGTCGATATCAAAATTAACGTGGGAGACCGGGGTGCGGCTGATGTAGATCTGGGGGATGTGGGGCGGTAAAAAGGGCACGACTTCGCTGACGGGGGCGACTTTGAGGCTAGTGCCGATGACGATGACGAGGTCGACCTTTTCGCGGTCGTGTTCGGTCAGGCGGCGGGAGAATTCGTCCGGCAGGGCTTCGCCAAAGAAGGTGATGTCGGGTTTCATGACGCCGACGGACCAGTTTGTCGGGGTGGCGCTGGTGTTGGTGCTGCGGCCGGTGTCGAATTCCGAGTCGGAGTTGGAGTCGTAGTCGCCGGGGCGACGGCGGGGGCGTTTCTCGGTGCCGTCGCGGTTGACTTTGCGCTTGCGGGATCCCGGCCCGCCACTGCTGTTGGAAGTGGTGCGGCTGCCTTGGGCGCATTTGCGGCACCGCGGGATGTCGCCGGCTTTGATCTCGGCGAAGAGGGAGTCGCCGGGGACTTTGTGGCCGCATTTGACGCAGGAGGCCGTGGCGAAGGAGCCGTGGCATTGGATGAGTTTGGAGGGGTGGATGCCGGCTTTGGCTTCGAGGTTGTCGATGTTTTGGGAGTAGTTGGTGAGCAGTTTGCCCTTGCTCTGTAGCAGCGCGATGAAGGCGTGCGTCGGGGAGAAACGGTCGTGGTTTGGGAGGATGTCACGCGCGACGGAGTAGAAGATGGTCGGGTCTGAGCGGAACACGCCAATGTCGAACACCTCCTGCGGGTCGCTGAGCCCGAGATGCTCGAGTTTGGAGTACAGACCGGTGCCCTTGGAGCGGAAGTCCGGGATGCCAAGCGACGTGGAGATGCCCGCGCCGGTGAGCACGATGATGTTGTTGGACTGCTTTAGCAGTTCTGCCGCGTCGTCCACCGAGTTGTACTTGGGCAGCTTGGCCCGCTTGGACAGCTCGCGGCTCAAAGCGAGACTCAGAAGGGAGTAGTAGGCCTCGTCGTCGGCTCCTTCGAGGAAAGCAGGCGGCCGGATGCCAAAGGCAGTCAACAGTTTCTTGGCCGTGACCAGGCCCGCGCCGATAGTCCTCTCGCAGAAAACGGAGGGGCCAACGGAACGCAGCAACTGGCGGAAATTGGTCGCTTCGTCGGGAGTGCACGCCTCGGGATCTAGCAGAAGGGTCAGTCACATTGCATTGTAGTTGTCGTCGATGAAACGTGGTTTGGGCGGGATGAAACTCCAACGGATAAAACTCGACTTACCATCGGTGAAGAATCTATCTTCGGCCAAGTCCTCCAAAGCGTCTTGGAACAACGATTCCGTCTCCCATGACTCGCTCAGGTCATTGACGCGTTCCTCCAGCTCATTGAGCCCCGAGTTGGGAACACCATCCGTCTCGGGATCGACTTCTTCGCTCAGCTCTACGAAAGCCCGCTTTTCATCATAATCGACCGCGTTTTTAGTTCGCGCACTCGACTTTCTGGCTGTAGTGGTGCCATTGGTGGTTGGACCATTTTTGGCCGGAGCGCGGCGGGATGCCTCCATTTGGCCTGTTGGTTGGTGATGTGGGTTGTTGTTGTTGGAAGGTTCCGTGTTGGGTTGAATGGGTGAGTGATAGTGTGGTGGCTTGTGAAAAGGCAGCGCCAAGAGGGAGTAAGACGAGAGAAAGGCCCCCAGATGGCGAGGTGAGATGAGAAAGGTAATAAGACAGAGAGAGCGACGACGCGTCGATAAGAAAAGACAACCACTAAGTCGGCGACCGGCAATGCCCGTGGTTTAAGCCCCGAACCAAAAACGCAAAAAAGCCCTCGGTGTGTTGAAATCCGATGGCTCTGGATGAGAGAGCGGATAAAAAGTAAAAGGAAAGAGTGCCAGAAGTGAGACTGAGGTGGGCCGTGAGTTGAGTGGCTCGCGCGGCTGAGTGGTCTGTGGTTTTTGGTTGAGTTGAAGTGGTTCAGTGGCGACTGAGAAGAATAGAAGAGCCCGTTCAAAATCGGGGCTGAGAGAGTGGAAGGCTAGGGATGCGAGCACAAGATACAAATCTCAGAGCGTTTGTTCTCGTTTTGTGAATTGCCGGCCCGGCCACTAGAGAACGTGAGGGATGTTCTGGGCAGTTGCGGAATTGCAAATACACGGGCAAGTTCTGAGGGACTCCTTTTATACTACCTGGGAAGGTAGGTAGGAGAAGAAAACTAGCATCGAGGACAGTTGAGTTCAAAATTGCTATTCAACCCAACCTAAGGCGACAACTAACTCAATTACCGTGCGAAACCTCGGTGGGGAACTGTACTCTGTCCTCGAGTCCTCCGTTGAACCAACCATCCAAGCTTCGCGCCAACAGGTTTCCTGTCCACGTTACTGTAAGCTGTTGCGAAACTAGCCGTAGAAAGACGACAAGAACGTCAAACTCAAACTGAAGCTTTGGGCAGGCGAAGTAATCCAGTGGGAGCTTGAACGCATGAGCAAGACCTATGTACAATACAGCGCGAAATTACGTACACACCCGGAACACCCTGATGCCTGTTAAGGAAAGCGCGACATACAACACAAAATCTACAAAGTCTCAAATGGACTCGATCAGAGCTATGTAATGGCCACAGCACGCCCAATCTCAGAAACCCGAGTTCAAAAACCAAAGTCCGGGCGGATTGAGGTAGTGTATATGAGGGAAAAAAAGTTGCGATTACATCGGCATTGGCATTAACAACTTTTTCCCAGTTCCGGATAACTCCCCCTTTCCACCCCTGCCCGTCCCCCGGCGACGCCGACAGACTAAAAAACTCAAAGAATCCTAAACCTCAGACCGAGGCCCAAGCAGCGCCAGCGCCACCCAAGAAACCCAAGAAACCCAAGAAGTAAACGGTGTAATTATTTCTTCTCGATGCAATGCAATGCAACTTCAACCCCAACCCAGCCCAGCCGGGCCCGGCACGCCTAACAAGCCCGTCTTATGGTTTCCCATCCGCCGCTTTGGACTGCATTGCGAGTACGAGTTAACTAACTACCAGCTAGTGTAAAAAGACCCAAGCATGAACATTCCATGAACCTCTGTATTGTACCACACCGTACTGCACGCGTAACGTAACGTAACAACCCTCACGCTCACCTCACCCGGTCCAGATTACCCGCCGAGCACTGGGGCTGCTGCCCTGCGGCACAACAAACACCAAGCCCAACAAACATCCCATCCCACCTTACCCACTCACCCTTTTCGACATCTTCGGGGGGGTATGTAGTAGCTTATTCTTAACACCCACTCTTCCTCGGTCTTCTCAAGCCACCACGTGCAATCCATGACAACATCACCCCTTTTACCTTGACGACAACCTACCTACCTACCCACTTCCTGGATTCAAAAGTGCAACACAGCGTCAAGGCCAGTTCTAACGAACCTTGTTGATGTGATGATGGACACACAGTAAGCAAAACCAAGGCACACTCGACAACATACAGGGAGTCTGCGGCTCAGTCACTCCACTCCACTCCGCTCCACATAGGTAGCATACGTACACGTACATTCACGCTCAGCGGCACAGTGGGTGACGAACCGGGCGGGTGATAGTTACACTACAGCATGAAGAATTAGAATATATAAAAACTCAAGTAGGGGCGTGGGTGGGTTCAAGATTGAAGAGGTGGTGTTTGAGTGAACAAGGGCGAGGAACCGACCCGAAAACTAGGGCTTGGTGTGGATGTGTGAGTGGGCTACTTGAGGAACGGCGACGGCCTCAACAAGTAATTCCATGGTTGTCACTACGGTCACCATGGTCCAATACAAAAGGCAAACATACCCAGTGTTCAGTCAACATCAACAAGGGGCACAACGTAACAAAAACTCAAATCTAACTCCCGTAACATTTCCCCTAATCATATCCGTCGTATGTACATGTACGTCGGGCAAATATATAAAAAGCTAAAACGATCGATCGATGGTGTACACATCTCCCATTCCCCCCCTCCATCCCCCCTTCCCCCGCCTCACTACCATGCCTAGGTAGCCTACCTAGCCTAGCTTATCCTACGCCTAACCCATCTTATCGTCACCGGACGCCGCTCTTCCCATGTTACCCTACCCTCCTCTCTCCCCTCTCAGGCACAATCAACAAACCACTTTCTGTCTTCTCCCCCTAATTAAACCCCCCAAAAACAACGCACATCCAAGAAGATGAAGAACAAAACTCAACGAAGTGCCTTAGCGAGAGAGAGGGGCCCTTTAGAAAAGAAACCAAAAACAAGATAGTAAACGTAATCCCTAAAGCGCTGTTGCCCTCATCCCATTTCCAAGTGCTAGTTGGCTTGGTTGGGTGGGTTGGTAAAGCGGTAGTCAGACAAGAAGGGTAAAAGCAAAAACAAGAATCATGCCAAAAACGGAAGAAAAAAAACATGGCCAATGTGAGTGAGTAATGATGCCGCCAACGCCATTATGTCTTCTTTTTCTGCCCTGCAAGCAAACAAGCAACCCCTATGTTCCACTAAACTAGGCAGTAACTCTGCCAACGTTTTTCCTTTTCTCCCCTCTGACTTCTCTGTGCGCGCCTCCCCCTGGCATGCAATGCCAGAACGGCGCTGCATCTCTCGTCTCGTGTGATTTGTACAGTATAGTATACATCATGGACAGTGCGTGAGTCGGTTGGCTCGAGGCGGACGTAAATTGCCCTGAGGCAACCGATGGGGTATGGTGTGTGTCAGGCGATGAGTGTGCCGAACATTTTACTCATCCGATTTGGGAGTGGGGGTCGCGGGTGACCTTGGCTTGGGGACGCTGAGAATGGGTACGTCGCCAGACGGGCTCTGGTTGCCCGACTGCGACTCATCGCCAATTTCTTGCGGCTCGTCGGAGAGGGCTTGCTGCTCCCCGAGAATGGGTTGGTTCCTCGACTCTTGCCCGGTGGGGCTCGGTTGCGGGAACTGGCCGAAATCGGGCTCGCCACGGCGGTCGATGGGCGACCACCCGGCGGCGATACTGCCAGCAACAATACCCGTCATGACCGTCGCTGCACCTAGAGCGCTGTTGGACCGCGAGCGCATGCTCCTGCTGCGCCGGCGGGAATCAGGAGTGGGGGCCACAACCGAGCCGAAACTATCCTCCCTAGTTGGTGTTTGCGGTAGGCGGTGGGTCGAGTTGGACCGCGAGTGATCGCGGCTCTGGGCGGGGCTCCGGCGAGGTAGGAAGGTCTCGCGGGGGTGTTGCATGGCGAACTTGAGGTTGTTTAGGCGGCCGCCCTTGATGCGCTTGAGCCAGGCCAGCTCCTCGTGGACGTCGGCGAGGGGCTCCGGGTAGGCCGTGAAGCGCTCATCGTCGTCGGACACGGTGACACCGGGGATCTTGGAATCGCTCTTGCGCTTCCACGACGACGGGACTAGGCTCTCGACGAGCTCGTCGGGGATGAGGCGGATGATGACGCCGACCGGGATAGAGAGAACACCAAGAACAATCGCAATGCCCCACATGACGGGGGTCTGGCCATCGGGAGAGATGCGGAAGGCTTGGCCGCCGACCATAACAATCAAAACCTGACCGCCGCACATGATGGCGCTGATCGCGATGAAGTAGGGGTTCTTGAACATGCCCTCGAAGATGTTGAACTCGTTGTCCAAGCGGCGGTTGCTGCGAATACCGTTAGCAAAACGTGTCATAGAGACAAAGCAAAGCAAATAATGAGTTCGGGGTGTTTGACTTACTTCCACTGATTGAAGATTTGCATCCACACAAAGGTGTTGAAAACCAAGGTGTGAATCTGCGAATCGGTCATGTCATCGGGACCGGGAAGAACGCTGACACCGCCAAAGTAGACGAGGAAGGTAATGAGCAGCTGCCAGATGGCCTGGCCAATAATCATCTTCCACATGGTCGTCGAGATAATCGATGTACCCTTGCGCTCGGGCTTGCGGTTCAGGACGTTCTCTTGAGGAGGATCGGTGGCGAGAGCGAGCGCAGCCAGAGTGTCCATGATCAGGTTCACCCAGAGAAGCTGAACAGCCGTCAAGACGGATTCTTGGTCGGTGCTCTGGGCGGCAGAGACGAAGGTCAGGACCACGGCGGTGATGTTGACGGTAAGCTGGAACTGGAGGAAGCGCTTGACCGCGTCGTTTACGGCGCGGCCCCACTTGAGAGCCTTGACGATCGAGTTGAAGTTGTCGTCCATGAGAATAATGGCAGACGCCTCCTTCGCCACTTCGGTACCGGCGATGCCCATCGAGAAACCAATATCAGCCATCTTCAGCGCGGGCGCATCGTTGGTACCATCACCGGTAACGGCAACGGTCTCGCCCTTGTCCTTCAACCGCTTGACCAGAATACGCTTGTCCTCGGGACTAGAGCGGGCCAGAACGTGCAGGCGAGGGATAATTTCGTCTTGCTGAGCCTTGGTCATGTTGCGGAACTCGGGTCCCTCGAGAACGATGCTGTTCTGCTGCAGGATGCCACAATCTTCGGCAATGGCTTCGGCCGTGATCCTGTTGTCGCCAGTAACCATGCGCACCACAACGCCCGCCCTTTGGCAGTCCCGGACGGCCTCGCGGACGCCGGGGCGCAGGGGGTCCTTGATACCAACCACGCCGACAAACGTCATGTTCCTGCAGATATCCTCAAAGACGATCTCATCCTTCTCGGCACCCAGGCGGCGAGTGGGCTTGGGCGGCCACCGGTCGAAATCCCGGTAGATGAGACCAATGGTCCGGAGCGAGTTCCGGGCGTACGTCTCGATCAGCTGCTTGATAGTCGTGCGGTTATCTTCGGTCAGTGTGGCAGAGGCCAGCCCGCTTGAAGGGTCGCGAAGAACTTGGGTGCACTTTTCCAGCATGATTTCTGACGCTCCCTTAACGTAAAGACGCGCCTTGCCGTTATCCAACTGAACAACCACACCCATGCATTTGCGGCCAGAGTCGAAGGGGATCAAGTGCAGAACCTTGGAATTGGCGCGCTCCTCGCTGACGGGGCCCATGGCCAGGTGCTCGCGGGCGAGGATCAGGAGCGCCGTCTCCGTCTTGGAGCCGATAAAGGTCTTCTCTCCGTCCGCCTCGCCCTCGAAAGCCGTCGAGTTGAGCGCAATCGATTTACGTACAAGGTCCTTCACATCGGGGTTAAGCGTCGAGACGAGTTCCTGGACGCCAACGTCTCTCTCCATAGAATCCCGCTGATCCGGTCGAGTCGTGATACCAAACCGATGGGTGGTGCCGACCGTACCGGCAACAACCTGCATCTTGTTCTGGGTAAGCGTGCCGGTTTTGTCGGAGCAAATGGTCGTCGCGTTGCCCATCACCTCGCAGGCCTTGAGGTGGCGGACGAGGTTGTTGTCCTTGAGCATACGGGTGGTAGCGAAAGCGAGGGCGAGCGTGACGGCGAGCGGGAGACCTTCCGGAATGGCGACTACCACGATGGTCACGACGACGATGAAGATCTCGATGAAGCGCTGTCCCTTCTGGGCCGGAGTGTAGTCTGCGTATTTCCTCGGCAGCTGGACCAGGAATATGATGAAGAGAACCAGGAAGAGGAGGAGAGCGACGGCACCGCCAAGCTTAGCAATGTACTCGGCGATAACGTTGAGCTTTGACTGCAAGGGCGTGACTTCGGGGTCCTCGTTCAGCGACATCATCGTCTTGCCGTAGCTGGAGTGGATTCCGGTAGAGGTGACCATAAAAGTACCAGCGCCCTCCATGACGCGGGCGCCAGACTGGATAAAGGGGTCCATCTTCTTGAGACTCTCGCCGTTTTCGATGGCCGCAAATACTTCGTCGGCCGGTCTCTTGCGGATGATGTCGGATTCGCCGGTGGCCTGCGACTCGTCGCATTTGACGCTGAAGCCCTCAATAAGAATGCCATCGACAGGTACCATATCGCCGGGTTCGAGAAGGAGGACATCGCCAGCCAGAATATCAAAAATCGAGAGTTCTACCGTTTTTCCAGACCGAATTGCCTTAACCAAGCGATCTTGCTTTTTCTTGTTCAACTTCGCGAACTGCCGTTCCTTTTGATAGTCGTTCAGGGACCCAACCAACACCACGATGGCGATAGCGACAACGATGGCGACACCCTCGACCCATTCAACGCTCGGGTCGTCGGGGTCGTGTGCTTGGCCAAACGTCTGGTAGAGACCAACAGCGAGAGAAACAACAGCGGCGGCAGAAAGCAGGATCAGGACCTTGTCGTTGTAGGTGATCCACATCAACTGCAAGAGACTCTTGCCCTTCTTTTCCGGGAGCCTGTTGTCCTGGAAAACCCGTCTCCTGGACGCAAACGACTCGTTCGCTGATTCATGTTTCGTCGAGGACGGAGAGACGCCCGGATGATCCGGCGAGGTTTCGACACCTTCAGTCAACGCCTTCTTCGAAGAAGAACCACGTGCAGTGACATCTTCAAAGGAAACGGTGCCATCCAGAGTCGTCTCGTCCGTGCTCAAGCCAGTAGTCCGGTTACTCCTTAACCCCTTCTCAATTCCCGCGAGACCTCCCAACTTCCAGAAGGCGGACAGGCTCTTTGGGTCAAACATCTTGCCCAGCATGCCGGGGCTGAAGGCGAACGGGTTGTTTTCCACTTTGAAGTCCGCTTCCTTCCCTTGGTCGGGCTTGAGCGCATCCTGATCGTTCATAATCCGGTGGTTCTCGGACCTGCTGCCGAATGGAGGGCTACCCTTCTCGCCGGTCGATGAGCCGCCAATCATGGTTTCCCCTTGCGAGGAGGTTACGGAGCGGGCATCGTCTCCCGAGGTTAATGAATTCTGCCGCGATCGCTGCGTGTTTGGGACGGCCAGAAAGCTTTGGCTCGGGGCAGGCCCGCGGAACGAAAGAGGGTTGATGACATTGTGCGGGCTCGTGGGGCGACTATCCTTCGCGTCGGCGGTCTGAGCGGCCTGCACTTCAGGTCGTTTCTGGGAAAGACTGCGTTTGTCTAAACTTGCCGTCGGGTCCGTCGGGTTTGCGTGCGTCTCGGGAGAAGTAGGTACAGGCTGAGAGCCAGCTTCGGCATCTGGTTCGGCTGTGACACCTGGACTCACGGCCGTGGTATCGATGTTGATGGTCGGTCTATGCGACATTGTTAGGTCCCGGTTGGTGTTTGACAACGGCGGAGAAAGCAGCGGTGAGAAACAGGTCGCGTGGTGTGCACCCGGAATATACTTACGCTCTCGGTCGACGAGAGGGAGCCGACTCGCCCTCGTTGGGCTCTTGGCTTGGCAGCCCTGCCATGGCAGCTGAGAGAGGGCGGGTCGCCGTTCGTCACGAACGCGACTCAGCCTTAGGGGGGCGATGGTGGTGAGCAAGACGCGCTTGCCTCGGTCGTCTCGCAAGTGGCGAGGCTGGCGGTGTCGAGGGGCAATTGATCCCTGTCTTGCTGGGAGATTTTCGTGTTGTCCAGCCACGGTGAGAATCACGAGCCTGTTCGGTAGTTGGGTCGCGGTGTATGTGACCCGGAGATGGTGAGTTGTGGCTTAGTCAAAACGCTCAACGAAATCGAAGGCGGCCTCCCAATTCGAGTGTTGAGGGTGGCTTTGAAAGAAGAGAAGAGATGAAACCCGAGAATCGAGGTTTGATCGGGCGAACGCGAGAAAAAGAAAGGTCGGCGAATGATCGAAAAGGAGATTACAAGGGAGTTAAGTGCGGTTTTGGGCGACTAACGAAGAAGAGACGGTAATACTCCTGAAGTAGGCGGTGCAATCGGCTGTCGACGGTGTTGATATTTTGCCAATGCCCCCGTCTCAGCGTCTCTGTAACATCTCGAATCGCAAGCCCAAACTACTCGAAGAGGACTGCTTGAGAGCGACGAAGAAGTTTGGAAGGAGGCAACCTTGCATCCTGGGGAGCTGCTTGAAGTTCGGCTTTCCTCAAGGCGCCAAGCCCGCACCCTGTTGGGGCTGTGCACCTGCCGCCAAGCGCCAAGAATTGCACAACATGAACCTTCCATCTCTGCAAAGCTCGGCGGTACGTACCAAGCACTTGGCACCAAACAGCAACACCAAAGAGGTTGTTCAGACCGACAACAAACCTGATGCGAAGCCGAGTTGTCTGTCGATATTTTTACAAGGGTTCCAGGTTACTTGATATTATTACCAGAGAGCAAGATACCGCTGCCAAACAATCCCAAAGCCTAATTGATGATAAGAGAGAGATGGCGACCGATGGGCTTCTATCATGAATAACGGTGTACAACCCGGTACTGTACCAGCCAACCATGGAATACCATGTAATACGCCAACCGGGTAATCGAAGACAAAAATTTCAAACCGGCGGTAAGCATGTCCAGGCAGGGCAGACGGAAAGTTTGTTTCCTTCCTGGACGTTGCGAGTGCCTCTGATTCCCTGTCAGGGGACCGACAATCAGAAGAGCTTGCCGTGCCGCTTCCTTGCAGCCGCCGCAAGAGATCTGTTTGAGCAATCCTCAAGCACAGTGTCCGGAAGTTGACGGAGATCAAATTCAAACGGTCGGGTTTCGTGCCGATTGACATGAGTTTCTAACCAACCATGACAACCCTCATTAGACTGAACAATCGCCCATCGGGGATTGATATCGCCTTCTTTTCCAAGTCTTTCATTTGCACCGGCCGCATTGAATAGTGACGTTGCGGCTATACGTTGACGCAAGAGAAGGCGAAATTACCAAGTGGGCCGTGTTCGTCACTCAAGTCGCTTTCGCGTCTCCAGGTCGAAAGGGGGAAAACAGATTTGCATTTCGAGATGCTGGGCTTTTCTGGGATGGCACGGCCAAATGTCAACCTTGGAAAGCCATCCATCGGGGTCTGCCGTCTGTCATCACCGAGCAATACATCGGTAATGTACGAATATCCTCATTGCATTGGCGGTCGGGAATCGCTCTCACACCTGAGGAAGGTGCGAATCCCCAAAACTGCCCACTGGGTCCGGGCTCCATTCCATTTCTTGACGGCAATTGGATTCCAGTTCACCCCACCCCGCAAATATGGGGCCAGTCGCGACGATCGCAGGGGTAACTCGATCTCTGCAGCACGGACCTCTGTACCGAGCTCCAGCAGCAAACAAGCCGGATCCCAGAATGCCGCCAGGTGTCAAGTCTCATCTGTGACGAGACAAGAGGGCGGTGCCCCGTGCTAGTATTCTTTTATGTTTGGTACGTGGATATCTCATGGACAACCCAAGCTGCCGGGGCGTACATCACACTGTCGTACAATACAGCCGGTTATCAGTCAAGAATGACTGAAAATCTCCCGAAACTGAGCGCGTAATAATCGGGGCGCAGCATCCTCCACCGCCCCTTTTTGTTGGTTCGCCGCCAACTCGCTTGGCCTCGAGAGGCGACTTCGATACCGCGCGCGAATATCCTGTTTGCGATCGCTCCCAAGAATGTCAAGTGGTGGAGGACGTGCGATGAAGCTCGATGGGGGTGGCTGCGCTGGCAAACTGGCTCGGTTGTTACCGCCAATACGTGTTTCATGCAACATGGCCCAATATCTGGCTGGGCAGCCTCGACGGAATGCCATCGGATGATTGGCCAGGAGACAAGCTCTCGGGCCCGCGCGCGTGGGAAAGAATTGAACAGCGCGAGCGGGAACATCGGGAGTCGAGACTTACCTCGTGGTAGTATCCAGTGATCACACTGCCCCCCGTTTGTCTGTGTTACCACGCGCGGACGACTTGGGCGGATAACAGAGCGCACAGATGCACCCCTAGGTGTGTCAGTGTCGTACAGCTGCAATCACCAAGATGGGATGAACTCCCTTCCACCAGTCCCAATACATTCTAGAGCATTGGGGCGCACCTGCACAATGATGCAGTGGCCGTGACTGTTGTCTATTAACTTGCGGCGATACCATATCCGAACGTCCACCACCTATTCCAGCCAATACCCCGCCAGCTCCTACATAGTACCATGCACAATAAACCCGATCCAAATCTCTAGTCTATACACACTGCTATCTTCGCAGCCACCCCCATATGACGTCGATCCCACACCCACGAGCGCACGACCAAACAAATGCACAAGCACACACACAGATGTAACAGGCCCAGCCCCATCCAACAACCAACCACATCAACACCTCGATAACACCTAACTGCGGCAAACCAACGTCGCATCCAAAAAACCGTTGAGGAGCCGCCAACTACAACGTATGGATGTACTGTACATATGTCCCTAACAAAAACGCAGTAGCACCCAACACCGGCCCGTGGCCCATCCGGGCAAGTCGAAACGGCGGTGCCAAGGCATTCCGGGTGGCTGAGCGACTCGGCACGGCTTGCCTTCGAGGTGTTTTCTTTTTCTTTCAATCACCAACAAGGAAAGAAAATTTTCTTTTCAGTCATTTGGGAAGCTACTCGCCACTAGCCTAGGAATTAGTAGCTCGGTAACTAGCGCAAACAGGCCCCTGTAGTAGCCCGCGGCATGAGAAATCATGAGTTGGGGGGAAACGAGGGAGGGGCTGGGCAGCAAACAGCAGAAGGAGAAATCTCATTAGCCAGGAGAGAAAATCTTTACCGGCCAGGTATCACCCGGAAGAGAAGGTAAAGGGCGTAGTGTCTCACCGGGCTGTACATCTATTGGCGAAAACACCTGTCTATGGATGCCCCGGGCACGGCCCCCAATACGTAGCCTGTGGCAGTGTAGATACCTACCCAAGAACTTACCCAGCGGATTGGCGCCCGTTTGGCAAACGCCGCGTGTCTCTTCAACGATGGGTTTGGCTGGCTCCCTAGGACGGGATTGCCCTGTGCGGGTAGCAAAGTTTGGGCGTTGTTGTTGTGTACACGGTACGGATTGCGAGAAATCCGAAAATCCGATGGGATGGTCGACGAGGCAGGTAGCGAGGCGCATTCGATGAGTTGGGTTCTCACATATTCATTGCGGGTGCGACGAACGCCTAATGGCCACTTGATTGGGTTCGGAAGCTACGGGCCACGATATGCAAGAGAAATCAAAAGAGGAATATGCGGCTTGATCACTGGATTCAAAGTTTGTGTGGAGGGATGAGACACCTGCTCTCGGATCTACGACAGAGACACGTCTAATGGGGCTGTGATATCATCCGGACTAGTATTCCTTAACTCCGGTGAGATTTAATGTCACGAGAGGATCAGATAACCTATAGATGGTGTCGTTGTGATACCACCGATTCAAGACTTCAACTAGGGAGAAAACGCCTCGGGATATGCCTAGGCGGGGATATCAAAGCACGACAACGTCAAACGCGACACAAAGCCCATACAGCCCGCTTCAGCATAGCTACCACTCCCCAGGTCCCCCTTACACCCGGGACATACTAGCAAATCAAAGTGCTCCCATCTCGGAAGGACCTCCTTGCATCGTCGCCCGATATGTACGTGCCAGGGCTCCCGGTGCCCGACCACAAGTGCCATTATGGACAGCAAATAACCTAGACACGTGCTAGAACACAACCTCGTCCTTTGAGCAAAACGATGCCGTGGCCCAAGATTGAGCCCAGATATACAGCCACCGAATCGTTACCGGATCGAGCCTTTGACCGACGGATCAGTGCGGTGGCCGTTTGAGTGGAAAATAACTCAAGGCATAGTCTTGTGCTGCTAGGCCGAGACAGATGCTGCGCCTAGAGAAGGACCCAACTCCACACCGGTAGCTCAAGCTATCCCAATAGGGTCAGTAAACAACTTATCACAGGGAAAAACGTCTCATCGTGGTTGAGACCCCACGGCCGGGATAGTCCACCAAGAAAGCTACTAAATCGCGACCCAAGATAAACAAACCACTTGCCACAGCAGCAAAGAGTCAAAAACCCCTCATCGCATGCACACCACATCAAAAAGAGAATCGCAATTTAAACCCCGACCAAAAGCTTCCAGTTCGGTTTCCCCAACTTCTGTTCTGGGCCGTAGCATCCCGCTTTTCCACCCCGCCCAAACGAGGCAGTGCAAAAAATTTCAAGTTCAACAGCCGTTTCCGGAACTCCGGCCGGGGACGGGTTCCCACGTTTTTTTTTTAGTTCGGGTTCCCGGCGCGCCAGACATTCCACGTTCGTTTTGATGCTGTGTAATGGATGTGTGATGCTTTGTGATTCTGGGCAAAGTGGGTTGGGATATCTCGGCTGGTTGGGAGGTCGGTGATGATGATGCTATGATGTTGTTGATATGTGTTATTGGGGGGTGTTTTAAGAACACCCCTGTCGGGGGCGTGTTGTTAGATGGATGTCAGCGGATCAGATAACTGTGAGATCTAAGCCTCGCTCATTTATGTACGTGGACACGATGTGCCGCGTGCAGGTTGGGGTCTGAGACGAGCGAGTTTCTGAATCTAGACTCTTGGCCATATAATCAACCCAAACTAGTTCGTACCCAGGTAGGTAGCCTGTAGGTAACAGCCGGAGTTTATATCACCGTAAGTGTGTCAACTCGCCCGTACATTACAATACACACTCATACAACCCGCAGAGCTTACTGTATACATGGTACTCCCAGCCAGCCCTCGGAGTAAACAACACAGGAATTTCCCAATCCGGAAATTTCGATTCCCATCATCCCGTCTAAGCCCCCACGCGCTGACGAAGGCAGTCTGGTATCGGTCTCTCGGATCGCGCGGGAGAGTCGGGCTGTTTTGTTTACAGCCTCTCCTTACTTACACACCTTTTTTATGTCTCGATAATCAATACACCAACCCGGGCTAGATACACTTGTACCTACCTACCACCTCCTCCCCAAATCCACCCTCCTCACCAGCTGCATCCCATCATCCCCCTCAGCCCCCTTCCCCCCATCATCCCCATCCCCCAAAACAAACCCCCTAACCCCCCTTCTCACCACCCCCTCCCAAAACCCCCTCACAACCCTCCCCGCCACGCCCTCCCCCGTCTGCTTAAAATCCGGGAAAGCATTCACCTCCAACAACCAGGCCGTCAAATCCGCATCCACCAAAAAGTCCAGTCCATACACTTCAAATGCTTGCGGTAACGGCTGGAAATGGATCGGCATGCCGCGCGCTGCGGCTTCGAAGAGGTCCCCGGTGACGGTGTAGATTTGGGATTGGATGGTGTGTAGTTGGGAAGGGGTGAGAGGGAGGGTTGTGAGGGGGTAGACGAGGTTACTCTCTGAAGTGTCTGGGGAAGCAGGAGGGGCGGAGGAGGTTTGGAGGCAGGTGTTTGTTAGGTGGGCATCTAAATCGAGGGTTGTTGAGCTAGGGGGCTGGTAGGGTTTGGCGGCGAAGAGGGCGAGCATGTCGTTGTAGACGTATACCGAGAGGCTGCCGACGCAGAGGACGTAGACGCGGATGTGGAACTTGCGGTTGTGGAGGCCGGGGAGGAGGAGGGGGGGGTGGATGTAGGGCTGGGCGATGAAGTGGCGGAGGTGGGAGGTCATGATGTTGTTGTCGTCGTTGTCTTTGTCTGACTCGTTGTCTTTGCCTGGCTTGGAGTTGTTGTTGTCATCGTTGTCCGCTCCGCCCTCCTGTGTCTCGTCATTTTCCCCATCATCGTTATCATCATCATCATCCTCATCCTCACTTTCCTCCGGCTCCCACTCATCAAAAATCCCCTGCAACTGCTCCATCGTCCTAAACAGCCTAATCCCCTGACCACGATCACTCATACTCGGCTTCAGAATCCACCACTCCTGCTCCTGCTCCGCCCCCTCAACACCAACAACCCCCTCATTCCTCTCCAAACTCTCCCTCAAATCAAAAGCCTCCACCAACGCCTCATCCAGAAACTCGGCAAAATCCACCTCAAACGCCTCACTCCGCTTGACATGCGTAGCCAGGGCTGACTGCGGGTGCTTCGCCACCCAGTTGTCTACCGTAGCCGACAGGAAGTGTTTGCGGATGAGGGCCTTGCGGATGACATAGCTGTTGATGAGGGTGGAGTGCGGGTGGGTGGAGGCGTGGTGGAAGTCGATGCTTTCGTAGGGTGTGATTTGGAGGATTTTGGTGTCTTTGTCTTGGTTGGGGATGAGGGTGGAGAGGTTGATGTCGGGGGAGGTTTTAGAGTTCCAGGTGGATGGGGGGTGGATGAGGGTGTAGCTGTCGGGGGGGAGTTGGGATTGGAGGGCGGCTAGGATCAGGGGCTGGACGTAGTCGTCGTCGTAGTTGATTAGAGCGTAGACTTTGGGCTTGCTTTTTTGTTGGTCTTGTTCTTTTTCCCTGAGTGGGAGGTCCTGAGTTGGGGGGACCGGGACAACAGCTTCAGTTGGCTGTGATACTACCCCGAATGTTGAGCTCCTGGAAGCTCCCCTGGAAGAGAGATAGAACGGTAAGACACAGCTTTGACTACGCAATGACACAGTGACACCAGCCTGGGCTCGGGAAGTGCGGACGGAGGGGAAAAGCTTCCGTCTATTTCTAGATCGCCTGCTCTATGCTCTCTCTATCTGGCGATTCGAGTGTTTTGCGTGTATTGCGTATATCAGGCTCAAACCATGCTCCGTCCGTCTGCTTCCCCGAGATTAAAAGATAATACCGTGACTTACAACTGCAGCTCCTTGCCGTGCAACTCCGTGGCCGTCTGGAAGAAATTGGCCTTCAGTGGCGTGATGCTGCCGAGTTGTTAGTCGACCACTAGACAATGATTCGTTCTCAAAACTCAGCAACTCACCTGGTATGCCCCTCCTTAACCGCCCACCCATCATTCCCCGGCGGCGCATCATCCACGCTCTTATACACATCCGCAAACCGCGGTGACCACCTGAAGTGCTTATGCGTATGACACTCCGGTCCCTCTTCGTCACCCGCTTTCCCACTCCCCCCAGCAGCCCCCGCCTCGGCCTCCCTAATCCTCTCCTCCTCCTCCTCCTCCCCATCCACACTCCCATCCACCTCCGTAAAACAACTCCCCTTCCCCCAATAATTCTGCAACATCCCCGTAAACAACACCTTCCCCTCCTCCAACCCCTCCAACAACGGCACATTGACACTATACAAATCCACACTCCCATCTGCCGGCCAATCCCTCACCAGCGCCTCAATCACCCTCACCCCCTGCCGCGTCGCCTTCTCAATAATCCCCGTGTCATGATTCCTGGAGAAAAACGCGTAGCTCAGCGCTATCGCGCGGTGTCGACACACAGCCGCCTCGAGGGCCCCGCCCAGCGTGCCGCTGCTGAGGGCGAATACCGCGGTGGTGTTGCGGCCGTAGTTGGGTCCGCTCACGACCAGGTCGATGGGGCCCCGGTCGCGGAAGAAGTGGTACAGGCCGATTTGCACGCAGGAGGCGGGCGTGCCGTCGACGAGGATCCATTCTTCGGTGCCGCGGTGGGTGCTGGGGCGGGGGTGGGTTGTGCCGTGGCGGGGTTCGAGGGAGGGGGCTTTTGTGTTGTTGTTGTTATTACTATCTTGGTTGGTGTTGGTGTCGTCGTTGTCGTCGTCACTGTGGGTGAGGCCGGCGGCGGGCTCGGAAAGGGGTGGAGGCCGGTAGTAGAGCGGCTTGACGGTCTGGCCGATCATGTGTGCCTTGCCGATCCAGGAGCGCTGGGTGTGTGGCAGGCAGACGGAGACGGTGTGGCCGTGGGCCTGGAGCTCGCGGACGAGGGAGTGGACATAGGGGGACGAGGTGGGCGACGGGGGCCCGTCGTCGTTGACCACGAGGATGTGCATTTTGTTATATCCGTGGTGGTAGTGTGATTGGGTGGGTGGTCAATTAAAAGGGAGAAAGGAGAAAGGAAAAGGGGAGAAATTTAAGGCAAAAGTAAAAAAAACGAAGAGAAAAAAGGGTCAAGATAAATAAACTACGGTTGGGCAGGAAGGAGGGGCGGGCCTGGAACAATCTCAGGCACGGTTATGCGTCTGGGCAATGCAATGCGGATCAAAGTGTGCGGGTGCAGGACGCGTGCGAAGTACCGAGCATGGAGAACGGACAGGCTATCGCACAAACTGCCCCTCTGTTGACGTTTGGTTTTTCCTAGACCGGAGCTTGAGCGGAAACATGTGCGAGGGCGGGGTAGTCGGGCCGGAGTGGGCCCCGGGTACGTACCCAATTTATTGTAAGAGATGGAGCGATGACAACATCGTCCCATAGCGTCGGGGGATTTCAAAGCTTTCCCTAAAGAATTTTGAAACATTATGAATTGAAAATGGCTTCAGTCCAAAATGGTATGATCCAGCGAATATGAATTCAACCCAAAGCTTAAGCTCTAGTAAAAGATCTGTAGTTGTATGAGGAAGGCTGTAAAGTTTACGTAAATGACTAAGTTAGGTAAGTTGACTCAGTTGAGAATGCACCAAGATTTACCTGCCCTTAGACATTGAAGGAATGAAGTCATTCATAGTCTGCTAGATCATGATTGTAACAGAGAAACCTTCAGGTAACTAATGAGATCAACTACCCCGCGGACACATGTATAACTCATGACCCGGCTTAATCGATTACTATAAGTTCACTAAATCTATAGTAATGAGAAAATCATGAATCCCGGGTCATACGAATTTCATCGTTGGCCTACAGCACAGTAAGACGGGGTGTTGGTGACAGGTTGGCACTCTCTTGCCCAATTCTCATATGAAATATGGACATGTTAGAACAGGAGTCCTGTACGGCCTTGTTGGGGTGAAAACTTAAGGGATAAGTGGGCTGGGAGCACTTCAAGATCATGACGCAAGGCATGACGAGCATAATCATTGCCCGTCTACCATCAGACGACTTCCGTCTCTAGGCTCTTGTGTCTTCGTATGGAGGTTAGTATACCAGTCAACATGAACCTCGTTCTGATCATACCAACTTATTCTAACCTGCACAGCTTATTGCTAGTATATCGAATAGTCCAGCATCAAACCCAACATGTCCCCCCCCTTCAACACCCAAGGCGATCACCCAAGCCACCCCAAAAAAACCATGCGCGCCGTAATCTGGTCCGGCCACCCCCACAACATGACCGTCCGCACCGTCCCCCGTCCAACCCTCCGCCACCCGCAAGACGCCATAATCCGCATCTCCACCGCCGCCATCTGCGGCACCGACCTGCACACCTACCACGGCATCTTCGGCAGCACCACCCCGCCCTGGACCATGGGCCACGAAGGCGTGGGCGTCATCGTCGAAACCGGTCCGGGGCTCACCCACTTCCACGTCGGCGACCGCGTGCTGGTCCCCTGCGGCGCGAACTGCGGGTTTTTTTCGGTGGACAAACGGGCTGAGGACTTGGGGCATTTGTATGGGGCTGGGCCGGATTTTGGTTTTGGTTTTGGGAGTGATGGCGGGGCCCAGGCCGAGTATTTACTTGTGCCGTTTGCGGATGACTCGCTTGTTGCTATACCCCCTAGCCGTGACCACCACCACAACAACCACAACAACAACAGCAGCCCCACAGGTGAAGCGGGAGAGGGGCAAGAGGACATCTTCGCGAGCGACCTGGATTACATCTCCCTAACCGATATCTTCCCCACCGCCTGGGCCGGCCTAGACTACTCCCATTTCCACCCGGGCGACACAGTCGCCATCTTCGGTCTCGGCCCCGTCGGTCTGCTATGCGCATACATCGCCCTCCTCCGGGGCGCCTCCCGCGTCTACGGCATCGACCACGTCCCCGCGCGGCTAGCCAAAGCCGCCTCCATCGGGGCGGTACCGATCGACTTTTCGGTAGCGTCAGGCGCGGAGGGCCCAGCGAGTGATCAGATTCTGCGGAGGGAACCTTTGGGGGTGGAGAGGAGTGTGGATTGTATCGGGCAGGAGTGTGTTAATCATGAACTGCGGCCGGAGCAGGATTATGTGCTGCGGGAGGCGGTCAAAGTAACCAAATTCAACGGGGGGATAGGGATACTAGGTGTGTATATTGCGCAGGGGACATCGGAGGGGACGCCGCGGGGTGGGGAGATGAAGGGGGAGTTGAAGGTGGGCGTGCCGGAGATGTTTAGGAAGAATTTGACGGTGGGGATGGGGCCGGTGAATACGTCGTTGTATGAGATTGTGCCGAGGGCGGTGGAGTTGGTGAGGACGGGGAGGGTCAAGTTGGGGTGGATTGTTACGGCGCAGATTGGGATTGAGGAGGCGCCGGAGGCGTATCGGAGGTTTGATCGGAAGGAGGAGATTAAGGTTGTGATTCGGTTTCCGTGGGCCATGGGGAAGCCTTCTTCTTTGGCGGAGACAGCTGAGGCGGGGACTACGAGTGGTGAAGGTGAGAGTAGCAAGGCTGAGAAGACCTCGGGAAAGGCCGTAGAAGAGAGGAGGATCCCAAGAGAGGGATCTCAAGGGGAGGATCTTGCTGACCTTGGGATTTTCCAACACTAACTGTAGTAGCAAGAGACCGAGGAGGTAATGTCCGTCGTAGAAGGTGACGTATGTGATGTAAAAGTTAACTTTTAGTATAGTCATTGGTCTTAAGATCTGGTATTAAGATTACAGTGACCTTTATTCGCGACAATTTAACACCCACTTCAGTAGACAGGCAAAGGTCATTCTGAAATCGAAAAGGTAACGTTAACGACTACTCCAAAACACACTGGGGGACGCCATGGAATTTAACAGTACAGTATTTACAGCACTGTACGCCCCTCAGGCACAACGACTTCCAGTTCCAACACCATAGCACATACACTCAGACAGCCATGTGCAATCTCAATTCCATGTCACTTTAATGCGAAGGCATAAACAGACAGCCATATGTAATCTCAATCATCATATTACCGATGCCACAGCCCCCTACGGCAGCGACATGTGTGTGTGTGTGTGTGTGTCGTCGAAATAAGTACAAATGCTGGGCAAAACCCAAGCCCATTTTGCCCAATTTGCCCATCTAGTGCGCAACCAATCCCTTTCCCTTTCCGATCCTTAGGTACATACCCATTCTCCTAAAGTGCTGAACCAGAACCTGAACCGCCAAGTCATCATCTAACTATCCGGGTGGGGTGTATGGGGGAGATTGTGCCTGTGTCTCTCTCATGTCTCTTGTCTCCAAGCCTGAGCCTGAGCCTGAGCTCTGTAGCCCGCAACCGATGTCTGCAACGAAATGCCGGCTGGTTGTGGGGGTTGTTTGGCCATGAGATGAGCAAGAGCAGGAAATACAAGGCAAAGCGAAATGAGGAAGAAAGCAGAGAATTCAAGGCCGAAAAACAGAAGGGGGGAAGGTGTAGGTAACGCAGCGCAGTCTTCATAATCCGTGTCCGTGTCCCGCCAAACACACCAGCGCCGTAGTAGTTCCCTTCAGGAAATGATGCAAGCCCGAGATTGTGCTGTGCCAAGGCGAAGAAGAAAAACAAAAAGACACGGAGAGAGAGAGAGAGAGAAAACCCAGAGAGAAGAAAACCCAGAGGGAGAAAACACAAAAGCAACCCATAAAATCATTTACCACGCCTGTGGTCAAGACCGACTACCCATGGCTTGCCAGAATGCTATCTTATCCACAACCCGAAAACGGTGTATTTGTACCCGCAAACGGTGCAGATCCAACCCCCCAATACGCGCAACGCAACGCACGCAACGCACGCAAGAAACAGGCCCGGTCGTTGCGCCCGGAATCAAGCACGGGAACGCTTGGGAGCGGCCGCGGGGAGCTCGTCGCCAGAGCGCTTGTGACCGGAGGTAGTCTCGGCGGGGGCCTTAACACGGCGCCAAGCGTCAAACGGGCTGCGCTTAGCAGCGGACTGTTTTCCCTTGGACACCGGCTCGGCGGCCTTCTTGCTGGTGAACCGAGTCGTGCGGGTCGTGGTCGGCGGTGAGGCCGGGGCGAATCGCGGGGCGTTGGGCGTGCCAGGCTCGTCGAAGATCAGCTCGGTGGGGGTTCGGACCTCATCCTTGCCCGCTTCGAGACCGGCGAGCACGTGGTCCTCGATGTCGGTCACCGCCTCCTCCTCGTCGAGATCCTGGGACTCGTCGGAGTGGGCAGTAGGGAACAAAAGGCGGGGTTTGATGGAGGAGCGAGTAAAGTGGCGCTTGGTCGGAGACTCGACAGCGCTCTCCAGGCCACCCTCGCCCTCGTCCATGCCGTTGTGGGCTGGACCCTCCTCCATGTCGGAAAACTTGCGGAACTGTTTCTTGCCACGGCTGCAAAGAGGCGTTAGTGAAATGAAGTAATTACGGTGAAATGAATGCAGATCAAATCTTGTTTTCTGAAATTTGCAAGAAAATAAAAACTCACAAGACAATCAACATGCCGTCATCGCGACGAACGGCCTCCTCGATCGAGACCTTACCCTCGCCGGGGATAGATACCATGGCACGCTTGCTGCGGCGCTTGGGGGCCTCGGGGGCGACGTGGTCCTCTCCGACGTAGAACGGGTTGTTGGCGCTGCGGTCGACCTCGGGGATGCGCTCGTGGGAATCGGTGAAAATTTGGAACGAGGTCTCGGCGGCAGCGCCGCTGTAGAAGCTGCCGGGGCCTTCGGTGGCATCGGCGCGCGTCTTCGTCTTGCTGGGACCGGCTGCGGCGTCCTCCTCGTCGCTGTGGAACAGATTTCTGGCCACCGACTTCACCTTGGCCTTGACATTCGCATTCGCGGGGCGCTTCGGGGTTTTGGCCGGGGTAATTAGCATGCCGGCGCCCGAGGTAGTGCTCGCGCGATCAGTAGAATGCGCCTCGGAAGCGGTCGCAGGCGACAGACCGAGGGCGACGGCCGCGTGGGCGGTAGCTTCGGCAGTGAGGGTGCCCGAAGCCTTGCGCGATCCGTCGACGGGCGGCATGCGCCTCTTCTGAGGCGAAATCGCCGGAGTCGCCATGGAAGAAATGAAGCGCTTCTTGGTCGACTTGGGCGATGTGGTCGAATTGTCGTGGTGTTGCGATGAAGAAGAAGAGTGGCGATGACGAGTCGCCGGTGGTGATGGGGTGCGGTTCGTGGACCGCTGTGCGATGCGGGAAGATTTTCGTGGGGAATAGGGCTCGTAGGAATCTGAGTAGCCGTGTTGGGGTGCCGGGGGTGTTCGAATTCTTGACGAGGTCCGGCCCGGAGAGGGTGTCGACGGGGCGATGGGCTCCGCTGTGTCGGCCATTGTGACTGACCGCTTGAGGGTTTCGTGAATCCCCGTTTGTTGCTGAATGCCAGCGCCGAGGGGAGACAGGCTCGGCGGGGACAAAGTGTCAACTAAGCGGCGTGTCGGAAACGGGCGGGGGGTATCGCGAGGGTGAAGTCGAGGGTATGTCTGTGCAGGTGAGGCGAATGAGATCCGGATGTTACTCTTTCAAGGTGGGAGCACAGCCGAAGCAAGAACAACAATGAATAACAACCGTCGTAACAATGGCAACAAATAGCGCACCAAACTATGCAGCGCAATGCATACCAAGCACAACCATAAAATATGCCGTGATCCTGGATGGCACGGAGAAAAAAAAAATAGGTCGATGGTGGTTTGGAGGGTTGTAAGATGCGAAAATGGAAATTGTGCCCAGATTCGCGATTGGGGTGGTGGAGGAGGAAATGGAAGCGAGGAAGGGGCTGGGAGCGGTCTCTGGTTCCTTGCCAGGCCCTGCCCAGCCTCCCATTGGGCTCCAGCCCCCCTTGTCGTTGGTTTAAGTGGCCCGACGCGAAGAACGCGAAACCCCACAGTTTTCTCTTCACGACGCGTCGCTAGCGTGCTTTCACCCGGCAGTACCCCTGTCGACCCCTCCCCCTCCAATCCGAGCACAACAACGCACCTCCGCAAGGGCTCAAAAGTCAACAAAGCAACGTCATTTCATCCACAGCAAGGGAGGAACCCAAGCTGTGCGACCATTCCTAGCCTCAAATTTTATGTTAAACGTGGCAGCCAAGCGAGGCTAGCCAGGGACAGCAAAGCTCTGGTCAAATCAACTTCACACCCAACCCTAATTCGCCAATTCCAATCCTGCATCTCGACGCCCACCATGGCCGACGACTTCAACACTTCAGACCACGAAGACGACTCCTTCGCCTCGCCGCCGGAACCCACACCGGCCGGCCGGTCCAAGACGCCGACCCGCCAAGGCGGCTCGCGGTTCGACACCGATGAGTCCCGCGAAGCAGCCCTGCGCAAGGAACTAGAAGGTGTCCGAAAAGTCAACGAGGTGATTGAGGGTGTCATTGGGACCCTGGAGCGGGCGAGGGGAAACATGGGGGTACGTATGGACGTTGATGTTGATGTTGATATAATCTTGTAGACGGGTATAAACCCGCAGACGGATCTACCCGCCTACCGAGCGTACATAAGGGTTTTCCCCTCTTGCGTCATACACTAACAAGAACAACTTACAGACCGTCTCCCAAACCGTCACAAGCGCCTCGACCCTCCTCAACACCTGGACGCGCATCCTCTCCCAAACCGAACACAACCAACGCCTGCTCCTCAACCGCGAGTGGAAGGGGTCGACGCAAGACGTGGCCGATATGGAGAATGAAGCGCTGCAGAAACAACAGGAAGCTGAGCGGCATGCGGCCGAGGCCGAGAGGCGGCGGGAGGAAGCGCGCCGGAGGGCGGAGGAGGATGAGAGGAAACGGAGTGCGGGTACGGCGTCTTCGTCGAGGACTGCTGCTGGGAGGGGGAGTGGGATTATGAGGGGACGGACGACGACGAGGGGAGTGGGGGGTTCAAGGGGGGCTGCGAGAGGGGGTGCTTCGTCTGCGGCGGATACGACATCGAGTACTGGCGGTTCGAGGAATACGTCGGGAATTGGGAGGGGAGGGTTTGGATATACCCGAGGCGCGCGATCAAGAGGGGTGAGATGAACTTGTCCGTGTGTTGTTGCCTTATTTTGATGATTTATGTGTCCATGCCGTGATAGTGGTCCGAGACGCCTGCCCACCTATCCGCCCTGAAAACTGAAAGAAAGAAAGGGAAAAATATACAAGCGGGTTGCTGGACTAGATCCACACCCGCGAACCAAATAAACCCGATACCCAACACTGCTCCTCAAAAGACGTTACTTCTTCTTGAAAAAGTCACTCATCTTCTTCATCCCATTGGTATTCACCTTCATCAAATTCTTCACCCCCCTGCTCATACTCGCCTTCTTCGCCTTCTCCTCCGCCTCCTGCTTCCTCCTCTTCTCCGCACGTTCGTCCTGTTCCTCATCACCCCCCCTCTTCCGCGAAAAATCCCCCGACCGCTCGGCCGCCGCCTCCTGTCGCACCTTGGCCAGCTGCGCCAGGTATTGGTCTAGCGGTCCAAAATCTACTCCTAGACCCGTTGTCGTCGACTCCTTGGCCAGGTGTGTTTTTAGGGTGGCTGTGATGGACGGATCGATGTACCGCGCACAGATGTAATCGAATGCGACTCTCAGCCGTTGAAGGTGAACCACCTCTTCTGAGGCTGTCATCGCGCTGGCTACGCCGTTATCCCCTTCACCGTCCGCAGCGACGGAGGTAGACGTAGCCGCAGTACTTGCCGCCGACACCTCAGTCGCCGAACTCCCCACCGTCTCCGTCGACGCCACACTCTCCTGCGACTCCCCCGTCGTAGTCGGTGTCGCCGTACCACTCCCACTCCCATTTCCCCCGGCACCCGCACCCTTCCAATCAACCCTCACCCCCAAAACCGGCGCCTCCAAAGCCCGCCTCACAAACCTTTCCTCCATACTCCCCGGCAACTTCCCCTTCTCATCCCCCTTCCCCCCCTCGAGCGTCGTCCCCGGGCCGCCCAAAACAGCCCTCGCCTTCCCCAGCACCTCCCGCACAACCTTCCCCTCACTAACCCGATACATAATCTCCCCCCCTGCCTCGACCGTATCACACACCGCAGCCATGCGTGCTTCAACCAGCTGGCGCGTGGCGGTGGATGAGGGGTTGGTGGTGGATAGTAAGGAGGCGAGGTGACGGGAGGGGTCGGGCAGGGTGTCGAGGTGGTCGTCTAGGGAGAGGAACATGCGTTTTGAGTCATTGGACGACGACGAGGATGGGTTGGCGAAGAGGGCGGGGAGGAGGAGGAAGAGCGGGTCGTAGGGGGTTGTGAGGTGGAGGGTGGGGGATTGGATGATTTCTGTTTTTGGTGTTGTTGTTTGGGGGTTTGTTGGGTCTGTTGCTGCTGGTGTCTCGGGTTGTTGGGATACTGAGACTGAGGAGGAGGAGGAGGAGGAGGAGGAGGAAGACTGGACGAGCCAACTGCGCGGGGCGGATCGTAGAGGCGAGGCGACGGTGGTGAACTCGAAGAAGCCGGATTCGGGGCAGACGAGGAAGCGGGAGGGTTTGTTGTTGCGCGGGTGGTGGAGGGTGATGACGCGGGCGGTGGTGGGGGAGACGGATTTGGGGAGGATGAAGAGTTTGGACGGGTTGTCGGAGGTCGGTGGGAGGGTGTAGACGGAGGAGGTAGAGGACGCTGGTGGCTTTTTGGTGTCGTCGGCTTTGGAGGTTGAGGCTGCGGGGCCTTTGGCGCGTGTTCTCGCCATTTTGATGATCGTGTTGAGTGCAATGGTCCGTCAATTATTACAGGTGTTTCTCCCCAGAGTCAATTGTTCCTTGGAATGCTCTGAAGCCGTGTTTTTGGTGTTTAATTCAGGAACTCCTGTTTTTGGTGGTCAATGCTGGAAATCCAAATCCAAAGGACGAGGTTGACAAGGGTGCAACAATACCCCTGTAGGTGGGACGCGACTTGGACGCGTCGAGACGCGCTTCCGGCCCCTCGCGGTGGATCCTGCGACCCGCCTTCTGGAACGTCTTCCGTTGCGCTGCGCTGGCTTGCCGTTCTTGCCCAAACGCTCTAGGCTACGATCTCTCACACACTGAGTTGCCCGCCCGATTACCTTATCGAGAACCACAGGGCTTATCGATCGTAGCCGCAAGATCGCCAACAACAGACTAGCAGGTCCAGGCAAAACACCACTGTTCATCCCATTCCGTCGCTCTTTACGAATACCTCTTTCCCTATTGTCCGTTTCGACGCGACAAACCCACATGCTCCCTGCAGCCGCCCGATCATGGTCTTTTCGTCGCACATTAATTGGCTGACACTACGACGTCGCGGCGCTTCGACGCTCGGTTCCCCGTTCCGCTCTCCGCCGTCGCGCTAAACAACAGCCAGCAGCAAACGCCGATTTCCGTTTGCACATTATTCAATATTTCTCTTCACCATAAATCCACAAATCTCACCCCCACGCTCTACCAAGAGCTGTTTGACCCGCCATGGCCGCCCAATGGCCACCCCGATCACCACACGACGTCCTCATGAGCACCCCAGGCGGGCGGGAAAAGCTCCGACGCATCGCAGAGCGCACCTCACCCTCACCATCCCCATCGCGACTCAGGACGTCGCGCTCCATGGCTGCCCTGCCCCCCAAACCAGCAGCCGACGACGACGACGACGAGATGTTTGAAGGCGGGGAACTAGACGACGAGGAGGACGACGAAGAGACGCTACAGCTCAAACTGCAGGCGATCCAGGCGCGGTTAAAACTGAAGAAACTCAAGGCAGCCAAGGCGCTGAAGCGGAACAGCGGGACGCAAGAACCGAGTTCCGGGTCGGGAGATGGAGGCGGCGGGATCCCATTACAGTCGAAGCTGGCAGTGGTGCGGGATAGACTGGACAAACAACAACAACAACAGTCGCGCAACTCGATCGAGGTGCCGGCCTCGCCCACCCGGCGACCGCAGTCGATGACAGATCTGCAGACGTCGCCTAGGAGGGTGCTGCTTGGGATTGACAAAGGGCTGAGGGGCGCGGACGTGTCGTTGAAGAGGGCGCCGATACAGCGATCGGGGACGGAGTCACGGTTAGGTCAGCAGCAGGGGGGTGTCTTGCAGCGCGCGAAATCGCCGCTGGATGCGCCGCAACGGGAGACAAAGAGGCCGCTGAGTTTTAACGAGCGACTTGCGTCGGCACGGACAGAGGAGATTGCCAGGAAGGAGAAGAGGGAAAGGGCACAGAATGCGAGGACGACGGCGTTTAGTGTGGGGAAACAGGAGATGGAGGAGTACAAGACAAAGGCCCAGGACCTCCCGGAGCTTCCGTCGAAACCGCAAGAGTTCTCGAGAGACCAGATTCTTTCGTCCATGGGGAAACCACCAGTGCCGCAATTGCAGCGCAGCAGGACGCTTTCCGACCTCCGATCAGGGACTACTGCTGCCCCCACCACCAACATCACCAACACATCGAGCTCGTTCTCAGCGGCTACGAACGGCGATTCAGGTGCCGCCTTTGAGCCATACTCGGGGCTTCATTTGTCGAAGCGCATCCTGCCGCATAATGTGCTGGCCCGCGCGGTCTCGGGAAAGAAGTCGTACCTGTTGAAAGACCTGCTCCGCCAGGTGAAAGCGCCCGACTGGTCTCTCCCCGACGACGAGACGGACATTGTGGTGTTCGCCATCGTCGCCAGCAAATCCGACCCGCGGGACCACCGTCCGGGGCCAGGCGGAAACGGGAAAGCACAGCAGGACCGCGGCAAATACATGGTGATCACGCTCGTCGATCTCACCTACGAAGTCGACTTGTTCCTCTTCAACACGGGCTTCGACCGCTTCTGGAAGCTTACCCCGGGGACAATAGTCGCCATCCTAAACCCCAACATCCTACCTCCAGTCCCCGGGCGCGAAGCAACCAACCGCTTCGGGCTAACCATCAACTCAGACGCCGACACCATCCTCGAGATCGGCAGCGCCCGCGACCTCGGCTACTGCAAAAGCATCAAAAAAGACGGCACCTACTGCAAGAGCTGGGTCAACTCGCGCCGCACCGAGTACTGCGAATACCACACCAACGAAGCCGTCCGCAAAGCCCGCAGCTCCCGTGTCGAGCTCAGTTCCACAGCCGGCTTCGGCGGTGGCGACGGGCCCCGAGGACGCGCCAACTCCCGGCGCGTCTTTGCCAAATCCGAAGAAGACCGCCAGCGCGGCAACTACGACCGCGCCACGCAGAGCCAGTACTTCATCAGCACCGCGCACCGGTCCACCGATCCAGACGACGAGCGTCTCACGGGTATCGCCGACCGTAAAGAGCGCGAGGAACACCTCAAGCGACGGCTCGCGCAAAAAGAAAAAGAACGCGACATCGCCCGGCGGCTTGGTGAGATGGGCGGCGGCGCGGGGAGAGATTACATGACGCGTGCGGCCTCCCGCGCCAGCGGGACTACCTCGCGCGCTGGGGGTGGTGGGCCAGGGTCCAGTTTCTCGTCTGTGACGACCTCGTTTTCCTCTGCGCCCCCGCCCGCTTCGTCGGCTACCACATCTGCTACTTCCTTTGGTTCCACTGCCCCAACACCCCCGGGCATGAAACCAGACCTTCTCAACGACCCAAACAATATCCACCAACCACGCAAATGGGATGCTCGCGCGCTCGGCCTGATCGGTAGGCGTGGATCCGACCAGCCCAAAGTCAGCCTCGCTCCCCCGCCGAAACCTAGTGCCAATGGTACAACGACAGGATCAACAGCCGCCAAACGCAAACGGCCCGAGTCCTCCGGCTCATCGTTTAGCAGTAACAGCGCGGGACAGCAGCAGCAGCAGCAGCAGAACGGCCCTGGCGGCGGTCGCGCGGCATTGTCGCTGGGATGGGGGAGTAATTTGCGGGATAAACTGGGAAGGATGAAAGAGGGTGAGCGGTTGGATGGGCGGAAGGTGTTGGCGGGCGGGGCTGGGTTATTCGGTAATGGAGGTGGAGGTGGAGGCGGAAATGGAGATGGGGATGGAGATGTACCGATGCTGGATGCTGCTGCCTCCCACACCCACGCCGACCCTGGCCCTGACACCAACTCCAACTCCAACTCCAACTCCAATACCAACAACACCAACACCAACACCATCCTAACCGCGGGCGCGGACGCCGCCACAGAACTAGGTCTCCCCAGACGCGGAAGCGCCAGTACAACCGCAACCGCAAGCGCCATAGCAACCCGCCGAGGTGATACCTCCCCCGTACGGAAAAAGACCCGGTTTGTCACAGATCGCGGGATTAAAGAGGCCGGACGCGAAAGTTTGGGCGAGACGTTGAGTATGAGTGCTGCGGCGGCTGCGGCGGCGAAGATTAGGGAGGTTAGGGCGAGTTCGAGGGCGGGGAGTAGGTCGGGATTGAGGCCGGGGAGTCGGTTGGGGGCCGGGGCTAGACTGGGAACTGGGACGGGGGCTGGAGCGGGAGTGAGGAGGAGGGTGGTGGTTGTTGATCAGGCGGGGGGGGATGAGGATGATTTGGTTGTTTTGGAGTAGGGGATGTATTTTATACTATGCATTGGTTTGCGTGTGTGTGTGTGTGTGTGTGTGTTGGATGGTTTTTGTTTCGGGGAGGGTTGTGGAACTGTTTGTGGGGGTTCTTGGGGGGGTTCTTCTCAGAGAAAAAGGCGGCAAGTTCAAAGAGCGCATAGATGAGAGGACGAAAGGCGTTTGACTGCACGGCGTAGAGCGGGATGCTGGGCTGGTGGGTTTGGGAGGTGATTGCTGTGTGGGCATATGTAAGGGGTAAAGGGCACGTCCCCCAGCTGTAAAGTACTGTCATGACTTGTTTGCATACTCGGCGTTGGTTTGCTTTTGGCGCTGCCCTGGTTGGCTGAACTGGAATATACACATACTTGACACGCATACTCGACAATCCACTTACACTCACTACTATGCACTGCGTATCCTATGTAGAGTAGAGAGCAGCCAAAAGTCATCACCCTCCAGCTGCCTATCCTATTTACCCGTGCCCTTGTCAGTGCGTGGATTGAACTCACAGTATTTCTTATACTGTACAGTACACAGACGTGTATTTCTATGGCGTAGGAATTACACCACCACCTTCCTCCCTTTCCTCCCTTTCCTCCCATCCCTCTTTCAACACCGTAACCATACCGCGTAACGTACCTTTCTTCGTACCGTATCCAAACCCGTCACACTCTCATACAATCAAGGTATTCCATCCAATCTGCTTTCCTATCAAGTCCTACTAAACACCCCCAACTAACTAGCCCCTTTACCAGCCAACTCAACTCAAAATGCCTCCCACCGACCGTAAGCAGTACTCGATCATTGCGCGGGTACAGGCTCTGACCCTCCACGCCTGCGGAACCAAGGTATCCGACATTGAGAAAATCACGGGGGTCAAAAAATGGGCCTTCATGGCCCTCCTCGCTCGCGCCAAGAAGCGGGGGTACGTGCCCGGTGCGCGTATTGTGTATGAGCATATCCAGACGATGGGTGCTGCTAAGAGTCCCGTGAAGGGTGGAAAGTCCCCCAAGGTTGGGGGTAAATCTAAGCGTGGAAAGGGTGTTGAGGAGGAGGACTTGGATGGAGAGGGTGGAGATGAAGAGATGGAGGAGGGAGAGGAGGAGGTTTCCGATTCGGAGTCTACAGCTGTTTGAGGAATGGTGAGAGGGTGATTTCAAGGGGCTGAATTGTTAAAGTGTTGTCACGACGCTTCGTTTGCGGCTGGAGGATGCAAGGAGGAATCAGGAGAGAGCTTCTGGCGTGAAGAGCTGTGGAAATGCAGGAGAACGGGATGTTGAGCTTACGGGGATCCATAGGTTGTATGTACAGTCCGAACTGATGGGTAGAAGGCTGACAGCCCTGCTCAGTAGTCAATTACCTACCGCAACAACATCGAAGGTTCATTTGGTGATATCTGCTGTCCCACTGTCCATTTTGCCCAGGCCTGATGCCTAGGAGATAAGCCTTGGAATACCGTGAACCCGACCCCTAGCAAGGTGGCATAGGGTGATGACTTTTGGCCGTACTCGGTACACTGCAGTATACCATGTATTCCACACAATGTATAGAGGACGGCCAAAAGGAATGACTTCCAGCTGCCAAGCCTGTGCAGCAAGTACACCTGCCAACATGCGAAAGGAAACCACGACCCTGTTGACACCAACTACACCTTCGTACCCGTGGGTCTCAATGGGGCATGGATTATACCTACCATAGACTAATGCCTTCTCAAGTTTCTCCCGTCATCTCCCATCACTTTCAACATCCGTAACCGTACCAACAACTGTAACCCCCCAAGCGTATGCACACTCATTTTGGCAGCCGTGATATATATTCCCATAGTGTCAAGGTATGTACATGCAGTAATATCTCGTCTGTCTATTTCCCCCCTCTAACTACAACTCGAACTAACCCCCCTCCTCCAGAATCAGCCTCATCTCCCAGCCAAGCAAAGCAAGTAACCCAAGCAACCCAAGCCAACCATGCGAACTAAGCAAGTCAAGAAACACAAGAAACACAAGAAAAACAAACCCACCAAGCCCCCGATCGCAAAAAAGCCCCCGATCGTAAAGAAGCCCCCGATCGTAAAAAAGCCCCCGATCGTAAAAGAGCCCCCGATCGTAAAAGAGCCCCCGATCGTAAAAGAGCCCCCGATCGTAAGAGAGTATTACTCCATCATCCAACGAACCCAAGCCCTAACCCTCCACGCCTGTGGCACCACGGCCGCCAAGATCGAAAACATCACCGGCATCAAAGAAAACACCTTCCATACCATGCTGCAGAGGGCAAAGTCGCGCGGCTACAGTCCCGGGGACCGGATTAAGTACAAGCATATCCGGAATCTTCGGCGTAAGCAGCCCAAGGCTGGCGAGGAAACGGAAGGGGAGGACAGCTGCACGACTCCTGAGGGGTGGGAGCCCGAGACGGAGGAGGAGGAGGTTTCGGGTGGAGAGGGAGAAGAGGTGGTGGGTGAAGGAGGGGAGGTTGGGGATACAGCTGGGCTCTCTGGAGGAGAGGGGATGGATGGGGTGGATGGGGTTAAGAAAGCGGAACTTTCTGATTCGCAAGCTACAGAGGTTGGTAGTGGAAATGATTGAGGGGTGATATTGAGTGGGTGGTTTGGTTACGGGTGGCCTGAAAGGAGGAATCAGCGAGGTCTTATGTATACAAATAGCTGTAGAAAAGACGGGAGGAATGGAACAACCTTGGTATATAATTAATAACAGCTTCACTTTCACCTCTTACACTCTTAAAAGAAAAAGAGAATAAGCAAAAGAAAAAGAAAGCAAGTAAAAAAAGGAAAGTAAGCAAAAAAAGAAAATAAGGAAAAGAAAAAGAAAATAAGCAAATTAAACAGAAAGCAGCTAAAAGGAGGGGGGGGTGAGCAAGATGAGCAAGAATTACAAACTCACTAGCAAAACCCATATTTTAACCATAACCTTCTCCCCATCTAACAATACTATCACTATATCTCAACCTCTTACTCCACCAATAAAATAAGAAAAAGAAAATAAGAAAAAGAAAAGAAAATAAGCAAAATAAACAGAAATTACAAACTCACCAGCAAAACCTGTATTCTAACTACAACCTTCTCCCTATCTAGCAACACCATCACCATATCCCAACCTCTCACTCCACCAGTCCATTCTCATCCCCATTCACATACCCATTCACATGCCCATTCCCCCCTCTCACCCCCCTCTCCTCATACGCATCCTGACCCCCACCCCCCCGCCAATGTAAATCCTCATCCCCCACAACTTCATCCCCATCCTCCAACCCCATCGCAACCATAAACGCCCCCTGCAAACTCTCACAAAGCACCCCCAACTCCCTCCACCCATACACCAAGCTCCTCATCACCCTCCTCCCCGTCCACCCTCTCCTCTGCCTCCTTCTCCATCTTCGCAATGACGACGACGACGACCGCCCCGATGAACCCAGCGCCTGCGGCTCCAACTCCGGGTTTGAATCAGAGTCGGAATCGGACTCGGGGGGAAAATACGGATAATAATGATCAGCCGGCAGCCGCCCCCTCGCTTCGATTGCTGCCTGCAGTGGTGCAAAGGACCCGATATCGGGGACTTCAGGGACCTCGGGAGCAGCAGCAGCTGCTTCTCCTCCAGATAAAGAAGGCAGCCAGGAAGGGAAATAGAGGATGCGTTCGAGGCGATAAGATAACCAGTCCTGGGGGGTGTGGTGGTCGTGATTGGGGTGGTTGTTATTGTTGTTGTTGTTGTTGTTTGGGTCGGGCGGGAAGAGGAGGGGGAGAAGATGGCGGGTGATGATGCGGGTGAGGAAGTAGGAAGGGTAGAGGGCTAGGTAGAGGGCGAAAAGGCGGACGAGGGGGTTTCGGCGGATGTTGGGGGGGATCGGGTGGAGGGAGATGTCGAGGGGGGGGATTCGGATGTCCATGTTGTGTTGGCGTGTTGGGTAGTCTTGTAGTGTAAGAGTGGTTGTTATTCGTGATGGTGTTTGCGATGATGTTGATGGTGGTGATGGTGTTGATGGTGTTAAAGCCGATGATATTGCAGATGTGTGCGAGACATCAAATAAACCAGAGGAAGAAAAGAAAGAGGGGAACAGAAGGGCCAACGCCATATCAGTTACTAGTTTAGTCTATAGTGAGATGATGTCCCTCCCACGTCTTAAGTCCCACCCACAACTGTATGCTATCGCGTACATTTCATATCCGATCCCGTCTGCGCACAATTCCACTTCGATCCAATTTCACCCTCAGACTATACCCTCAAGCCCTTACCCTCAAGCTCCTACCCTCGGGCTCTTACACCCAGACACATCGAATACACCAAGCGTAAAACGTCATGCACGCTCATGCATTATCAGTCACCTAGTACAGTCAAGGAATCAGCCAGGCCATCAGATAAGCCAACGTCAGTCAAATTGAGTAGTCAACTTAAGCTAGTTAATGCAAGTCAACTTCAATCCGAGTCTAGATAAGTCAGTTAATACAAGTTAAGTCAGACGAAGTTAAGTCCCTTCAAGTCAAGCTAAGAAGTTGAGTCAGTCAAAGCCAGCTAATGAACCAACCTTCCATTAGTCTTAAGTCTAGCTAAGGTGATTCAAGTCAAGTCAACCAAGCCAAGCTAAATAATCACGTTAGATCCAGTTAATTGGGTCAAATCAGGTCAAGTGAAGTTAAGTTAGGCCAATAATGTAAGCCAACCTACAATCGGAGTTGGGTTAATTAAGTCAGGCCAAGTCAAGCCAAACCAACTCAAGTCAAGTCAAGCCAAGTCAACCTCGAAGTCAGGCCAAGCCAACGTAAAATCAAGTCAAACCATTCATTCCCAAGCCAACCCACCAGCTATAACGCCTGCCTAACTAACCCAATGCAAGCGCTATAATTAACACCAGCCAACGTCAGTCCTAGTCCTAGTCCTAGTCCTAGCAGCGCAGCGCAATCATCAACCCTGATTATCATACCCATCAGCCACTCATAACCCTGACCCTGAGCCATAGATAACCCTAACCCTGACCCTGAACAACAAAATCGCCCATGCTAACAACCAAAACCTCCATTCCACGGCTGATACCCAGGCTAATACCCAGGTTCAAACCCAGTCAGGCCGTGCAGGCCCAGACTACCAGCTAATACCCCCCATCCATCAAATCATTCAAAATATCCCTTAGCACCGGTTTCCCCTTCAACATCGCCCGTTCCCCAATCCTCGCCGTCTTTTTCGGTTCCACCGTGCGTCCTCCTTGGCTTAACGGTGGCCTGTTTTCTTTGTTGTGCTCCCTGTTCCTGACTTCTCCACCGCCGCTGCCACTACCACTGCCAGTGCCACTGGTAAGAGATAGCAACCCCTTCTTTTTGGTAGATTTGAACCCCTTGTTTGGGTTGTTCTTCACCGTGGGCATGCCCATGCCCTGCTCGCCTAATATGGCATCGCCTCCTTTTATCGTCACCATCGCCGCATTCACCCCTTCCTCCTCCTCCTCTTCCTCCTTCACCCTCGCCTCCTCCATCTCCACCTCTTTCACACCGACCCCCTTAACAGGCGACACGCCCCCACCCCCCCATCCCCCCATAACATGCCCCTCCAACGCCCCCTCCGGCAACTCATAAACCCACCTCCTCCCCTCCATCAACCCCACAAACCTTGCCAACATCTCCTCCTCTCCACACCCGCCCAGCGTCGACCGACTGCCCACCACCAGTAACTTCGTCTTGGCCCGAGTAAAAGCCACATTAATCCTCCTCCAGTCTTTCAACAACTCCCCGATGGCACACGCCTCGTTGCTCCGGACTAAGGACAGGATAACGACCGATTTATCCCGTCCTTGAAACCGATCTGCGGTGTGCATTTCTATATCGTGCGCAGCACTACCACTACCCATCCCACCAGCACCACCAACCGTCCCCGGAACGGTACCCGTATACGTAGTGGCACTACCCACCCCCCGCATAACATGCCTAAGCAAAGCCAACTGCGACCGATAATGCGTCACCACCCCAATCTCCGCAGCCGGCACGCCGACAGCAAGCAGGGCATCGACCAGCTGGGCTACGATGCGTGCCTCGCAGGGGTTGACGATGCGGTTACCCTTGGCTTGTTCGCGGGCGTGGGGGAGCAAAGCGTCGGTGTTGACGAAGCGGACGTGTGCGGAGGGGTGGATGAGGTCGGCTAGCCAGCATGTGCTGGGGGCGGAACCGGGACCGGTGGTGGAGGGAGAGTAGAAGTTGGGGCTGGGGCCGAGGCAGAAGGTGGTGGGTGGGGTGTGGGGACGTTCAGAGGGGGATGTTGTCGATGATAGCGTGTTGAGGCCGAGATGAGCGTGCTCCGCAAACGAAGCCGCGTCGTCAAAATGCCGAGTGCGTAGTCCCCCCAGGTTGGGCACAAACAACTCTGCGTGCCGCAACGCTTCCGTCCCACACTTCAACCGGCCGTTATAAATCAGGGTATTCGACAACGCCATGATATCCTCCGACATGCGGTACTGATGCTCCAGATGCACGACCGACTGCGGATGGGTATCCGACAACAGTTTAAACAACGACACATCCAACCCCCCCAGGCGGGCCTCCTCGTTCTGCACCAGCGGCGGTAACTGGTGGTGGTCACCCACTAGCACAAACGTCTTGGCCATGCGGATGGGCCCCATGCAGATGGGCAGGGTGATCTGCGAGGCTTCGTCGACGATGCAGTAGTCAAAGGTGCGCTCGTGGAAGACAGGGTGGTTGATCCCCAGACAGGTTGTTGCCACCACGGGGGTGTCGTGCCATGCGCGCCGGATCTCCTCGAAGGACTTCTTGGTCTGTCCAGCGAGCGTGGCAAAGTCCTGCACGGCCGGGTGTACCTTGGCTGGCGCGCCCAGTCGCAGGATCGGGATGTTGTCGTGCTGGAGTTTGAGCAGGATATTGTCGACAGCGGTGTGGGTGTACGAAGTTAGCAGCAGGGTCTTGCCCTGGCCGACCAGCGCGCGGATGATGTGGGCGATGGTGGTGGTCTTGCCCGTGCCCGGCATGCCCAGCACCAGGGCATAGTCACGCGCGCTCATGACCTTTTCCACCGCCGCCTTCTGGTCCACATTCAGACTGTCTTTCTCCGGAATAGTGTACTGCGTCGGCGTGGCCTTGAACCGCGGCGGCACGAGGTCGACCACCAACCGACGGATCTCAGCCGACCCAAACGGCCCGTCGGCCATGGCCTGCACCAGGTTGTTGCGCACCGTCGCCATGCCGTTGCTGAACTCGTCCTTGTCCAGCCGGTACCGGATTGGTGCTGGTTTAATCTTGCCCGTCTGGCTTGGTTGAGTTTTGGCCCCCTCAGGCGCAACCTCCATGATGCTGGCAAACACCTGGTTGTCCACCTCGTCAAACCCGGCCTGGCGGATCCGCGCGTTATGCAGCCGCCGGTCGACCGCCACGCTGATGCGCTGTTTCCTCACGGCCGTCACATACCCCAGCGCAAGCGCAAAGTGGCCTTGCTCGTCCGACACGACAATCGGTTCTCCCACGGCCAACTGCGAGTCCAGGAACGAGAACCCAGACGCCGACGCCGACGACCCCGCCGCCGTGGTGTCCTTGATAAAGTTATACGAAAACTGGTTGATCTTGGCCGTCTTCTTATTCTCCACCGCCGACCCCTCCTCAATAACCACATTCGAGAAACACCTCCCCAGCTTCTCCCGCTCGGTGCTAACCATAGTCCACAACTCACGCCGCAGTTTCTGCGACTCCTTCTCCTCCTTGGTCAACAAATCCTCCCATTTCAGAAAAAACTCCCGATGCGTCGGCGTCAGGTGCCGGACGGCCTCATCAAACGTCTCGTGCAGCCCGCTCGTCTCGCCGTCGCCCCCGTCCGCGAGCTTGTGGTACGTAAAGCACGACGCCTGCGCGTAGCACCGCCCGCAGGCGTTCTTGCTGCGCTTCATCGGCGGCAGCTGCACGCTGCGCTCGCGGATGTAGCACGCTAGCATGTTGCGCTGCATGATCATGTGCCGCAGTTCGTGACGGATGGCTGGGATCCGCAGGGTTTGTGAGGTTTCCATGTAGTAGAGCACGCCGTAGGCGATTTCGATGTCGTATCGGTCTGAGAGTAGGAGGTTGTAGAGCACCGTCTGGGCTTGGTGGTTTGCCGTCGCGTTCTTGCCCGTTTTGACCTCGAACGGCACCGTCAGCGTGCGAGTCGACGATGACGACCCTTTAGCCAGGTCTCGCATCGTCACCTGCACCGTGGCGTCGATGTTGCCCTTGAGCCCGTACATGGGTGACCAGACGTGCTCCTCGACGTCCAGCAGCTTGCTCACGCACATGTTGACCCGCTCGCCGTTCTTCCCTTGCACCACCGCGTTCGCTTTCGGTGTCGCCGCCACAAACGCCTGCGCCCAGCTCCGGAGCTCCGGCATCTTGGACATGACATGCGCGTGGGCATCTTCTAGCGTGACTTTGATGATGTAAAGATCCTCGAGATGGCTGCGGAGGATCTTGCCGACGACAGACCCGAGGAAACCCAGATCCCAGTTGTTCGCCATCAAGGCCTCCTGGAACACCTCGTGGAGGATCGTGCCGTACACCAGAGGGGGCGTCGCCTCGCTGGTGGCCTTGACCCGGTCCTGGAGCACGGCGCGGCGCATGCAAGTAAACGAGTCGGCCACGACTGTCGAGGACACCAGCTGGTCGGGATGCAAGATCAGGATGTTGTGGTTGTTGTCTACCACGCATCGACCAGAGGGCTCAAAGGCGCCGATGATGTGGACGTAGGCTTTTGGGCTCGCCTGCGTTTCGAGCCAGTCGCCTCGTAGATGCACACTTTTGACGGCGTTTGTTCTCTCGGCTTGGACAAAAAGGATCTGGATAGGGTTAATCAATGTGCTGTTACATATCACCCACTTCCAAGACTTTTCTTTCTTTTTCGGTCTCTTTTACTCTTGCCACTTCACTTTTCACTTGAAAGCAGGGCCAGGATTCATCAACAGTTCAGGGGCCAGGTGGAATAGGATCAGATAGGGAATGTCTCTCGGTACCTTCTCAGGGAACTCGCGTCCACGCTCATCGGCATACACGGTGTCCACGACGCTGGTAATCAAGTACCGTTGAATTGCCTTGGGCTTCTGACTAGGCTATTCCATTTCTTTTGTTTAGCGTATTGTCCTCGTCATCATCGCGTTTTTTTTCCTTCGTCCTCGTCCTCGCGGAATGAATGGCCCGGCGACTAACCCCTGGTGGTACGTACGTTGATGGGAAAGGAGGGTTGCGCGGCGGCTTGTGTGGCCGACTTCTCAATGGCATCGAAATCCGCGCCGTCGAAATCATCGCCAAAATCATCGTCAAACTCATCGTCGAATGTGTTGTTGTCTGCTGCCCAGGGTTTCTGGGCCTGCTGCTGCTTCTGCTTCTCAAGGTCTGCTTGCGCTTGTGCTTGCGTCTGCGTCGCGTGCTTTGCCTCGACCTCGGCCACCAGGGCCTCAGCACCGTCCAAGAAGTCGTCGTCGAAATCGCCAAATTCACCATCCGAGTCCTTATGCGAGACGGCGGGGGCTTGCTGGACCGGTGCATTCGGCACAAAAGCGACCATAGTAGAGTCGTCGCCCGATACCAGAATGCTCGCGTCCAGCTCCATCAGCGTTTCGTCGTCGAAATCGTCATCCCCATAATCCGAAGAGGAGGATTTGGTGGGCCCCGCAGGGTTGCTGTTCAAGGGCTCTCTCCCCATTGCCCCGGCAGACTTCTTGGCCAACGGTGAGCTCCCGTGTTGTTGTCGCGAGTGTGACTGCGGACCCAAGTTGGGCGACGTCAAGGACGATGATGTCTGTTGTGGGGCACCAGCGGGGCTGGACTCGTCACGGCCTGACTTCCTAATCTCGCCGTTGACTGTCTCCAACAACGCTGACACCATGCTCAACTTCGAGTCCGTTGCTACTGCTGCTCCTGCCGGCTGTGATCTCGCAGCAGCAGCAGCAGCAGTAGCAGCGGGGACCTCAGCCAAATCCGAATCGATGCGCTCAAACTTCCTACGCTTCGGCCAGTGTGAACCACAACTGACCGTCTTCCGCAACGGCCTTGCATTCCCCAGCAACCTCGTCCCATCCCTGGGATGAGGCGACGACGACACCATGAGCTGCGCAAGCAGCGGATTCGTCAAGCCGGAAGGGCTCGCATTCATCCCAGGAACGGACAGACGATCCCAGAGGTCCAGGGCCGGGTCGGCACGCGGGGTCTTCAACACCCTGGTCAGCCCTTTCTTATTCTTCCCCCCAGTCCCGTCAACGGCGGGGGACGACGAACAGGGCGAGGAACTTCGGGCGCGTTTCCGGTTTTTGCGGGGTAGGAGCGGGGACCGGGCCACGGGGCGGCCGGGCTCTTGGTCGTTACGCCAGAGCACGCGCTCGCCGGGGGAGAAGTTGTCGTCGTCTTGTGGCGCATCGGGGCGTGGTGCGAGGAGGTCTTGCCAGGCTGTTCGGTCTGCGGCGGGGGTTACTTGGACTGTGGGGTTCGCACGTCCCGGAGCTGGTGCGGGTGCGGGTGCCGGGGCCGGTGGTGGTGCATGCTTCGGGATGGTTGCGTCGTGGGTGTCTGTGTCCGGGGCGGCCGCGAACTGGAAGGCTTGTAGTTTGGCCTTGGTTTTCGTCGAAACGGGTAAAGGAGGCGGCTGGGGATGGTCGGCACGGGGCCCTGGGTTACTTTTGGATCGCTGCCATTGTGAGCGCTGCTGCGGCTGCGTGTTGTAGTGTCAGTGTCTATCTATCCTCGCCGTGATACTCTGGGCAATTTCTAAGCTGCTAAGCAAGGTAAATGTCTTACCTTTGCCCCTCTGTTCTGCTCCGAGAATGACTTGGTGAGAGGCATCGTTACTTCGTGATGCGCCGAGCACTAGCGGCACGAAGCTGGGCCAACACCGCGGGAATGGGTGCGGTTGATTAGTATGGTGGTGACATTCGAGTGGTTGTGGAGATATCGTGATGGCCCAATTCAAATCTAAAAAAGCAAGTCGTAAAGTGCCTGAAGGCAATCAAGGACGGTGTTGTTCCGGTTTCTAGTGTTCGGATTAACCCAGTATGAGAAACTGGAGGCTCTCTCAGTGGACAATGGAAAGTGAGAGAGTGGGCAGATGCTCAGTCTTGAAGTGGACCCGTTGAGAGGGGAGGCTGCGTTTACCAAGACCTGTGGTTGCCAGGCAGTTCAGAGAGAAACACCCTCAACACGGAAGACGCGAATTGGAAACGCGTCGAGGTACATAGTAAATGCGGGCGCCCCACCAGAGCAGACTTTCAGCGTGGCACCCCTGCAATTAACCGATAAGATAAGGATATGACAGGGGTGTATCATTCCATCACCCACATGCCACAAGCGCATCATTCCACTGTCCCGCTGCACAAACTTGTAAAACTACCAGACGGTCAACGCCCAAGACATCGGACGACAGACGAACCTATGGAAATGCAGTATTCTCGGTTTTAAGAGCTCACCCGAAGATTTTAGAAGGCCGAGAAGGGAAGGAACGGACCGGCGCGGAGCATTGCACAGGACGAAACACATTGGCGGGGTTGAGAGCTCCAAGTGGGCTTCAAGGTCCGTCAACGCCGAGGTCGACTCCGAAACCGACACCCCGGCCCGCGAGCCAGCACCCGAGCACAATGAACGACTATCCGGCCGGCAGTCTCGACCACAACGTGCCGTTCCTGTTGACGCTGGGCACGCGCACAGATACCCCGTACGATGCCGGTCTGCCCGCCATACTAAAAGAGCAGGCCGTGCTCATCCGCTCCGACTTGTCACCCCTCGAAACCGACCAGGCGCGCGCCCTGCTGCGCTATATCCAGGACCGCGATGCCGCCGAGTCGCCCTGTAATGGGAGGGATGCGGCCGGGAGGAAATACCGGTTCCGTATCAAGACGGCTGAGAGGGTGCGTGCTGAGAGCTGTTCCCCGTTATATCATGCGTGGTGCATACATACATACATCGGTACATGTAAACCCCAGCCCTGACTTGACTTTAATTCCAGTCCCTGCTCCTCCCGCCGCGCCGTGCCCGCCTCCCAGAAGGCATTGAACCCCCCCCGCCGTCCGCCGTCCTGCACTCGCCCTACTCCCCGCTTAGTCCCATCTCCCCGCTATACCCCGACGGCCTGATCGATACGCAGTGGCTGCGCAAACACCAACACTACATCCCCAGCGTGCTGCTCTGCTTCTATGCGCTCACGTCCGACCCGAGCCTCGCGACGCTATGTGACAACCAGATCAAAACCGACGTGAACAACATCAGGGCCCTGCTAAGCCAGTCCGGTTATAAGACGCGATTGGCCGTGGTGCTCCTGAGCGACCATATCTCGTCCACTTCTTCTTCTTCTTCTTCTACCGACGTCACACAGGAACGGCTGGAAACCATCCGCAGGGGCTGCGCGTTGGACTCCAAGGCCTTGTTCCTGGTGCCCTCGAGCGACTCGCAGGACGAACTGGAGCGCGTGGCGGAGAACATGCTCACCACCCTCTACAGCGTGTCCGTGGAGTACTACCGGGACTTGGGGCGGCATTCGCGGAAGAAACGGGGAAGAGGCGTGGTTCCGCAGCCGACTGTCCCGCCTACCTCGGGCACGTCACAAACGCTCTCGCTCGCAGGGTGGAACGTCCGGTACGATTTCAAATCGGCCGTGTTCGCCGAGTACCGCCTGGAAATGGACGTCGCGCTGCGCTCGTACGAGCAAGCCTACGAAAACCTACTAAGCTCCGAAGTCATGGAGCTGATCCCGAGCTGGAACCCGCGATGGAACGACGCTCGGTTCCTGGCCGACGTGGCGGCCATCCGCTGCCTCCGCTGCTTGCTCTGGAACGGACAACACAGCGCCGCAGCCCGGCGATGGTTATCCCACCGCGAGCGAATCGCCGACTTCGTAGACCGCCGAGGCCGGGGCACCAACAACTACGGCTGGGCAGCTTGGGAAGCGCGCTGGGCCATCATCATGGCCGACCTCATCAACCAAGTCGACATCCCCGAACTCGCCGCGCCAACACTCCGCCTTTACCTCCCGCCCGAGAAGAGCGCCATGGGCGAGCGGCTGCAGCCGTGGGAACTGCTCCATCACACGGGGTACTGGTACCGGCTCGCCGCGCGACACACAAAAACCAGAAAAGCGCACGCCCGGGCGATTCCGGACGACGACAGGCGGTCGCCGAGCGCGTCGCCGGCTTCACACGTGGCTAAAGCGGCGTTTGCGTATGACACGTACATGTGCCCGGAGCCGTACGAGGAGTACCCGCTGGACCGGGAGGGCGTGGACCATGGGAAGATTATTGTTGGGTTTTTGATGCGAGCGCGGGATGAGTTTTTGAAGAGACGGCAGTTGAGGTTTGCGGCCGAGGTGTCGTTGGAGTGTGCTAGGGAGTTGTTGTTTGCTGAGGAGTGGGAGATGATTGTGGATATTTTGCGGCCGATACGAGATGAACTGCCGTTTCGGGCGGAGGGTTGGATCAGTATTGCTGAGGAGCTGAATTGGGGGCTGAGGACTGCGGGGGTGCAGGTGGATGATGCTGAGTTGGTTCTCCTGGCGGATTGGGAGCTGCTCTCGCGGGGTAGGTTCTCAATTGTGATCTATTTAGCGTTTTGGGGTTGAGTACTAACTATGTGATAGATTTCAGGAGACGCCCCAAGTGGCATTACGACATCACGCAGGCCCTAGAGGACGTCGAGGTCACAGCCAAACCGAGCGTGTCAATCCGGGATGGGCAGGTACTGTCGTTCGTTTCCGCCTCGTTCGTCTTTAGAGATGAAGAAGGCAAGGCCGGACAAGGGGTCCGCAGCCAGCTCTCGATCAAGTCGGATGCGCACCTCGACTCGACGCCTGTGGTGCTCAGCACGGTGTATCTCAGCTTCAACGGCAGCCTCGATGGTATCATCCTACGGCACAAGGAGAAGAAGGGCTCTAAGCAACGGGCTCGGGCCAAAGCGAGCTTGAGCACCGTCTCACTGGCGAAACAGGAGAACGAGGGACCCGAGGCAGAGACGGAAACGGGAAGCGATGTCGACAAGGGCATTACGCTGGTGGGATCGGCCGACTTGACCTTGTACCCGGGACGGACGCTGGTTTTCAACCTGGAGATTCCCTTGCGGGAGCCGGGCGAAACGCGGGCGGATTCGCTCACCATCAACGTCAACACCGAGAGCTTCGACCTGCGGCAGTCGATCGCCTTCCAGGAGACTGCGACCCCAAAGCCTTGGTATGTTTCTGCAGTCACCGTCAAGCAGGTCGCGCACCCTGAACCCCTAGCGATTCGCGTCGCCCCCAGACCCCCCAAGATGGAGGTCAAGCCCCCGGCGCTGCGGGAGCAATACTACACCGACGAGCCCCTGAGTCTGGCGTTCGAGGTGGAGAACGGGGAGGACATCGAGGCTGTGGCCAAGTTGGAGGTTGTCCTGTTTGGCGAGAAACCCCCCCTGTTCAGCGTTGTGATTCCCGGCCAGGAGGACCGAACTGCGTCTAGCGTACGCAGCGAGGAAAGCAGGCTCTCGGGCGCATCGCTGGGCACCATTCCCAGCGCGCAGTCCCTCGCCGTCCGCCTCGTCATCCCCCCGATCGAAAGCTCCAGCCGCTACGACCTCACTCTCAAAGTAACCTACTTCCTGTCCACCAACCCCGGCACGCCCATCTCACAGACCGCCGTGTTTCCCCTCAACATCGTCAACCCCTTCGAAGCCAACTACGACCTCCTCCCGCGCGTCCACCCAGACCCCTGGCCCAGCCTCTTCGACCCCGACAGCGTCCCGTTTCCACCTACCGACGACGACGCCGAGGGTACCACCACCTCCCAGCCACCGAAGGGCTTATCCCAAGGCTGGGCCCTCGTCACCCGCTACGCATCCTTTGCTTCCGAGCCTCTCCGCATAACAGACGTCGACATCGCCGTGCAGCCCTCCCCGCACTTCCGCTGCGCCACCACCGCCAAACACACCGCCAACATCCCCGCTTCCGGCGCAGGCCGTCTTATCCATCCCAAGACGATGGAAGAAGCGGTGTTTACCCTGGCCGCGCAGAAACTCACTGTCGACGACCGCGCCCATGTCCCGTTGGATATTTCTCTCGTTATCAAATGGGCTCGCCCAGACGATCATGATCACGATCCCACAACGGCCGAAAGCCCCACCATCAACACCACCACCCTCCCCATCCCCCGCTTCACCATCTTCGGCACCGAACCCCGCGTCCTCGCCAGCGTAACCCACCACTACCGCCGGCGCAGCCCCAACCCTAACCCCAACCCGGACGTGAACCCCCAGAAGGAAGAGGGCGAGAAAGAAGAGGAGATAGTGACCCTCCTAACAACGCTAACAATAACAATCGAAAACGCCTCCAACCATTTCCTAACCTTTGGTCTGGCCATGGAACCGAGCGAGCAATTTGCCTTTTCGGGACCGAAACAGACTACGTTGAGCTTGCTGCCTGTGTCCAGGCGGAGGGTGGGGTATCGGTTGGTTCCTTTTGATGTGCCTGCTCCTGGTACTGCTGAGGGTCCGGGTGCGGGTGGTGGGAGTACCGAGGGAGTTGGGGAGGGTACGGAGGGCAAGGTAGGAGAAGGGAGGGTAGGAGGAGGAGATACAACAACCACAACACCAAAAGGCCACTGGATCCGGCCGGCGCTGGTAGTAAGGGACAAGTATTTCCAAAAGGTGCTGAGGGTGATTCCTGCTGGGGATGGGGTGAGGGGGGTTAAAGAGGGAGGGTTTGAGGTTTGGGTGCCTCATTTGAGCTAGGGGTGGTGCCTCACTTCAGCCTTTAGCTTAGCTAAAGAGATTGGGGGGGGGGAGAAGTATCTAAATTCAAGGAGAGATTGATGTTGAGGGTGCAGTGTAAGAGGTGGGGAATATTCGGTAGAGCAAGTTAAGGTTATGAGGGAAACATGTGTTAGAGGGGTTAGATGAGATGAAATCATATCAATGAAGCTGTGATATATGGTGTCGTAGCCAATACAATGAAGTTTCTATTTCCCCTTTTCAAGTCCTGCGTCTAAGTTAGATTTGTACTGACATTCTGGTTTGTACATGCAATATGTACCGTCGCATCTAACTACCACCCGCCAAATGCCATCGCATCTACACCTACCTACCCACCATCCTTCTATCAAGACGTAACTTAACTCTAAATGCCACCTCCCCCTAGCAGAGTAAAAGAAGGTAAGAGAGCCACCTTCCCGTCCCAAAGTAGAATACCTTGAAGTAGAGAAAGACCACAAATAACAATACCACCTCCTGCGCCCCCAGCACTTATACCGGTTTTATTTATCTAACGATCAAAGGAACGACCAGTAACATCACCCAGCACAAGCGTTGTCACCAGCCAGTTCTCAAAATTCAAATAAACGACACTTTTCGGAAGCTCTATCATCCCGCTTTCAAACAAAGTAGTTTGTTTGGTTGTTTATCCATATAAAACGTATAAAACGTAACGGAGTAGGAGCAGTAGCAGCAGGAGGAACAGGAAGAACAAGAGGAATGAATCACAATAAAACCAAACGAGACAACCACCCCTCGTTCCACTTCCATCTAACCACCCACCACTTCTACAACTAACCGCTTACCCACCCCATATTCTCCCCATCTTCTCAAAGAAAACCCACCATCAGAGTAAACAACCATCTAATTCTCCACAACCTTCACCGACCCCCCCTCACCCTCCTCACCCACCCCATTCCCATCCTCCCGCGTCGTCTTCTCCGTCTTCTCCGCAACCAGCGTCTCCCCCGCCATGTTGGTAGCAAGCGCCTTGGTCTCCTCCGGTTCCTGCGGTTTCCCCGCCACCCCGGTACTGGCACCATCATCACCCTGTTCATTGGTGACAGTAGCCGGTGCCTCAGAGACCGCAATTGTCTCCGTGACGGGCTCGATGGCCGGTTTAGGGGAGATTGTGGACACGTCCTCGGGGGAGTTGGCCTCTTGCTCTTTGACGGTGGTGGCTGACTTTTCGGGCGCTTCTTCGCTGGCCGCAGATGCAGCTGTAGCGAGGGTCTTATCCTCTTCTTCGCCTTTATCCGAGGCGGAAGGAACGCTGCTCGCAATGCCGGAATCGACTTGCTCAGCCACTTGGGATTCCGGCTCTGCCTTAGCCGCTGCGACCTCCACCGTAGGCAGGGATTTTGGTTCCGTCTCCGACAAGCCCCTGACAGAAACACCAGCAGTGAGAGCACCCTCGACAGGGTCGATTTCGAAGAATGTCTGCGCCGCTACAAAGCTGAACGTAGCCGCAGCCTTCGCTTCACTGACTGCAACAGGCGCAGGAGTGACTTTAGGCGCGGGGGCACGGCGTTGAGGCCCCCTCGCCCTGCCCTTCCTTGCATCGCTGAGCGGCACCTTCTCCTTCACTTCCGCCTTCTCCCCCTCATCGGCCGGAGGCGACTCCTCCTTCTTCGGAGCCTGTGGGCCGAGCTGCAGTCGTTTGTTCAGATCGCTCATGAACCCGGCCTGCAGCGCAGCGATTTTGTTCCCCATAGGGCGAGCAGGGACAGCTGGTTTCGGGCGCGGCGGGGCAGCCGCTTCTGCGGGTTCGAGGCCGCCGGATGTCGCGCCAGCCTTGACGGGCCGAGCGGGGATCTGGGGTTTCGACTTGGGACGTTCTGGGACGGCGGGCTTGTCGTCGGAGAGCTGCCGCGGCTTGGGGCGCGTGGGAATGGCGGGTTTCTCGCTGGGGGCCGTGGGCTCTGGAGCTTTGGCGGCGGTCGGCTCTGCAGGCTCAGAGACCTCAGTCTTCTTCGCTTCGACGGGAGACGGCGAAGGAGGAGCCTCGTCTTGCTGCGGAGTCGAGACGGTGGTTTCAAGCTGCAGACTTTCGGGGGCGTCTTCCCACACGTCACGACTTGGGAATCGGTGCTTCAAGGCCGGGCGGAGAGCTGGCGCTGCGGCTGCCAGGTGACTCTGCTGTTGCGGCCATGCAGGTGTTTGCGTGGGCTGCGCCGGTTGCACCGGTTGTGTCGCCGGCTTTTGTTGGTGGTTGCGTTGGCCGTGAGCTTCCTTCTCGGCAAGCTCCTCTTGCTGACGGGCAAATGCCTGCGCCGGAGTCTCTCCCTCCTTGGGGGTGGGCGCGCTCGACCGCGAAGGCTTCTCTTGCTCGTCAAAGAGCTCAGGAGTTGAGACCTCGGCCGTGTAGTGGACGCTGCTCGGCGCATCCTCCCAGATATCGGCGCTCGGAAAGCGGCGCGGCTGGTTCACCTTGAGCTTCTCCTTGGCCGCAGGCTTCTCCGTCTCTGGCTTGTCGTCCTTATCGTCGTCGTTAAAGAGCGGCTCGTACTCCTCCACGTCTTCCAGCGGTGTATGGCGTATCTCAAACGAGCTCCCCCGGTGCAAACTCGCCGGACGGCTGGGCGGACGGCTCGTCGGGCGGCTGGTTGGCTCTTCGTGAGGCTCCACCGCCGGCTGCCGGGTATACGACGACGGATCTTTGGCAACCTCATCATCGGCCAAGATGGGGGCCGTGTAGGAACGCTCCGGCTCGTCGTCACCGTTCACCGATTCGGTGTCACTAAACATGACGGACCGCCGGCGGTTGGGCTCGTCCACGTGGATAGGCGGGGGCTTCCTCTCGGGAGACTCCAGCTTAGGGGAGGCAATCCTGGATGCCGACTCCTCAAGAGCTTGCCAGCCGACTTGGTCGCTGGGTGTACCGGCAGTAGCTGTACAAGTGTTGCACGTTAGCATCATCACAACAAAACAAGACAAACTTGCTTGGGCCCGGTGAACCTACCAAGACCCGAACCACGACTGGCAGTATCCCTGACGATCTTGTTAAGGTCATCGCGGCTCATGGAGAAGTCATTCGGGCGATCATAATGGTGCGGCAGATGCTCCTTCTTCAGGAGATCAGGATGCTTTTCGTAGTAAGCCTTCTCCAGCTTATCCTGCGGCACCACATTGTGACCATGCAACCCGTAGCTCCCAGGGGGAAGGTTGGCGTGGCCCGATCTCCTCCTAGTGTGGTGCTTGCCCTTCCCTCCTTCGCTACCCGGGGGCGCGGGAGACGGAGCCTGGACGTCGCCAGCATTCTTGTACATCGGCACCCGCTGTCCAATCTCGGGGATACCATGCTCATCCTCGAACTCTTTATCCGTTGCAGACAGCTGGCTGGCAGTGCTCGGCTTCTTCTTGAGACTGCGGTTCGACGGCACAGGCGGGATTGAGTCTTCCACGCTGCTCGCCCGGCCGATACCGAACGCGGCCGCACGCTCGCTGTCGGTGCGGGTGACAGCCATGACGCGCTGCTTCGCACTCGAGGCCGGCAGGGACGGCTTTGGGGCATGGAGTTTGAGGTCCTCGCCCACAGTCCGCGTCTGCTCGGGACTGGCATGCTCTTCCTCCTTGGCCGTGTTTATCTCCTCGGCCAAGGCGGCATACTCCTGGCCTTCCTCGCCGAGCGAGGGGAGATCGACCGAGGTGGAGCGAGGGATCGGGTCCTCTCCGTGGCCATTGTAGACGCCGAGGTGCGACGGCTTGGAGCCGGCCTTGGGGAACGTGGGTTCGTTCAGGGGGGACGGGGCGAAGCGGTCATGGTTCGGGCTCATAGAGCGCTGGAGGCGCCGGTTCGTGGGACGGGGTGGGATCATTGGAACCGATGTCTTTTCCTGTGCCCTCGAGGGTCTGGGGGGTATGGTCGGCGGTGGGTTGGGCGCAGAATCGGACATGGTGGGCAGACAGGCTAATATTTAATAACTGCAGAGACTAGACGAAGGATGCGGGGAGCGGGGACGGTCGCCGTTGCCGTTGCCGTTGCAGTTCGCAGTTGCAGTAGCGAATTTGCAAAACGGAGACGGGAGAGGCGAGGTACGAAGTAGGACCTGGTGTCTACCACCGATATGAGGTGGAAGATAGGCTAAGATGTCGCTTCGGAAGGCAGTGCGAAGTATCTAACTGAGCCAAGCAAGCTAGAACTCCGGTGAGCTGACGCACATGACAAGGCACAACTAGCGGTAAATGGAAAACGACAAAACGAGCAAACAGCACGGGGAGATAAGCACTCGGCATCGAGATCGCAAGTGCCAACACAAAAAAAAGAGTCCTAAACGTTCAACAAAGCCACGATAGCCCCAACGGTCACTGCCGACAGGCCCAAACCGTTTCAGGTCCAGCTGATAACGGCGCACTTAGATATCCGGCCCCGACGATTGGCGGCTAGCCGAGGACGCCAGGAGATAGTACGGACTCGTTTCCGAGTAATCTCTGCGTACCGCGGCAAACCTGGGGTAAAAAAAATGCAAATTATCCCGTCATTGCGGTGTTTTAGGTCACCGCCTCATTGCACACCGTCTCCAACTTTGGATTGCCTGGCTGGGCCGACGTGCAGGAGGGCTAGTGTAGAGGGGCAGCAGAGGGGCCAGAGAGCTATGACGGAGGGGCAGAAAAGCCAAGCAAAGCAACACACGGGTCAAAAGTACGGTTGCACTCACCAGGATTGAAGGAAAAAAGTCTGTTCGATACGCGAGGAACGATGACAAAAAAAATACAGATATGATTTGGTGTCTTGAGGGATTGAATGTCAGCAGGCGATAAGGAAGAACAGAAGCTTAGCAAGGGTTCAATTGGGACAAAGGGAACAGAAACGCTTGTTCCATGGTCTGAAGTCGATGATGAAACTGGGTCGTGGAACGTGCCGATCACTGCCCAGCCTGGCTGCAACTGCCAGGATGACCGAGGTACGTACCTTCCTTTCCACAAAGGGGATCGGTGGCATAATATTCCGGGGTTTCTTTGCGATGTTTGACAGTCTATACACTGTATTTAGACTGTATTCTGCTTCTCGGCGACGGCAAGGACGGCCAGGTGAACGGGGCGAGCTTCGGCTGAGTTCGAGGTTCCGAGCTACAAAAGGGGCCTGGGAGGTTCGTGTGACGAGTGCCTGCTACTTCTGGGCCTTCAATATTCGCGAAATGCTGAAAACGAAGGCCATCCCTCTTCTCCCTGAACAAGCGCATGACAGTCTTCCCTGCTCGTCGTTACTCATCCCAGCCTCGGCCTGCTTCTCGCGCAGTGAATTCACTACCTAGTCTAGGCCTAGTGTGCATCTCCAATTATAGAGAACAGCCTCCGGTCAAGTTATGTTACGGTTATCAGCGAGGATAAAACACCGTCGTGCCGTGCTGGCTTCCCCAAACTTATTACAAACGACACGGCCAACAGCTTGACTTGACCAACGGCTTCCATACAACAAAAGCAAAATAAGAGATGCTTCATCAATCGAAGACATATGACGCCATAAAACCCCTTTCCCCCCTTTTTACCGAATACAAAAAAAAGCTTGGAAGCAAACACTCAAAAATCATGCGAGCCTCGCAATAGCTTTTGATCAGGTCCTCGAGCGCAGCGCAGCGTTGCGTGAACTGCGTGCTGATAACTTTGTTCCACTCTGTTCCTTGCCCCCCCTCCTTTCCTCACACTTCTAACGTTGACCCTTCCTCCATCTGTCTCGTCCCCCCCAACCCGCCGCCCCCAACTCACCATCCCTTAAGCCCTTTCTCCCTCACTCCCATTCGCGCCCCAGACCCCGAACCAGCGCAGAGAAGTCCCGCCCTTACACTATCATCTGCGCGACTCCCGCACCGCCCAGGGTCTTGCTCCCCACAAACGCCTGGCCCTTGATACCCGCAAGGAGGTAGCAAAAGCCCGTAAGAGTCAGGAACACAGCGGCGGCAATCAGCGAGGTGGCGCGGCCGAGCAGCGTCAGCCACTGGGCGACCGCCATCACGCCGTAGGCCGCCGCGCGCATGTAGTTGGTCGCGATCTTGCGGATGAAGTTGTCGAAGGTCGACGAGGTCGGGCAGATGCGTAGGAGGAGGGGCACTTCGATGAAGAGGATCACGAAGGAGGATGCTCTGTGGAGGTGGGGGGTGGTTGGTTAGTTAACTACCTTGAGGTTGACTGCGGGGGGGGTTGCCATGAGCAGACAAGGAAGGGGATAGGGAGGAATTTATCAACGTACAAGCACACGATGCTGAGAACCAGAATGACGATCGAAAACGGAATGAGGCCAGTAATCAGGTTTGCGAGCCCGAGAGCAAAACACAGAATCATGGTTAAGATGCCCAGCCTATGGGATAGTCAGCTTTACTATCCATCCAAGAGTTATCTCCGTCGTTTTCTTCAATGGCGCGCGGATGACAGCAGCAGCCGGGCATTCATCGCCCCGCTTCTCGTCGATGGGGTAGGTAGTCCTCACCATTGTCCGTAGATACCTGAAGGAAAGCATCCGTTAGCAAACAGTCCCACGAAAAGCGTGCCCATCAGACTAGCAAGAACCCTTCCCCCACCAAATAAGAGTGAGGAGGGCAGCCAGCTCCAACGTAAGCGGGGAACAACATACTGAAGTTGCGCGTCGCGAACTCCTCCTTGAGTGTCATTTTGGCGGTGTTGTATCGGGTCGTAGTTTAGTTTTTTGGCAGCGGGATGAAGTCGTCGTCCAGCGCTTTCCAGGAGGAACCAGCCTGTTTGTTGTTGGTGGTGGAACTCGGGTGTGCTTTCGAGCGACCTAGCTTCGTCCGAGAGGAGCTACAGCTCTGTCCTTCAATACCGTTCGACGGCTTGCTTATTCCCCGAAGCGGTTGGTGGATAGGATGCGATGCGACACGAGCGCGATGCGAATGCGAATGCGTAGGTCGGTCGGTTGGTGATGCTTCAAGCGCCTTTCTGTTTTGCTGGGGGGTGTTTCCGGCTGGTTGCGGCAAATGAAAAGGTAAGCGCACTTGTGACGCTTTGGAACGGTATGTACAAAGGTCGAATCAAGGGTCCAGGTGGGAAGCTTGCGAAATGGCTTGCGATGGATGCTCTGGCTCTCAAACGACGACGGGTGGCGAAAGATCCAGCTCTGAAAGGCAACACAGTTGCTTTGTTATTTGTTGTGCGACAAACACAGATCGCCTTGTCTTTGGATGTTGGTTGGTATGGGGAAGAGAAGGCCGGAAGAAAGCCACGAGGAAGGAGAGCTCCTGATTGTTTCCCGTCAGTTCAAGTTCGGTCGCACGTTGTCATTTTGGCGGGCGGGCGGCCGACAGGCCCGGGCGGGCTCACTCGGGCGCGGTGGGGCTGTGCCTGAGAGAATAAGAGCCAACAATTGGTTCCCGACCAGTCTCTCTCGAACAAAAGCAGCAGGGGTTCGAGGAGCCCACTTACCAAACGGTGAACGGCTTGCTCTTGTTGGGGAAAGTTGGATTGTGCAGGTGGGATCTGGGAAGCTTCCGAAACAGTCTTTGCACTGCGCACGAGCAGCTAGAGTTACAGAGAGGCAAGTGGTGTGTGTGTTTCCCGTGAGAGATAAACATTGGACTGTTGAGCAATTATTTAGAAACAACGACACGGCCAACAACAGGCAGCCAGAAAAGCCAAAAAGTCCAACCTGGCGGGGTTCCCTCAGCCAGGCCATTTTGTCTGCCCTGCTGACGTACACTAACGTTGCGTACGGCCCATGACGCGGCAACTTCGGCAGCGCAAATCCTCAAAAGACAAATCGGTCAACAGAACACTCCACCCGCCAAGGCAGGCTGATACCCCGTGTTATTATTTATCAAATAACTTTTATTTGCCGTTATGTCACAGAATACAACCAAACGCCCGAACCCCAAGATCCGGTTGTTTCTCAGTCTCCGACGCCCCAGATAACCCGTTTAATGTATGTACCAGCAAAGGGAAAGCCAGTACCCCGTAGACCATGGACCGGTGAAGAGAAAACTAGTACCCGTAGACCACACAACGCCGGGGAATCAAAAATCAAATCGTTTCTCCGGGCTTCTTTCACAGATACCGCACCTTCATCCACTCGCTTGTCCCAAGCCCCAAATTCAGCCCATTCTGAGCCCACCACTTCCTGACCAGAGTCTGGTCACCCAGCGAGTCCTCCAGCGCCTCCTCGATATCCATCGTCTTATACTCCACCCGGTCCCCCTTGCGCCCGCCCATCCCGGGCAGTTCCCCATGCGCATACTGCCGCCACCACTCCAACACCGGCACATGCGCGTGCAGCGTAGGATCGATCAAGATCTGGTTGTCGAACTGCAGCTTATCATCCCCGCGCAACTGGCGCCACAAGTCCAGCACCTTCACCTGGCCCCAGCGGCTCGCCATCCGGCACACGCCGTCCTGATGGCCCAGCGCAACACCGCTCTCGTCCCACCAGCGGATGACGGCCGTCTGGCCCCACTGGGCGGCGGCGAGCAGTGACCGACCCGGCTTAATCACGATGGAAGGGTCCTGCATGCTGGCCTCGCGCCACCATTCGAGCACGTGCACGTGGCCTTTGGAGGAAGCCATCTCGAAGGCTTGCTCGTCGTATTTGAGTGGGAGACCCGACCGGCGCCACCATTCGAGGATGGGCACGAAACCGTGGCCGGAGGCGTGGTTGAGCGCTTCGACGTCGTATTGCTTTTCGAGGAAGGATGGGGAACGCGCCCACCAGTCGAGGATGGGTACGCGGCCGTAGTAGGCGGAGGCTTTGGTGGGGATGGTTTTCCCGTCGAAACACTTGAAGATGTGCGGCATGTTGGCTTCGATGTAGGTGAGGACGCCGGTGAGGGAGAATTTGAAGATGAGGTGGACCGCTAGAACGGAGAGGTCCAGGAACGTGGGCGGGGCGTGGGCGAGTTTGTTGCAGACGGCTTCGGTGTTGGCGGTTAGGAGAGTCCACTCGAGCGAGTGGATAAATACCTGGAGGGGGTCGTCAGGATCCTTAGGCTCACGACGCCAGCCCTCAGGCATCTCGATGGTGGTGTAGATGTCGAGACAGGTGGCCAACTCCCAGTCGTTGACAAAACCAAAGATCATAGTCCAAATTTCGTTGGGAAGCATGCTCTTCGCCATGGTTTTCATGGCGGCCGGCGTGCTGGGCTGGGCGCTGATCTCCATGTCCTGGCCGAGCTTGAGGAAGTCGGCCTGGTTTTTGATAATCCCGAGCAAATCGCTAAGTCCATCCCACTCGACGATGGGTTTGGGCTGTGGCGTCTTGTTGTAATGCCACAGAATCGGAGGCATCACCCTGACCCAGCTCCATTTGCGGTGCAGCTTGCTCATCTGGCGCTTCGTGACGGGGTTCTCCCACATCTGAGTACTCATGCCAGGGACTAAGAGAATCCGCTTGGACGCATCCCAGCTGCGCAGCACCTGCAAGAGCAGGGTATCGGCGGCACCGCACATCATCTTGGCCAGGGTGTCGACATCAATCGGGGCCAACACCAGCAAGTCCGCCCATTCAACGAACTCAGCGGCCTGGTGCTGCCATGTCTCGATATCCCGTAGTGTCGTCTTGTCGGTGGTCGAGTGCCGGACCATACGGCGGTTCTGGACAGTCACTATCTCCTGGACCAGCCTATGGGTCATGTCGTCGACAATGGCGCGCGTGGTGATTTGCGAGTCCTTGGAAAGCCGGACGGCGATGGCCTCGGCGAAAGCGACCTCCCGCGTGCCATTGGCGGCTACAAGCAAGTGCAGCGAGCGCGGGTGCGGGCGTGTGATTTCGCTGAGAGATAGGTTGGATGGTGTCCTCTCTATCCCGTCCAGTTGGCGATTCGGGATGCGGAAGGACTGTGGACTGGGGTAGGCCTCCGACATGTTGGCGGGCGGCTGTGTGGCCGCGAGACGTTTGAAGATGGCGGATAATGGGTGTGCGACGATTCCTTGATGTCCGTGCTGATGAAATAAAGCGGATGGAATTCCCTTTTGTTTCTTTAGGGTGTGGACAACGCCGTGGTTTTAGAATGCGAGTGCGGGGGTGGGCCAGAGAGAGGAGTTGCGCTTCCACTGGGGTGCTGCGGGAAGTATGAGATCTGAAGAAAGAGATGGAATGCGCTGATGCAGGTAAGAGGCCCGTGAACGAGCGGCCCCTCTAGAATGTCTGGTCCAAATGCGGGGTACCAACGGTTGTAAGGACCGAGCCGGCGGGGTCAAGAAGATCAAATCGATGCCGCGGTGGATGGATATGCTCCAGGCAGTTGTCGGGGGTGCGTTTGGTCGTTTGAAGGTTGTTGGATGAGATCTGGATACTTGAGAAGCCTGACGTCCTCGTTACCCAACAACATGTGCCACAGTGTGGGGAGGTATGTGCAGGGGTTGGCACGTTCGCAAGGACCCACTCGGGAAGGCACGGTTTGCCTCGGGCCGATCGCTGATAGGGCTGGTTGTGTATGGGTATTGTATGTACCGTACAGCGGTATTCCGTATTGTAATCCATTGTCCACATCAGTGACATCGCTTTCTTTGGTCCTTTCTTCTCACCTCGTTATTCCTAGGAGAACAGGTGGTGGTCTACGAACAAAGATTCCCAAGCCAGTTGTTTCGACCACGGAAGATATCGTACGTTCCGGTTGGCTAGTGTGTTTTTTTTTCCCCGTCGCCCACCATAGGTAAACTATAGCATAGTAGTTCGTGGCGAGATTGCAGTAAAAGGGCATCTTTAAAGCTTATCTTCTGTGAATAAAACGTATATTCTGCTCTAACCATTCCTCAAGAACAATGAAGGATACAGGTTCACCTACCCTACAGTCCTTCCCTCACCGAGTTGACTTTGAGCCTTTGTCTGCAGAACCTGGATACTCCGTCTCTCAGACCAGTTTCCAAACTTATTGTCCCAGGATGAAGCTATTGTCACTCTGCAAAGACCTTCTCTTGCCTCACGCCGGCATTGTTGGCAGTCCAAAATAGAGAACCCTTGCCACATCGTAGTCGTAGCCGTAGTATCAGTACTTGTCTTTCAACCCCGACATTTAAAACCATGTCGTCCATCCCCTTCACGATCCGGGCCCAAGATCTGGTAGGGACAAGTCCGGACCAGCCCAGTTTCCACCACGATGAATAACAAATCCACCCATAATCCCAGGCCAGACGCTAAACGTAGCAACTCCTGGAGATCCTTTCTCCGGCCGCCGCCCAAATCGCCCGTCCCTAGCAGCAGCAGCACCACCACCAACAACACCAAGGCCAACAATAACAACGTCACCAAGGCTAAAAATAGCACCACGCCATCTCCAACCACAACCACAACCCCCTACCAACCTCACCCTACCCCCAATCCCAACCAGCACACCCGGCAGCACACCCAGCACACCCAGCACAACCAACATACCGAACAAACCCACCAAATCTGGCAAGCCCAAGAAACCCTCCGCACTTTTATCACCGACACCTGGCCGCAACACGCCTCTTCCGTCCGTATCGAATGCCACGTTCCGCTGTCTGCGCTTTATCCCCTTCTCGGTCAGCCGCTTAGCAACAACAACAACAACAACATCCTAAATATCCACCTCAGCAAGGAGGAAAAGGAGAAGAAGGCAAAAGAAGAAGAGGAGAAGGGTTTACAAATCTGTCGACGTCTAGTCCGTGTTCCAGGGCCGTTACACGAGGAAGTGGCAAAGGGAGTGTGGGTGTTTTTAAGGGGGTTAGCCGCTGCCGCCGAAGCCGCTGCCGCCTCCGCTGCTGCTACTGCTGCTGCTGCTAAAACTACTACCGAGGCTGTGGAATATGAGAAGGGGGGATCAGGATTCGGGGTAAGAAGAGAAGAGGACAGGGAAAAGGCAGCGGCGGCCCAGTGGAGGAGACATGTCAAGTCTTTTGTTAGGGTTGTTTCGCCTGGCTCGACTGCTTCGGCTACACCAGCGATACCACCGACCGGTAGTTCCAAGACGGGTTCGAAGACGGGTTTGGTAGTTCCAAAAGTAAAAGGAACGGTGGTATGTCCCTTTTGCGGTGGGGGCTGTATCCCTCCACCAACAATGCCAACGTCAACAAATACCCAGGTTTGTCAGGGTCGACGGAGCGGTGGTCGGTGGCCGTTTCAGCGGAAGCAGGAGGAAAAAGAGGAGGAAAAAGAGGTAGAAGTGGCTGCTGATCCGTTTTGGCAGCGGGAGGAGGACCGGACGGTGTTATCTAGCCAGGAGGAGGATCTGACGGGGTTGTTGTTGGCGAGCCAGGAGGAAGGGAGTGGTGTGTCGCGGGGGAAGGGGAGGAAGGGGGTTGAGGCTTTTGGGGGGTTTTTTTCGAGTAAGGACAGTAAGGAGGGGGTGAATGAGAAGGGGGAGGACAAGAAGAAGAGGGGAAAGGGGGGTGAGAAAAAAGGGGCACGTCCTGGGTTGAAAAGGGGGGTTCCGCATAAGGGGAAGTGATATGATGACAGTAACGTAGACGTTGATACCCATGTAGCAAACACCTATTATGTTCCCACGCGAAGAAAACTAAAGACCCAACCCCTCAACCTGCCCCAAAAACTCCCCCCTCGCCCCCCTCAACAGCCCCTCCACATCCACCCCCCCCAAATACCTCTCACTGACCCCCGTATTCACCCTCTTCGACAACAACTCCTTCAACTCCCACCGCCACTGCTTCACCTCCGCCTTGGTCACCCCCCTGGCCTCCTTCTCCCGCGCCTTCCGCCCACTCCCACGGCCCTTCCACGTCCCGGCGGCCTCCAGCTCGTCCGAGTCGTATTCAACGCCTAACTCCTCCGCCGCATTGCGCATCCAGTCGTCTTCTTTTGTGCCACGCTCCTTGGCGATACTAGTCTCGGTGATCTTTTGCGCGAGGGTGACACGCGGGCGCAGGTGGGATACAAGCCGGCGGTCGATATCGATAGTTTGAACGCCGACGCCGGCAGCGGTGAGTTTGGATTTGGAAGTCTGCTGGGACGCGACGGCGGCTGCGGCGTGGACTTTGGCGATGAGGCGTTGGGTGGGGACGGCTTCTTTGGGACCGCAGAGGAGGACGGAGACGCCGGCGTGCTGGGCGCGGGCGGTGCGGCCGGAGCGGTGGACGTAGTCGTCTGCGGAGCGCGGGACGTGGTAGTGGATGACGAGGTCGATGTTGGGGATGTCGAGGCCGCGGGCGGCGACGTCGGTTGCGATGAGGATGGAGGAGGTGGTGGAAGATGAAGAGGTAGAAGAGGGTCCGCCGCCGCCTGATTTTGGTGTCGTTGTTGGTGGGGTGTTGGTGGCGGCTTTGAAGCGCTCGATGGAGCGGAGACGGGCTTTCTGTTCCATGTCGGAGTGGAGGGCGAAGGCGGGCAGGTTGAGGGCTTGGAGGAAGGGGGTTAGACGGCGGACGGTGTTGATGGAGTTGGTGAAGACGAGGGCCCGGCGAGTTGACTGCAGGAGGAGGACGGCGTAGAGGTACAAATCCTTTTCGAGATCGCCGCATTGGATGAGGCCCTCCTTCAGGTTCTCGGCCATTTGGGACACCGGGTTGGTGTCGACATACTTGGGGCGTTCTTCCCGGAAATTGAGTTTCTTCAGGAGATACTCGAGGGACTCGGTATCCCCCATCAAATTGAAGCGGGCTTTCCCGGCTAGTTTCTGCTGGAGGTTCTTGTTGAACGTGGCTGAAAATACGAGGGTCTGCCGGTTGTGTCGGGGTGTCTCATCCTCGTCCTCGTCGTCGGAATCCTCCTTTTCCTCATCTGCCTCTCCAGGTACAGTCCTGTCCAGAGCCTTCAGAATCTCTTCCGCCTCCTTGAAATGCCCATCCTTGAGCAGACGGTCTGCTTCATCCACCACCAGATACCCAATACCCCGCAGAGCAGCCGATACCGAATTGCTCGAGCTCATCAGCTCCCACATCCGCCCCGGCGTTCCAATCACAATATCCGCCTTTTCGAGCTGACGCTGCTGCTTCTGCACCGCCAACCCACCCGTGACCGAGCAAATATACGGGCCAGTCGTGAGCCCAGCACACAACTGCTTGAGATGGTCCGCGATCTGGTGGGCGAGCTCGCGCGTGGGCGAAAGGATCAAGGCTGTCGGCCCTGTCCTCTCCGCGGTCTGCGTCTGGGCTCTTTTGGCCAGCCAGCTCTCGACAATGGGAATACCAAAAGCCAGTGTTTTCCCCGAACCGGTCGCGGCTTTCCCAATCACATCGTGTCCCTGCATGATGTGTGGGATCGCGCGCGCCTGGATCGGAGTTGGCTTGTCGAACTTGAGGCGGGCAATGGACGACAGCATCTGGGAGGAGAGGTCCAGGGGGACCCATTCAGACATGTCGAGGTCGTTGTCTTCAGCCTCGGCATCGGCAAGGTCGGCGGCCTGGGCGAAGACATTGGCCTCTAGTTCGGGGTCTCCTTTCGCAGGTTCGGCTTTTGTCTTTTTCTCTTTCTTCTCCTTCTTCTCAGCCTTGGCGTCCGGTTTCTGGGGCCCATTCTGCTCGGCCTTGGCCGCCTTCTTTTGGGCCTTGGTTTGCTTTTTTGAAGACGTTGTCGAGTCTAGGGCTATTGGGACATCTTCACTTGCTGGCGCTGCCTTCTCCTCTGGGGCATCCTCAAACCCACCAAACTCTTCCTCTTCCGACTCGGGCACAGCAGCGACCTGAATATGTGAGTAAACCTGGGCATAGACAGCCTGGAGGGGAAAAAAAAAATAAAAAAAACTTACAAATTTCACAGTCTCGCCGTCACGCACAATATCAACGCCCTCGACCTCCTCTAAGCCATAAAATCCCTCGGCATCGTCAAACATCTCGGGCACATCGACGGTCTTCCATGCCAGCGAATCGATGCTCGTCACTCGTTTCCCGGCATTCGATTTCTGCCGTTTGGAATTGGCGCCGGTTGGTTTAACGCGCTTGCCGGGCCCATCCGCGCGTTTCCGTTTCTTGTCGATGACCATCTTGGGTATTATGTTGGGTGTGGTGAGTGATGAGATGTGTTTCGAGGTGTGTTGAAGTTGATGAAATGAAAAGTTGCAGAAAATGTTTGATACGGTACTGAAATCTTGGCTCCACTCGGATCCTGGCCGATTGCGATGGTGGGCTGAAAATTTCACCACTTTGCTGGAGACTGCCGGTATGTAACGGTAATTACAGCCCCTCCATTGTCACCTCAATATCCTAATTTTATGAGTGAGTCTTGCTCATCGCCCACTTCACATTTTGACAATTGCTCCCATTCCTCTGCGTCCCCTCACAGATTGAGTCCGAAACCAAGAAAAATTCATTTATTTTGACCTCTCAAGGTGTTTGGGCTGCCTTTTCTCGACTTCCCCCCTCACTATTCGGTTTTCCTTTCCGCTGAGCGAGGGGTAGCTGTACTCACCCTCTCAACACCATGGGAAAGTCGTCCAAAGACAAGCGCGATGCGTACTACCGGCTAGCCAAAGAGCAAGGATGGCGTGCAAGAAGTGCCTTTAAGCTGCTCCAGCTGGACGAGGGTGAGTTGGTCCAACCTCTTCTCTACCTACTACCCAGACACTAATTAGGGTACTGTAGAGTTCAACCTCTTCGAAAACGTCACCCGTGTTGTCGACCTCTGCGCAGCCCCAGGGAGCTGGTCCCAGGTGTTGTCCCGGGTGCTCATCAAAGGCGAGAAGTTCGGCCGCTCTGCCTGGCAAGACAAGGAGGCCAAGTTCCGGCAGCACATGCTCAACGTCGTTCCGTCCGACGAAAAGCCAAGCACTTCTGCAGATGCCCCAGCTTCAAACAACGAACCAAAGCCCCGCCGGGACGTCAAGATCGTAGCCATCGACCTACAACCCATCAGCCCGCTCCCCGGCATCATCACCCTGCGCGCAGACATCACCCACCCGGCCACCGTCCCCCTACTCCTCCGGGCCCTCGACCCAGAGTACGACCCCTCACCCACGCCTCAAACCCAACCCCAAAACAAAAACCAAAACCAAAACCAGCAAAACCAAACCCCCTCGTCCCAACAACCCGTCGACCTCGTAATCAGCGACGGCGCCCCCGACGTAACCGGCCTGCACGACCTCGACATCTACGTGCAATCGCAGCTCCTCTTCGCCGCGCTCAACCTCGCGCTGTGCGTGCTCAAACCAGGCGGCAAGTTCGTGGCCAAGATTTTCAGGGGTCGCAACGTCGACCTGCTGTATGCGCAGCTGAAGGTGTTTTTCGACAAGGTGTATGTCGCCAAGCCAAGGTCGTCGAGGGCGAGTAGTGTGGAGGCGTTTATTGTTTGTGTGGATTTCAGGCCGCCCGAGGGGTTTAGAGCTAGTTTGGAGGAGCCGTTGGGGGTGGGGGGGAGGTTGGCTGGGTTTGTTGGGCCGAAGGATACACCGGTCGTGTCGGCCGTGTCTGGGCCGGCGTCGAGAGTGACGATGCAGAACCCGGACACGGGAGCGTGGGATTTCACGCCGGGACGGACAACACACCCGTTGGACACATCAGCAGCGGACGGGCACGGAATCCACGACCTCGAGGTAGACGATCTCTCGACAGACCCCCGAGACAAGAACACACGCTGGATCGCCCCCTTCGTAGCCTGCGGCGACCTCTCGGCCTTCGACTCCGACGCCTCGTACAAGCTGCCCGACGACCACGTCTCGCTGGACCCTGTGCAGCCGCCGACTGCGCCGCCGTATAAGCGGGCTATCGAGCTAAGGAGGGCACATGGGGGGGCGTATGCTGCGGCCAAGCGGGAAAGTACATAGTTCTGTATAACTAACCTGCACCAAAGTATATAACAAAATAAACCCCCCTAAATTAAACCACCTCCCGAAAATACACCAATTACCTCATGCTCTCGACTCATCTGCCGCTAAAATCCCCGCCGCGTTCCAAAGGCACAACTAAGCAAACACCTTCCCCGGCCCCGTCCGTTCCATAATAACCAGTCCCCCTCCTTCCCCCCCCGTCCCTCCCGAAATAACCTCCCTCGCCCCCAACGTCTGCTCATACAACCTCACAGCCCCCTCGCCGCTCGTGAACAAGAGACAGCGCCTCAAGTTGGGCCAGGAATTTAGGATTTGGTCCAGACAGGCCATCATCCAGCGGGCGAGCCCGCGGTTCTGGTGGGCGGGGAGGACGTAGACGTCTGTGAGATAGGCGAAGGTTACTGTGTCGGTTATTAGGCGGGAGAGGCCTATCATTTTCATTTCTTTTGTGGCGGGGGACTTTTTCAGGGGGGTTGTTTCCTGTGTGTTGGTTGCCCCGTTGTTGGTGCTCTGCTGCGGTTTGGTTGGGTCGTGGTTGTCTTCTTGCTGCCGCTGTTCCTGCTTTGGACCGTCCCGCGTCTGGTCGTCCTCCTCAAGCTCATCCCCATCCACATGCACATACAACCCCAAACAAAGCGACGTCCTCAAACACACCCTCAGTTCCTCCTCGTCAAACGGCCGCGCCCAATAGATCATGTCTGTCGCAAAGGCGGCTTGTACTGCCTCAGGCTGGATCAAAGCCGGGTCCGTTGAGATTGTGTATGTTACGGTGGTGTTGCCTTTTGTTGTTGTGGAATGATCATTGGGAGGGAGGGTGATGGAGCGGGTCCAGGATTGGGGGGTTCTTAGGGGGGTCATTGTATGAATGTGATGGGGGTTGAGGAATTGAGTATGGTTCAGATGTAGCCTGAGGCAAAGAGCAAAGAGTTTGAGAGGGAACAAGGGGAAAAGTTGTGTTTATATCGTGGGAGTTGAGTCACTAATTCACTAGTTATGGGCATTAGCATTAATGAGTCATTGACCAATCGCAACATTGCTAAAGCCAAGAATGCACTGCAACTCAAAAACAACAAATTCACATGCCAGTAAAATAAGATCGGGGTAATTATCAATTAACACTGCCTAAAGCATGATCGAAGCGAAGTCATAGAAAAACATTAAGGACTGATAAGTCAAAGGCAGCCACCCTCAATCACGCTCCCCCGCACTGATGACCACTGAACCCCGAAAACAATAGCCACCACCCCCTAATTTTTCTTCACAATCATGATCCCGTCATATCATGAGAAGGCATTCCCATTGCCTGTTCCTGCTAAGCGAACGCTTAGTAGTAGAGCGGGTGGTCAGGGTCAGTCAAGTCAAAGACAACCGACGAGTGGGGCTTGGCACCACCACGGTTGGCAAACTCGCGGTCGAAGTCGATCGAGCGGTTGAAGCTGAGGCTGCCGTCGTCGAGAATGTCAATGTACAGCGCCTTGAAGTCAGCGGGGGTGTTGATCAAGCCAAGAGCGCCGGTCTGGACGAAGTAGTCGGTGACGACGATGTGCTTCTGGTCAGGGGTGACCTTGATGTAGTGGGGGCCGATGGTCGGCTGGTCCTCATCGGGGTTGTCGAGACGCTTGACGTTGTTGAGGTCAGAGATGTCGAGGGCGGCGATGTGGTCGGCAGTCGTCAGGGTCAGGTAGATGAAGCGGCCGTCCTGGGTGATGTCGGTGTAGATGGCGGTGGTGTCACGGGCCTTCGGGCCGAGATCGTACAGGAGCTCGGCGACACCGGGCTTGCCGTGCTGGTCGAGACGCTCGGGGTAGATGATCCAGACCTGGCCGAGGTGGACAGCCGTGGCGAGCGCGGCACCCTCAGGGTTGCCAGGGATGTGCTTGACGTCCTGGATACCGCCACCGTCAGGGATGGTGATGGTGTTGAGGATCTTCTTCGTGTCGAGATCCCACAGGCGGAGGGTGTTGGCACGCTTGATGCCGGTGCTGGGATGCAGGATGGTCACCGGCTCGACGAAGTCAGACGTAAGAATGTTCTTGCGCTCCCAGTCGATGCTGAGGCCGTGGGGATTGAACTGCTCGTCCAGGATGTTGAGCGTGGACTCAACATCGGTGACCTCGGGCCACTCGTGGATGATGTTGAAGTCGGCGTCGGTCTCGACGAGGCGGCCGGGCGAGGTGCCCACGGCCGAGCCCATGTAGGTGATGTAGAAGCCGCCATCGGGCTTGGCGCGGATCTCGTCGGTGATGGACGAGAAAATGCCGCGGTTGGACTTCTTGAAGGTAGGGCGGTACGGGTTGGTGGTGTCGAAGTAGAAGGCCGTGTCCTGGGTCTTCAGCAGCGACAGGAGACCACCACCGATGAGGGTCTTGCCGTCGAGCGAGGGTCCCAAGTGGTGGGGGTCGTTGCCGCTGGATGGGACGTCAGTCACCCACAGGAGGGTGCCGAACGTGTCGTCGTCGAGCGAGTAGGTGGCCAAGAAATCTGAAGTTTGTCAGTCATGTGTCTCTCTCACATTGTCCACTGTCCTATCTAGCGAGGGAGAAACTCACCCTTGTGACGCTTGTCACCGGCACCGGTCCAGAAGTAACCAATCTTCTTGGGCTTGATGTCGCTGGCCTCAAACGGCGGGCTGGGCTCGGCCGGGGTCGGCACCTGCAGAATGGGCAGAGCCGGCGAGAGGTCGTTGAGGGGAGTTGTGACGCCCGGAATGTCGGGGATCAGAGGAGGGAGCGAGACAGGAGGGAGCGTCAGAGCTTGGCCAACCGCGGCGAGGCCGGCAAGGGTAGTAACCGACTTCATTATGAAGGAGCGGGAGAGGGAGTGTGAGATATTAGAATTAAGTCGAGGGTGTACCAGGGATGGTGAGGCGGATGAGGATGTGGGTGATGGTGAGAAGGTTTGAGGCAGTTTGCGTCCGGGAGATGGTCCTCTTATACGCCTTCCTCCTCTCTCGTCGTTCCCCCTGTTACCATCCCATCGGGGATATCATCACCACATCGCTCATCCCACATCCCACATCCCACTCTCGCATCTCACCACCACCGATCTTCTTTCTTTTGCCCGGCCATACCACAACTCGACATTTCCATCCACGAGCACGCAACCCGAGGGTTTCTCGCCGCCACCGTCCTGTCCACGACCACGACCACAGCAACTGCAGTTGGAGAGGGGGGTGGGCCATCTCGGAACAAGAAGTGATCGACTGGAGCTAAGATGCCCTGAGCTAGTAGAGGAGGAAGAGTGCTGGGATGGGGCTGGGAACAGACGTTGGGTCAACCGGACCAGGGACCCCCCCGGGCTCGAGTCCGCAAGAACGACGACGGCGTGACGATGGACGCGGGTAAGGTGTCGTGAGCGGCTAGCCTGGAGAGACAACGCGATTCAGCACATCCCCTGTCAGGCTATTGCGGACTCTCGCGGCTTCCATTCCGTCCTAGCTGTCAGGGCGGACTTGAAGGTCCGTGTCGTGGACATCGGATTACCCTGACACGGTACCTGATATCTGGTACTTTCGTACAGTACTGAATATCAAGCAACTCCTGGCCCTCGAGTTAGGTATCAACTCCTTGAACCCAGACCCAAACAGCATGTCACTCACATGTTAACAGGCCCAAGCAACAAGTCACTCGTCTGCTCGAAGTCTATGTAGTATACACCTCGGCCTCATTCCTCCGCCCAGGGTTCCATTCTTTCCTTTCCTCTGGCAGATCTCCATCAAGCTTTTGCCACCCACCATCCGGTCCCACGGCTCGGCACACCGTCAACGAAGGAAACCTGGCTGCCGGAGCGCTAGCGGTAATGTAATTTGCAATTCGGGACAAGCAGCATCTGCAGCAAGCACGCACGCACGATGTGCCTGAAGTGAGTGTGTGAGTGGGTGTGTGGGGCGAGGTCGGTTCCCGGGTAGGTTACTGTGCAGGCAAGCACGGCAAGGTACATGTAAGTTAGGTTCCTGCTGCGGTTCCTGTGGATGTTGCCGTTGCCGGGCATGTTTTGGGCAGATGTGGGCAATTCTAAGATGAGATTGGGTCAGCTGAAACCAAAGTGCAGGAACTGCTGCCCGTCAGTCCCGTCTGTCCCGTCTGTCAGTCTGCCCGATGCCGAGCTGTGAACATGAATGCCCGGCGATCATCCCGGTCCCCAACCAAACCCGGGCCTGTCTGCCTGCACCGTCCCAGCCCAATGGGACGAGGGTTGGTGAAGAAGTGGCATGCAGAAAATGGGGAAGACCAGGGTTTGAATTTCTGAACTTTTTAGGATGTGCTAGGCTCCTGGGATTACCTGGGATCTCGGCATGTCAAGATCCCGGCATGCTGGGGGTCCTAACTTTGCACGGGACTTGTTGCGTGGTGAATTTGTGACTGGCGTTTGCGAGTTGTCATCGTTGTCATGGTGTTGTTGCGGGCGGCTGAAAATTGTGGGGCTCGAGCTAAACATCACGACATGCTTGGCATGGTGGTGACATCCGAGCCCTGCCCGGCAGATCCCCACGTGCAGCCCGTCTTTCTCGAGAAATCGAGAACTCGCCACTCCCTTTCGGGTCTGGTGCCTTTTTCTTGGTAAAAGTCTGGGGGAGACCACCAGGTTGGACCCACGAACCCCCCCCTCTTCGGCAGCCTCCCGGCCCTCCTCTCCACACTCCCTCTTTGGGTCTGTGCAAAAACCAGGGGCAGTCCGATCTGGAGATGTTGATCGGAATTTGACATGCTGCACACTTCTGCGCCAAAACCGACATCGTCAGTGGGGGTGCAGATGTTGTCATCGTAGGTCGCCGAACTACCCCAGGAACATCTCGAAAACCGTGTTCGACGCCCTTTGAACCCCTGGCTTAGGCCGAGTCCATCGTGTCTCTGTCCCCATTACGGACGTCGTGATGACACCCAATATCGCCCAACATCCCGCATCGAGAGATTCCAGACAGACCGATCTTGTTGCTTTGCCGCTTGCGTGATGTTGCATCTTCCATCGTCCCACATCACGAAAGGGCCCAGGGCCTGCTCTCCAGTTCTCCAGTTCCGTTCACTTGTGCCCGGATGGCCAGCTACCCGACCGCCCGGCTCCCTCCTTCAACACGCCGGCCAAAAACGGAGATTTTTCTCCTTCTTCACACGCTCGCCAAGCCTGCGATCTGCCCCTCCATCAACAACACCCACAGAATAATCTGCACGACGCACTCGCGTCACGCTCCAGGGTATCTCGATCGTTCCTCTCGTGTGAGGGGAGGGAGGACAGGCCAAACATACATAGTGTACGTACTATGTTGTGTCGTACAGATCATGACTGATAGACAGGCAACCTAACGGGCAACTGCCAATACGTTGAGTAAGACAAAGAGGCGTCCAGTCGAACGAACCCGTTGGAAGCTCGTTCATGTCGATCTCATCCGCGCTTCTTCAACGCCGGTTTGTGTAACCCACCCCGCGTGCCTGGTAATGTGATGCGGAATTTCCCCTGAGCATCTCATGCTGCAGCACAACATTGACGAAAAAAGAAAATGATAATAAAAAGACGGTGATGAAATCGGGTTTTACACGCCTTCGCCCCACGGCAATGCATTGGCCCGGCAGGAGGAATGGCCTTGCGAGGTTCCATCGTGCCATCGCCCATCGCCCCATCATCCCACACTCCCAGGTTGGCGGCCTGACTAAACAAATCGTCTTTGTCTGGCTGGCGCTTCCACTCAACCCAAGATGGATCGAACCATACCGCTTCCATCGCTGGTCGCTATGACGCCTTCTTAGGGAGAACGCTGCCCTTGCCCCCGTGGGCCGTCGCCCGTCGGTCAATCTCTCGGAGACCTCACTGGCAGGGTTGAGAGGGTCGATGTCCCGGACGGAGTAACTCCTGCGTAGTATTCCAACTCCCAGCCCCCCCAAGAAACCCCCACTTGTCACATCTCATCTTGTTCAAAGGACCCGGCACACCTCACTTCACGATGACAACAAGCTTCTTCTCCACGGTGTAGTGCCTTGGCGCGCGGTCTCCTTGGTGGGAATGACTTCAGGTGACTCTGAGGAGCAGGAGGAAGCGGTGTGGTTTGGGAGAAGTTGGTCGTCATTTGTCATCCAGGGATGTCACAGTTCTTTTCTGCTGCTAGAGCTGTTTTGCCGTCCGAACCGGTCTTGTTCTCCTCATCCGGTGCGCTGCTGTGAGAGAGAACGGATGGGGAGAGCAACAAGGTGAAGGACGTCCGAGAGAGACCCAGGACCGACCGACTCCTCAGCTCCTCGTATCCCCGACAAGGTGACCGACTCTGCATTACCGAAATTTCCTCGAGGCACGTCGGCCATGATGAACAATGGCGACTGCCCGAGCTGGAAATCCAGCCCACAGCCTCGTTGGTCAGCGTGCCATCGAGAGCACCTCTTGGCAATGTCGAGCTCGTCCCAGAACCGGTTTTCTTAAAATGGGAGCAGAGCCATGGCACCATGGGTGAAGTGGCAATCTCGATCGGAAAAATCTGCTAGAGTTGGAAGAGGGCGGGGATCATATGCCGGATCTTAAGAGGTATGGTGAGGGATGTAAGTGGCCCGAGTCTAGAACGGGTCTGGAGAGGGACCTGTGGGATGTTATAGAGTCGCACTGAGTATTTAGGTAACTAAGCTTTGGGGAAGGGTAAGAAAGAATTATCGCCAGAGAACGTTGAAGAGTTCCTCAGTTAGCTGAATCCAAAGGGGTAGATATCTTGAGTAACGAGGCTGTGATTAGTCAAGGGTAGGATAAATGTGCTTCAATAAGAACAGTGCGAAATGACAATCAATATAATTTTATGCTGAGCAAATTCCCTTCGCATTCACGTTAAGGTGGTGGGAAAACAACCCCCAGAGAGGAAAAAAACCACCACCAAGGGACGAAAACATAACACAAACTCCAAAAATCCAAAATAGCACATATGCGACACTCAGCACATGTTAGTAGTCGTCTCCACGACTAAGAATTTCCTTGTGTGTTTCGCGGAGAAGGAAGGTCTGTAATATTGTTAACCTAATGTTTGTGTAACCATTTAGTTGGTTGCGGAAACTCCGGAATAAACTCACATGTTCAAACTGGGCGGAGTAAGAGCCCTTAACATCCATGAGAGGCTCATACTCGTCAACGACACCTGCTTGAACCAAATGATTCATCTGTGTTTTTGTCAGCTTGGTTTCAGGACATTTGAGAGGGTCTCATTTCACAAAGCATTATACTTATAAGTAAAGTAGACTTACGCCAGCGAGGTATTTCTCAACACCAAGACGTTCGAGATATCGACGGCAAAACACAATGGTGCCAAAGTTTTCCCGAATAGTCTTGTGCAGACGCTTGGCAGTAGACAAAGTCAAGGGCGGGTTCGATGGAGCGCTGTAGCTGAGTCCGTAGCCATAAATGCCAACCTATTAATTTGTTAAACTCAGCTCCCATATTTGTAACCAAACTTGATGAAAATATTGACTCAAAATAAACAAACAAACAGAAAAATACAAACTTACATCGTCAACAATATAACCGCGGCCGGTCGACCCAAAAGTCTCAATGGCAAACACCTCGCCCTCCTCCATTTTGGTCTGATCCCGAGTCTTAATAAACGGGATCGACTTGCCGCCATGGATGCGGTACTGCGCGATGTTGTGACCCGAGAGGTTTCGGATGGGTTTGACGCGGTACGTCTTGCCACGGATTTCCACCTCGTAGCTCTCCATGACCTCTTGGATGGCGGCGCTAACATCGCTGATGCGGACGTCGATGCCGGCGGTCTACATAAATTACCTTGTTGTCAGTCTTACACCTCATTCCCACATACTTTTATCCTGTTGCTCTTTTACAATGATTGGTCTTGACTCACCTTCACACCGGTATTGGTCGCATCCTTGACTGCAGCCAGCAAATTGTCATACGTCGGGTCAAACGCCGTGGTGAAGGCACTGTCAACAATCCACCCGTTGATCTGCACCCCAAAGTCCACCGTCAACACATCCTGCTGCTGCAGCACAACCGGTTTCTGGCCCGGGTTCGGCGTGTAGTGTGCCACCTGGTTGTTGAGACACAACCCCGTGGGGAATCCCATTCCAGACTTGAGGCCATCACCGGGGCCCAGACCGGAATTATCCAACAGGGCCCGGACGCTGTCCTCGATGCCCTCAGCGATATCAAGCAGTGCCACGCCTGGCTTGGCGAACTCGTGCACCCATCGGCGGGTCTGGCGGTGGATCTCGGCTGCCTTGCGGTAGTTCCGGAGGAAGGTCTCGTCTTCCCAGTACTTCTGCCGCGCCTCGTGGCGGTGTTCGGCGGTCGTTGTCCGGGAGGTGGCCTGGTAGTGCTGGACTTCGCCCTCGGGGAAGTTGCCGGAGGGGAAGAGCTGGTCGAGCGGGATTCGCGGGGGGGAGGTCTGCTCGAGGGGCGAATTGGCCTTGCTCTTCTTCTTGGACTTTTTCTTGTTGCGCTTCCTGCGCTTCTTTTGAGTGGTTTCTGCGTCGGCCGTGGTTGGGTCTACTTCACCGTCGTCACCGTCGCTCTCTTCATCGTCACCACCGCCGTTGCCGAGACACCCATCCCCGTCTCGGGCAAGGTGACAGCCACGCTTTTCTCCTCCGGACAACGGGTTCGAGCCGTCCAGGCTGGGTGAGTCACCTGTTTTGTTGTTTTAGCCAAAGAAAAAACTTTTCAACACTAGTTTACATCCCGAGTCTTACCATGTCCATGGTGCCCATGTTCATCGTTCTCCGGAGATCTGGCACCCATCCCGACATTGACAAACTGCAGTAGGTGCGGATGAATCGATATGAATACCAACAACAACCTTCTTTTACGGTTGAGACGAAGTAAACAGACGTTGAGACGTTGACGTGTTAAGTTGTGGGGTGAAGACAGTTCAAATTGAGTTGAAGGATGGGGCTGCCTGTGCCGGCCCTGTGCGGATTACTATTGGCTGGCACCTGAAAGTTAAACCCCACAGCGGCCCGTCAATCCCCAGCAAAACCAGCTCACCCCACCGACCGTTTCCATGGTTTCGGAAGCTGCGATGGAAGGCTTCGGCCCGCGCCGTGCTTGCTGCGCAAGTATGTATCAAATAAAACTTGCTCAACTCAGCGGGACAAGTGAGCAAGTTGTTGAGGTGCCTCAAAGACAACGCAAGCGGGCAGTTGGATGATCTTCTGGTCGGGTACCCGAACGTAGTGTAGATCCACTGCTCGGGGTGTCAGTTCAGCTTGCAAAGATCCTCGACCCAGGCGCCGCCATGCTTTAGCAACGTGGTTACTCGATGCACTGGGCTTAAAAGAAGGGAGCATGGCATTGGGTCTGCATGGTATATCCCCCGCATGATCTTCGGGTATTAATAGTATGTCTTGAGGTCCTACCCATTACAAATCGCCGATCCCGGCCCGGAAAAGCCAGGTGCCTCTTCAATTCGGATTCCGAATAGCTTCAAGATGCTGGCCCCACGGTGCGGGGCAGTTTTTCTCCCGTTGTGGCTTTTCAACAGGTCGGCGCGTTGTGGGTCCACCCTGGTCCCACACATATTACGGTTTGCAGTTCACAACCACAAGCCCGTCCAAACTTCGACTGGACAACCAACTGTGGTGCGAAAATATGGTTATTTTTCAAACATTTTTTTTTATCCACCACCTCATCCACCACGTTGCGACCGACCCCTTGTTGCGCTAAATTGTCTATGGATCTTGGTGTGAATGCCCACAATGGATGGTTAGAATGACACGCGAAATGACGCCGGCGCAGGTCGCTGGGACGATGCGCCGAGCCTGAGATTTCGAAACGAGCGACAATGCCGGGAAGCTTTCGAAAGCTAAAAGCGTGCGGGGAGGAAGGGCGCGAACTGGGGTGAATATCGCATCGCCACGTGTCGAGGGGTGTGCAGCTGTTTTATTTTCCTGCAGCCGGGCGGCAAACGGTTTCGTTCTCGAGGCTTCAATCTCCTCAAGTCTAGTGCTCAAGGCTTCAAGGGACTGTAGCGGCCGAGGCTCGAAAAGGCCAGACAGGGGGAGAGTTGAGCGAAATGATGGCCCAACATCGGAAGAGGAACAGGCGACAAAGCGGGCACTGAAACAGACGGCAATTCACCAACGATAACGCCAGTGAGAAGCTTGGAGCTCTGACGGCGTTTACTGGGGTCTGTTCCGGGGAAGAAAAAGGAGTGTCGCGGCAGCTGGTGGTGTGGGTGGTGCCGGCGTTCTCGCACCAACCCCGTGTTTTTGTGCCGCCCACCTTTTGTTTTCCCGCCTGGAACTGCGGCTCCGCGACAACCACCCTCGTTTTCATCTCTTTCGTGCCCGCCTCGTTTGAACGAAAGCAACTCTTTGTCAAGGACCCCGTCATCATCGTCCCAGGCCTCTTGTTGTGGCGTTTTTGCGACCAGAACGGCTTCTTTCTTCGGTAAGTAGAAGCATGTCTGCCCTGTTCTTTGCGCCCGACCTAGCTTGCGATTTGGGTTGTCGCAGAGCGCGACAACGCGCGCGACAGGGCTTGCGCGCCAACACCGTTCGCGTTTTTTGCGTCCTGACCGCCAGAAAACAAACCATACAAAACCACCTGCTAGCCGATTTGCGTCTCCCAGTTTTGACTGTGTAGTTACTTACCCATTTCCGTAGACTACACTACGTTCGAACTCTAAAAGACGCAGAGATGGCTCGCGAGACGCGGTCGAAGACGGGCAATTCCAAGCCTCGTGTCGTCCAGGTCGTTGACACGGCCCCGACCATCACGCGCAAGGCCGCGCCCAAGAAGAAGGCTGTCAAGCCCGAGGCCAAGGGTGCTAAGCCCGCCGGTGTGACCAAGAAGAAGGCGGCCCCGAAGAAGGAGGGCGTCGTCGCCAAGGTAACTCATCGCTCTTCAGACGGTTTCGATCACCGTACCATGCATCTTCGTACTGACCGACTATTGTAGGCCAAGGCTGCCGTCAAGAAGGTCACCAAGAAGGCCGAGGCTGCCGAGACTGACGCGGAGGAGACGGTTGAGAAGGCCGAGAAGGCCGAGACGACCGAGAAAATCGAGAAGGTAGGCGCCCGTTTGGTTTCTGCGACCCCTCGTACTTGCGCCCCGTTGTGAAAATTGATGTCTTCTCCTGTCGACAACGTTTCCACTTTTGACACTTGATGTCGCTTGCACGTCGCCAGCTTATTGACACCTTGATTGTGTAGGAGGCCAAACCCAAGCCGACCAAGAAGAAGGAGACCCCCGTTGCCAAATGATGACGGGATAACTGGCCGCTGGCCGCTTCTTCCCTTTTTTGTCTTGAACCGTGTTAATTGAACAAACTATGGGTGTACCCCACCCACGTTCTACAGGTCACGTTGCTCCTTTTTCTCTCACGTTTCTCTGGTTCGGGTATTCCTTCGGTGGGCAGAGGGTCTCTCTGGGATTTCATCTGGTTTGGTAGAATGGGACCATGGATGGATTGAAGAACAACGGGCTCGGAGTGCTTCGGCGTATCTAGTGAGTTGTCTTTGCAAATGGAATGCGGTAATTCGGACGGCTTGACCCTTTTCCCTTGCCACTTCTATCGGCGTGAGTATGTCCCCGTGACCTGCATTCGACTCGCTTAGAAACGCTGAAGCAGCGTGGCACTCATGCTCGACAATGGGGAGCCTGCTCTGTTGTACTTTGCCCCGTCTTTAAGAGCTTGTTCCGGGGCTCTCGACTTATTTCGTCGTCAATTTCACGGGGGGGACTCGAGCTATAGAGAAACAGCTGAAAGCCGGATGAAATTCATGATCACAAAAAAGGGATATCGAATTTTGTTCACGTGCCTTACCGGCTGTAATTTCGTGGGACAAGCTGAGTACGCTCGGGAAAACGATGGGCGTAGGACGGGGTGACTAGCGCAAACCATGTAATAGAGGTTGATCTAAAATGCTAAAGGATTACCGTAGCTACCGACATAATTCCGTAAACGGAGGATGCTATGTACTGACATGGCTGTTGACGATAGTTTCAGTAACGCAACGGGCAACTATGACATATTTCAGCCCAGCGTCTGCCCCCTGTGGTTCTGGAACTCAAGGGCAGCCCCACACTTGACTCCGGCAGGCAGCGGCCCCCAGACTCGCCAATCAAGAGTGCTGTTTCAGGGCCAGGCCCAGGGCGCGTTGAGTGGAACGTTTTTTATCCACCGCGCGCCGCAGAGCAGACGTGCAGGGTCGCGAATCGCAATTGTCTTGTGCTGTGGGAGCTCGAGTTTCCACATCATCGCTTCCTCCCACTTTCCACAAACCGCATCGACATGAGAACATCGCGTCCATTGGCGCCCCCCTACACATCATGTTCATCCTGAAGCCTTCATGGCTGCGCCATAGTGGTAAGTACTTTGTCCGCGATGCCGCGCTTGTACTTGTCTTTACACTTTTCGTTGGTTGTATGGGAGGGGGTTGCCTATCGCTAACTTTCCGTCTCTTTGCGCGCAGGAGAGCAGAAGGATTTTGAGGTGTACAGCTGCCATATATCGCCCGATGGCTCGAGACTTGCCACCGCTGGTGGAGGTATGTTTGAACACGGATAGTACCCTGTGCCTACCCAGTCGGTTGATGGCTCACACAAGTTAGATGGTCACGTCAGGGTCTGGTCGACCGAAGCTATCTTCGACTCCGAGAACCCGGATAGTAGCAAACCGCGCCAACTTTGTCATATGAGCCACCACCTGGGCACGATCCATTCCGTCCGCTTCTCGCCCAACGGCCGCTACCTTGCCTCGGGCGCCGACGACCGAGTCATCTGCATCTACCAGCTCGATCGCAACCCGCCGTCGCACGCAGCTAGTTTTGGTATGGGGACAAGACACGAGGAGGGGGCTTAAAAGTTCTGATTTAGGAGGCTAACGGTTTCAGGAACCAACGAACCCCCGCCGATCGAAAACTGGAAAACGCACAAGCGCCTCGTGGGCCACGACAGCGATGTCCAGGATCTCGCCTGGTCGTACGACAACTCGATTCTCGTCTCGGTTGGGCTCGACTCGAAGGTGGTGGTGTGGTCAGGACATACTTTTGAGAAATTGAAGACGATCGCCGTCCACCAGAGCCACGTCAAGGGCATCACGTTTGACCCGGCAAACAAGTTTTTCGCGACCGCCGGCGACGACCGACATATCAAGATCTTCCGCTTCACCCCTCCGCCGCCGAATGCGACACAGCATGACATGGTCAACAACTTTGCGCTCGAGAGCACGATCAGTGCGCCGTTCAAGAGCTCCCCGCTCACCACGTACTTTCGGAGATGCAGTTGGTCTCCGGACGGCAATCATATTGCGGCGGCCAACGCCGTCAACGGGCCCGTGAGCAGTGTGGCGATCATAGAGCGTTCTCGGTGGGACAGCGAGATCAACCTCATTGGGCACGAGGGGCCGACCGAGGTCTGCATGTTCTCTCCCCGGTTATTCCACACGCAGCAGCCGAGCGAGAATGGATCGGCCAAGGCGTCGTCCAACCTCGTGACAGTTATTGCCTCGGCCGGGCAGGACAAGACGCTGAGCATCTGGAACACCAACACCTCGCGGCCGGTTGTGATCTTGCAGGATATAGCATCTAAGTCCATATCCGATTTGGCGTGGACGCCTGATGGCCAGACGCTGTTTGCCTCGAGCTTGGACGGCACGATCCTGGCCGTCAAGTTTGAGACGGGGGAGCTTGGGTGGGTGGCCACAGCGGAAGAGAATGATAAGGCTCTGCAAAAGTACGGCGGGTCGAGAAAGGGGATGGGGACGGCCGAGGATGTCGACGGGTTGCACCTGGAGAACCACAGCAAGGAAGGAGAGCGTCGGGGGGCTGAGTCGAGGATGGGCGCTCTTATGGGAGACTTTCAACAGGAAGTCAAGGGGCAGCCGGTAACAACAAACGGGGTAAAGCCGACGGTCAAAAACGGGGAGACCAACGGGACCACCGAGCCAAAGGCAAAAGAGACCCCAAAAGCCAAGCCGTCGGAAGAAAACACAGAAAAGGCGGCGGAAAGGATAGCGGAACTCAAGTCGCGGGTGCAAGTGACGAAAGATGGCAAGAAGCGGGTGGCCCCGTTACTTGTGTCGTCGTCTGCCACTGGTCTCTTGTCGCTGCCCCAGTCAGAGCTGGTCGGAACAAAATCAACAACCAAGGCAGCTACGAACGATACGCCCCAAACAATATTGGATTTGTCGAAGCCGTTTCACGGCCTGCCTCGAGGTGGCATTGCTGCGATGCTCCTGGGTAACAAGAGGAAGGCCGCTGCGATCGAAGGAGAGGAGGACGAAGAGCTCACAACCAAGCGGCCCTCAGCTGGCCCTGTGCCGATTCTCGTTGATACCCCTGAAGGGTTGGAACCAGTACCGCTAACGGCCTCGGCGCAGGGCCTTGCGCCCACGCCGGAATTCCTCCGGCCGGCCGTCATCAGCCCTGCGATTTTGATGTCTCAGGTGCGCCTGGCCGTGCCCAAGGTACGGTCCCACATCGTCAGACCGCTCGAGAAGGGCGTGCTCCAGGGAGAGTCGACCCTAGACGAAGCGTCGAAAGCACCCGAGAATACCATCCTCGAGGCCAAGAACCCGATCAAACCGCGCGAGCCTTCCCACATCACCGCGTCCAAGCGCGGCGCCCTGCTCTGGCAGGACTTCCTCCCACGAGCTATCGTCCTCGTGACAGGCAACAAACACTTCTGGGCAGCCGCCTGCGAAGACGGCTCCCTGCATACCTGGACAGCCGCCGGGCGCCGGCTCCTGAACGGCATCATCCTCGAATCCCAGCCCGTGATCCTCGAATCCCGCGAGCACTGGCTCCTCTGCATCACCTCCGTCGGCCTCTGCCACGTCTTCAACGTCAAGACCATGTCCGCCGCGCACCCGCCCGTCTCCCTCGCGCCCGTGCTCGATATCGCCATCACCCCTCTTTCCCCAGAAGGCGTCGTCACCCCGGGCCCCGGCGTAACCTCGGCACACCTCAACAGCGCGGGCGCCGTGGTCGTCACGCTCAGCAACGGCGACGGGTTTTACTACTCGTCCTCCATGTACGCCTGGCAGCGCCTGTCCGAGAGCTGGTGGGCGCTAGGCAGCCAGTACTGGAACAGCAACGACTCGTCCATCTCAGCACTCTCCTCCACCGCCGTCGGGCCGACCGCCTCCTCCTCAGAAAAGAAAACAACCACCATAACAACCACCACCGAGACCAACGTCTCAGCAGGCATCATCCCCTTCCTCGAGCGCCACACAACCGCCGAATTCCTCCTCAAAGGCCGCGCCTACACGCTCCAGCGCCTCATCAAAACGCTGCTGTCCAAGGACGGCTTCGAAGGGTTCGAGAGCACCGTCAGCGTGGCACATCTCGAGAACCGCATGGCGGGGGCCCTGGCGTTGGAGGCGCGTGAGGAGTTTCGGTTGTATTTGTTTATGTATGCGAAACGGATTGGGGCGGAGGGGTTGAGGGGGAAGGTGGAGGAGTTGTTGAATTGTTTGGTTGGGGGAGTTGTTGTGAGGGAGAGGGAGAAGGGGGGGAGTAGTGGGGAAGGAGAGGGGAAGGGGTGGTTTGGGAAGGGGGAGACGTTGGGGGGGTGGGAGAGGAGGGAGTTGTTGAGGGGGGTTGTGTTGATTTTGGGTGAGTTTTTTATTTTCCTGGTTTTTCCTTTTCCCCTCTGGTTTTACCCACCTTTATATTATTTCCCCCTTGATCATTTTCTCCCCCTTTGCTTCCACCAAACGAAGTCAACACCAGTTAACACACCAGCAGGCAAATTCCGCGACCTCCAACGCCTAACAGTCCAATATGCCCGCATTCTCGGCCTCACGGCGGACGGCGAAGAGGAAGAGGAAGAGGAGGGCGGAGGTGCAGGGCAAAATGGTGCTGCTGCGGATGGAATGGATGTGGAGGAGTAATTAGTGGTAGTGTACTTCTTGTTTCTTTCTTTCATCGTTGCTGGGAAAATGTTACTGGAGGGTGAATCAGTTAGTATCGAGGTTTTTATTTTTTTTGCTGGGCGTGGATATTGGGGGTGGGTTGGTGAAATGATTCTTCCTTTTTAATTTCCGTTCGTTATGGTATGGGTGGTGTTGGCGTCTGGGGAGTTTGGGTGTCAGGGCTGGGGAGTGGTATGGTGTGGTGTGTGTGAGTGTGGGTGGGTGTGTATGCTCTGTGTATTGTTTGCTCGGGATGGGTTTGTTGGGTACTGTACCTTGATTTGTTTGGTGGGTTTGAAAGGGGGAAAACTTACAGTAGCTAGGTATGTACAACTGCTGATTGTTACCGCTACTACTACTGGTATTGTTGCTACTACTACTACCGTTGCCTTACGTTTGTTATCCCACTCAACTACCTATGCTTGGTATCTCGCTCTTGTGGATGAAGTTGTCGTTTTGAAACGCCCCGAGGATGAGGCTATCATTCCCTCTTCTGTGTCACCCTTGAACATTTATGTTCCCCAAGAACAACAATGTAAACAATGTACATAGTAGGAAATTCATTAGGAAGCGGGTTACATCTATCATAGGTAACCGGAGACAGAGTAAATGACAGTCGCCAACCAACCAGCGGACGATGCTCAGTCGGGCGTTGCTCTGACTGTGAGGACACAACCGAAGACGACATGGGCTCGTTAGATCGCGGCGGCCTGGGTTGAGAAGAAAGACGTTGAAACCGGTCTCTTTCGTCATCGAGTTGCGGACAAACGGATCTCGACCGGGGCGTCATGGGGCTACGAAGTACAGGCGAACGACCAGCCGGTGGTTCACGAGACTCGGGTTCTAAGCGCTCTCTCGTCGAAACCCTAAGCGGGTTGACGCCCGGGACGACTAGCCTTCACCCTCGCTTGCACTGGAGGATCCCCAATGCATCGGCCGGGGGAGCCTGCCCCGGGAGGGCGGAGGCGGGCACTCCTTGGGGCAGTCCCGGCGCTAGAGCGGAGTGAGCGGGTTTCATTTTCAGGACACAGCAAGCAGGGCTGAAAGAAAGGCATGGGGCCCTTTGGGGGATTGGGTCAAAAATAGGGACGTTTGCGTCAACGAGCGGAGTGTCCGGTCAGGAGTTGGCTAACGGGGGTCGAATTCCACGAGTCGATCGGAAGAAGAGGGATGATCCGAAGTTTCAGGAACGATCAGTGGAAGGCGAGTGGAAGGGGGGAGAACGGGGCAAAGCTCCCCCGAAATTGAGACGAGGTTTTGCCGTACGTCCGGATTAGGAAGGGGCTGCTCAATCATGAAAGAAAGGGTTAGGGTTAGTTGGTGTCCCTTGCCCAGCTTTCCAACTTCATCTTCATCTTTCCACAACTCTTGTCTCTCAAACTACACTCCAACTTTAGCACTACTCAATGGTTTGTAACGCCATCGGTGCCAATTGTTACCTCAATGACATGATCAGGGACTCAATAACAAAATGCACGGGCCGAGACCCCGGTTCTCTCGTTGCTGTGTCCCCCCACTAGCGCCCAGCTTCGAAAATCGCAAACTCGGAGGTCGAGCTTCCACCGACCCCAAAGTGAGGTTGCATCCTCGGAAGCTTGGGCGAACCAGCGATCCATCATGATTCCGCCAATTGGCACTACCTATTCGCGGAAAATCGAGAAAACGCGCTCATCCGCACCACCTCGCCTATTCTCGTCGAGCAACGCTCTGCAGCTCGCCTGCGCGATCCGTGGGCCCGGGCCAGGATCGGCCAGGAACAGTTCCCCCCCATCATCCATGGCAGTCCCGGGCCGCCCGGTATGTGGGCAAAGAAGGTTAAGCGCGATGGTCGTGGAAACATGGCCAAGTGGTGGAGTGGAGAGCAGAACCGTCTTGGACTCCCTGCGTGACGTGATGGCTGCTGGCCCCTGACGATTCCCGCCCATCCGTGCTGCACAGGATATATTGATTGCGACCCCTCTGCCTTCCCGTCCTCACGTCTCTGACATCCTGGCTCGCGAGTGAACTCTTTTGTGGTTGACACGTGAAACTGTCACCTCGACTTCACCTCCCCCGGACTCGACTCGAGGACTCCAACCATGAAGGGATCCTCGGCGCTCCAGTTTCTCGCGGCGGCCTTGGTGGCTCCCGCCTCGGCCGCCAACCCGTGGAAGAACGTCAACATTGGCGGCGGTGGTGGTTTTGTTCCCGGCATCATCTTCCACCCGACTGCTTCAGGTGTGGCCTATGCCCGGACGGATATCGGCGGTCTCTACCGGTTGAACGAGGATGACTCGTGGACGCCCATCACGGACAGCCTTGCCACGAACGAGAAATGGTGAGATTTGGCTTGACTGTAAGGAAGGGAATGAGTAGTACGGTCACTTACACAAGAGAACAGGGGCAACTGGGGCATTGACGCCGTCGCGCTCGACCCCCAGGATCCCGACAAGGTCTACGCGGCCACGGGCATGTACACCAACTCGTGGGACCCCAACAACGGCGCCATCATCCGCAGCTCCGACCAGGGCGCCACATGGGAGTCCGCTGAGCTGCCGTTCAAGGTCGGCGGGAACATGCCCGGCCGTGGTGCGGGCGAGCGACTGGCTGTGGACCCAGCCAACTCCGACATTCTCTTCTTTGGCGCCCGCAGCGGCAAGGGCCTGTGGAAGAGCGCCGACGGTGGAAAGACCTGGGCCCAGGTCGAGTCGTTCGAGAACGTGGGCACCTACGTCCCCGACCCGGCCGACACCACCGGCCTCAACAGCGACATCATCGGGCTGACGTTTGTCACCTTCGACTCGACCTCGGACCTCCTCGACGGCGCGACCTCCCGCATCTTCGTCGGGACGGCCGACAACAAGACCGCGTCGCTCTACGTGACGGAGGACGCCGGCGCGACCTGGGCCCCCGTGGCCGACCAGCCCCCGACCTTCTTCCCGCACAAGGGCCGCCTCCAGCCGGACGAGAAGGCGCTATACATCACCTACAGCGACGGCCTCGGCCCGTACGACGGCACGCTGGGTGCTGTCTGGCGCTACGACATTGCGGCTGGCAACTGGACGGACATCACCCCCGCGACGGGCTCAGACCTTTTCTTCGGGTTCGGCGGTCTCAGCGTGGACTTGAAAAAGCCGGGCACCTTGATTGTCGCGACGCTGAACTCGTGGTGGCCCGACGCCCAGCTGTACCGGTCCATCGACTCGGGCGCGACTTGGTCGAAGATCTGGGAGTGGGCTGCGTACCCGGAGCAGAACTGGTACTACGGGCTGCACGTATGTGGATTTTATGTTATATTTAGACGTACGGAAGAGGAATTACTGACACTATGCAGACCGACAACGCGCCTTGGATCAACGCGGGCTTCATCTCGCAGGACACCAAGCGGCTAGGCTGGATGATCGAGTCGCTCGAGATCGACCCGACCGACAGCGACCACTGGCTCTACGGCACCGGTCTGACCCTCTACGGCGGCCACGACCTGACCAAGTGGGACGCGGCCGACCGCAACGTCAGCATCTCGTCTCTGGCCGTGGGCATCGAGGAGTTCGCCGTGCTCGGCCTGGCTTCGCCTGTTGGCGGTTCTGAGCTGCTGGCTGCTGTTGGCGATGATTCTGGGTTCACTTTCGAGGCTGATACCGATCTCGGCACCTCGCCCCAGACTCCCTGGATGAACCCTAGCTGGACTACCTCTACCGATGTTGGTGAGTTGCTGTTTCCTATTTCTCTGCGTTTCTTACGTTTTTCCGGTGAAGACAGCCACGATCTAACCCAGCACAACACAGACTACGCAGGCAACAAGCCCGCCAACGTCGTCCGCGTCGGCAACACCGCCGGCGCCCCCCAAGTAGCCATCTCCGAAGACGGCGGTGTCACCTGGGCCGTGCACCCGGGCGCCGACACCTCAGCCAACAGCGGCACCATCGCCTACTCCGCCGACGGCGACACCCTCGTCTGGTCCTCGGGCACCTCTGGTGTGCTCCGCTCCGCCGACCAAGCCGCCTTCGAGGCCGTCAAATCCCTCCCCTCAGCCGCCGCCATCGCCGCCGACCGCCGCAACAACACCATCTTCTACGCCGGCTCGGCCGCCTCCTTCTACGTCAGCTCCGACACCGGCGCCACCTTCACCGAAGTCGCCTCCGCTTTCCCCAGCGGCGTCAAGACTGTCAAGGACATCGCCGCGCACCCGGCCGTCGCCGGCGAGGTCTGGGTCAGCACCGACGCGGGGGTGTTCCGCAGCACGGATTTCGGCGCTACTTTCACCCAGGCCGACAGCAGCATCACCTCCAGCGAGCAGATCGCGCTGGGCAAGGGTGAGGGCGAGGACGCGTGGAATGTTTATGTGTTTGGCTCTGGTGCTGAGGGTGCTAAGCTGTACGGCAGTGCCGATAACGGTGCCACCTGGGTAGATGTCCAGGGGGAGCAAGGGTTTGGTGCCATCGGGTCGAATAAGTTGGCGGGCAGCGGAAATGTGGCCGGGCAGGTGTATGTTGGTACCAACGGGCGGGGTGTGTTTGTCGCTCAGGTTTCGATTGGTGGTGCTGGTGGTGGTGATGGTGGGAGCACGCCTACGACGCTGTCTACTAAGGTGGTTCCTTCGGCTACGACTGGGGTGTCGACGTCGACTGTTGGGCCTAGTCAGGTGCCGACCACTACGGCTCCGGCCAAATGTAAAAAATAGGGGATGAACTTGAAAGGGGGGTATGAGGGTTAGGGTTGATTAAGGGGCGTGGGAGATGAGAAGCAAAGGGGGATGATAGTTCATTGTACATATTTTGGGTTTCAAGTTCATACATATGCTGATGCGTATATACTATATTTTGTCAGGACTTATATTTCTATGCTCATATCCGTATCTCTTCAACCCAGTTCTATTCCTCCGCTTCAGACAACCGATGGTGAAGAGCCCACAAACCGACCGCCACCTCTTGCGCATCCCGATAACCCCCAGTCGTCCAACACTTCCTTATCACCTCAGCCGCCGGGTTATCCTCACTAATCACCGGCCGCAGACCTTTAGCCAGCGCAGCCAACACCTCATCGTCCGTGACATCCCGCTCCGACCCGTACGGAATTTTCCACTACACTATCTCGTACACCGCGCTCCCCAGCGCCGAGATCTCCCACTCCAGCGTCTGTCCCGGCGGCTGCTGCCGGTGCGGCCGCGTGGACCCCGGCCGGCAGTACCTCGATTCGCAATCGTACCACTCGGTTGAGTAGTCCGCGAAGAACTCGGAATCGGCGAAATCGCAGAGTTTCAGCAGCCCTTTTGTACCCTTTCCACTACCACTCTCAACGCCATCATCAAACCAAAGCGCATTTCGCGTCGACAAATCCCCCCATATAATCCCACATGCATGAATATGCGCCACGCCCTCCGCGAACTGCGCCGCCGGGGTCAGCCGGGTCAATACATCCGGCGCCGGCGCCGGCGCCGGCAGCTGCTTCAAGACAGCCGTGCCCCGAATCCGTTCCCTTATACTCCCACCCACCGATGCCCTCTCCAACCTTAACCCCCACGCCTTCTTCTTCCTCACCTCACCCTCACCCTCACCAACGCTTCTAGGATCGTCGATCCCCCCGCCCGGAAGAACAGCCTCTTCAAGCGCCACAAACCGGAGGATACGCGGGCGGGGTCCCAGCGCGGTATACATGGCTGCTTCTTTGCGTAGCACCGTGTCGGTTTCGTCCGCCGGCTTGTTCGGGCCGAGGGCTTCGCGGCCTTCGTACCAGACGGTGCCGCCTTTCAGGACTGTGGGGCTGTCTTTGGCGAGATGGGTAGTGGGATTGTCGGTTGCTACGGCGTAGATTACGCTGTTGAGGGTTTGGCCTAGGACTTGAACTTGGCCGTTGACGAGGAGGGGGTGGCGCATGATTTTTGGTACTTTTTTTTAAAGCTAAAAACAAAAAATGGAAGCGGGTAAAGTGATCACAAATGGGTGGATTTTGAGGTGGTTGGCCCAGTCGGGCTTGTTCTTGAGCTGAAATGAGTGGAAGGAGGTTGACATATGACAGTGAGATGGGAGAAAGGGGAAGACAAAAGTCGGGCAGGGAATTGTGGTTGACGTTTAAACAAAACCCCTGGCCGTATTGTACATGTATTGTTTACGTTACACAGTGAAGCGTTAACCGGCTAACATTAAAAAACCACGCCCCATCCAAGTCAGAAGTCACATAACCTGCATAAGTTAGATCACATTTGTTGAGTCACGAGCCGAATATTTTCAGGAGCGGTTCTAGCAAGGTTGAACGATGTGACCACGCCAGACAATGAGGCCCACCAAGTGTTGAATTACCGAACGAAAGAGAGGCAACAATACCCTGGCATGGGAAGACAAACAAACCAACACGCAGACTAGCCAACTGACCAACCAACAAACGAAGTAACTCGGGCATGGATGACACAGCCGAAAGTTACGGGAGTTTTGTTTCATTTAACGCTAGATCCTGGTTTGAACACTAGGTTGAGAAGGCGTTTTCTCCAAGATGCAATCCTTCGTTCTTTCGCACTCCGGCATCACAGTCGTCAAACCTGAAGCAGAGACCAGTGGAAGGATTCATGCGGCTCAATGTGCGAGGTGTTGGTGAAGGGTGAGGGAGCTCCCTGAATCATGGCCTGTTCCCTCAAACAAAAAATACAATAAAAACACAAACAAGTCTTGTTGACTCCCGCTGTCGAGACACAACGAGCCATTGTGCTAACAAATGATACCCACCTTGGATACCTAAATGATAGCCGCAATCTTCATCTACACCCACATCAGAGGAAAAGAGAAAAGGGGTCAGTCCCTCGCCCAAACTTGCCAAAACTTGAAATGTTCAAGAACCCAAGCGCAGCATCAATAAACCAGGCACAAACTCAGCAAACGGCGCTCCTGCCCTCCCTCCCCGAGTCTACCCTTTATAAGGCAGTTTCCCACCCCCCCAGTCACCACCTCCTCCCAATTCGCCAAACAGCGGGTTTGGCGTAGCGGCATTGGGAGGAGCACTTCGACGGTGCCGTCGTAAATCGAAGTGGTCCCGGGTTCGATTCCCGAGACCAGCGAAGAAAAAGCCCCCCCCGGTGGGCTTTTCGTAACCACCAACCACTATCCCTCCGGATGGGGATAGGGCTTGATGGTGAGCTTTTTGCTTTTTTTTTTTTTTTTTTTTTTTTTTTTTTTTTTTTTTTTTTTTTTTTTTTTTT